TCCGGGAGAAAGCGAAAGACAGGGAAGCCTGGCTTGCTGCAGTCCATGGGGTTGTAGAGTTGGACAGGCCTGAGGGACTGAACAATATCAAAGGGAAACGGGAAATTCTGATAAAGTATGTGGTTTAGTTAGGGCTTCCCTGGTAGCTCAGTCGGTAAAGAATCTGCCTACAAAGCGGGAGACCTGGGTTTGATCCCTGGGTCCGGAAGATCCCCTGGAGAAGGGAATGGCAACCCACTCCAGTATTCTTGCTTGGAGAATTCCATGGACAGAGGAGCCTGGCGGGCTCTAGTCTATGGGGTCCCAAAGAGTCAGACACGACTGAGCAACTAACACACATACAGATATATGGTTTAGTTAAGTGTGTGTATCATTGTTAATTTCTTATTTTTGATAAATGTACCCTAATACTTCATTAAAAGAATTTGGGTAGAGGGTATACAGGAGCTCACGGTACTATCTTTGCAACTTACTGTATATCTAAAATTATTTTAGCATAAAAATTTAAACAGAATTCTACAGTGATATGCAGTAGACCATTGTTTACAGAAAGGGCTGAAGTCACTTCCTTTTTCGCCAGGAATTAGGTGTCTGTTTGATCAACTTGTTTGCTAAGGAAAGAGTTGTCCGGCTAGTGGGTGTGGGTGTTTCTAGTTCAAGTTTTCCAAGCAGGAATCTGTTTTCTTTTTTGGTTCCATCTATTAAGTGTCTCTGGAACACCTGTTATGCACAAGTAAATGAGACACGTGCATTAGGGGCGTGTACAGTAAAAACACAAGTCAGGAAGGAAGGAAGGACTGTTCCAAGGGTACAACGCTGAGCTCGGAGGGCTCAGAGGTGGGAGAAACCGCTTCTGGCCCCGGGGACTCAGGAGGGCTACTGAAGGGAGTGGCCGCCCTGAACTGAGGGCGTCCTGAGAGGAGAAAGGATCCCTGGGGTGGAGAATGGCTCCAGCAGAGACTTTAAGGAGATGAGGCTGCGGGGGCCTGGGAGCAGGTAAAGTACCTCTCACACGGAAGCACAGAGCGTGCCCAGGGAGTTCACGTGGCACAGGAAGTGAAAGCTGCCGTTACCTTCTAGAAAACCGTGACGCCTGCTTTCATCGTGTGTGCACGGGAGCTGTGGCGTGTTCTAGGGCAGGAGAGGGGCATTATTGGATGTGTGCTTGGAAATGATTGACTAGGCAGCAGTCAGGGGAGTATTGGTTTAGCCCAGGAGAGGTTAAAGAAATTCATCCAGGGCTATGACGTTGATGTGCAAAGAGGGACATGTGTGTACGAGCGTGCTAAGTTGCTTCGACTCTTGGTGACCCTGTGGACTGTGGCCCTCCAGGCTCCTCTATCTGTGGAGTTCTCCAGGCAAGAATACTGGAGTTTGCTGCCATTTCCTCCTCCAGGGGATCTTCCCATCCCAGGGACTGAAGCTGCTTCTCCTGTGGTTTCTGCATTGCAGGCGGATTCTTTACCCCTGAGCCGCCAGGGAAGCCCAAAGAAGGACACGGCTTGGGGAAGTTTTGTGGAAACTTGGCAGCTGAAGGCCAGCAAAGAAGAAAAAGGGAAAAACCTATATCCTGGAGTTTTTGTCCCCGAATGTCTTGGAGCATGGTTGATGGGTTTGCAGAAGTGGGGGACTCAGGAGGACACCTGGGGTGGAGGTGGGGAAGGCAATGAAAGTATTTTTGAACGACCTGTGTTTGAATTGCTAGCAGGATAACCAGCTGGAGATGTAATTTAAAGCATTTAGGAGAGGAAGCCAAATACATACAAAAGGGACAGGAAGAGGGAAAGGAGTCCGAGTGGGCAGGTAGGAGGAAGTCAGGGACCCCCGTGGGGCCGTGCAGCCAAGGGGGCCTCGGACGTGGTGTCAGTAGCATCATAGCTTGCGCAGAGGTAGAGGAGACGGGGGATGAGGCTGCCTTAAGTTTAGGGGTTAGGAGACTCGGTCTTAGATTTAGGGATTAGGAAGACCCACGTCCCATTCAGGGCTGTTTTAACAGAGGAGCAGCAGCTTGTCTGCTCACAGGCTGTCGTCTGTTCATCCAGTGGCCATTGGCAAGCGGGCCGGGAGCCTGAGATGTGGTTTCTGGTTCTGGCTGTGCCACTGCCGTGTAATTTTCTGTGTAATTTTGCCTGGACTGTCATAGAAAGACACCCTTAATGAAACCAAAAAGATCCTTTTATTCCTAGAAACACTGAATAGTCCATAGAGCCAGGGTTCCCTGGGGCACACCTTGGAAGAATGCTGCAATAGAATCAGAATTTTAGAGGTCTAAAGAACAAGAGTCTTATCCAGTCCCCTGACTTGACAAATGAAGATGCTAAAACTCAAATTCGTATCAACCAACACTGATTTCAAATATATTGATAGTAATCCGCCTATAAAGTAGTTATGCTTAAACCCATTTTGGAAATTCTGACATAGGCTCTGAGAGGTTAACTGACTTGCCCAGAATCACAGAGCAGCAAGTGGTGGTGTGAGATTTGAACCCAGGCCTCCTGGATCAGGGCTTTCTCTGTCACACCTCCTGCTGCCTTCCTGGTCGTCAACCTTGAATGCATTTAAAAGTGGTTGCATGGAATGTAATTTCAGTCTTTTCTCCTTTCTTATAAGAAATGTGTTCTAAAGGTCAAGTTTGATTGCATTACAGATTACTGTTATCAATGGTTGCCTGGGGTGGAAAGGATGACTTCAAAGGGCATGAGGGAACTTTTCTGGAGTGATGAAAAAGTCACTCCAGACTTAGTATATAGAAGTGTCCCAAAGTTACATTTTAAAAAACACTAGAGCATTAGACCATGTGAAATCTCATGTTCAACTCTGAACAGTGGCAGGGCATACCTATGATGCTTGAATATATATGGCACTTTGAAAAATATTCTTTGCTGATCTTGTGATTGCTTACTCTTTCCTCTTACTGCTTTTTTCCTTTGTCTTGACCAATTCCATTTTCTTCACTGCTGGCTGCCCAACCCTGACCACACCCTTCTTAACAGAGGCAGAAATCTGCTCTAGTGCAGCCTCTTAGGGATTTGTCTTTGATTCAATAAGTAATTTCCTATCTTCCTTGACAAATAAAAATAGACTTATTTAGGAAATAAACGTATAAAGGAACCAAGAGGCTTTCATAAAAATTTGGGGAAAAAATGGACCCAATATACTGTGTTGAGTGTTGGCCAAACTGACTATCCTAGACTTTCACTCTCAGTTTTATTTGATGTATTAATAATAGAAACTTGGTTTACTCTGATATTAATCTCATTAAAGTTCTCTGAAAGATGAAAAGCAATGGCAAAGAGTCTAGCAGTGTCTCTGACATGAGGAGTCTAGATTCAGAATCTGGCTGTGCTCTAGCTATGTTATTTAATCTCTCTGTACTTCAGTGTAATACTAGGTAGACTTAAACAATGATAGCATTGTCTTTTAAAGTGTTTGTGGAGATTAAATAGAATAAGTAGAGCACTTAGAATAGTGTCTAGTAAGCAGCAAGTGCTGGCGGTTATTAGATCATGGTTTAAAAGTTGTTACCAACGTAAGACATCCAGTTTAATGATTTTTTTTTTACCGAGGACAACACAACCACTTAACACACTTCTCATCTTTTCCCCTAGTTCAGTTAAAAAAGTCCCTTACTTTTTAAAAAAAAATTTTAACAGCTCATTACTGAGATATAATTTACATATAATAAAAGGTACCATTGTAAGTGTATGGTTTAATGAATTTGACAAACCATCATCCAGTCAAGACACAAGACTTTTTCATCACTCCAGAAAAGTTCCCTCATCCTTCCCACCCCAGGAAACCATTGATCTGTTGTCTGCTGTGTATGTTTACTTTGGTCCAGATTTCATACAGTAAATTTCATACCAGTATATGGTTCTTCTGTTAGCATCATGTAAGATTCATATTATCACATACGTCTGAAGTTTGTTATTTATTACTGAATATGTTCTTTGTGTGGACTACCACAATATGTTCGTTTTCCTATTGATGAACATTTGGGTTGTTTTCAGGTTTTTTTTTTTTTGGCTAGTTTGAATATTAGCCAAAGAACTGAACGTTCATGGACACATCTTTGTATAAACAGTGTTTTCATTTCTCTTGGGTAAATGCAACTGATGAGTCACTTGTTTGAAAGAAGCCTTCAGACTTTTTCACAGTGGGTGTACTGTCTTACACTCCCACCTGCTGTGTAGGTGGGTGTCCATATCCTTGGCAGCACCTGGAATTCTCATTGGTAGGTGGTAGAATCTCATTGTGGTTTAAATCTACAATTCTTTCATGACGAATGATGCTGAGTCTGTCTCCATCAACGTACCTTCTTCTATGATGTATCTTTTCCAATTTTCTAAGGGCTTTTTTTTTGTTTTTAAATTATTTTAAGGGCCTTTGTTATTAAACACTGAAAATATATGGTACCCTGGCCCTAAAGGCAACAGGTAGATGATACCTTCAAACATGATAGATTTATTTGGCATCTGTGTGTGCTTTTAATAGTAGCAAACTAAGAGAGATGTCAGCAAAAACACAAGACTGAGATTTAACTGTTTTGAATGTCCTGGTTAGCCACTACTTAAACAGCAGGGTATTTAGAAAGGATGGCAGATGTGTTTATTTTCTTTTTTTAAAAAACATGAGTCTTGAGAAAAGGATGAAATGTTTCTAAACAACTTCAGCAAAGCAGCTGTTTTGTATTATTGTTATCAGCTGCATTGAGTCTTCATTAAAGTGCATGCACTTAGTTGTACCATGACATGTGGGATCTTAGGTCCCTGACCAGGGATCAAACCTGTGTCTCCTGCATTGAAAGCATGGAGTCTAAACCACTGGACCACCAGGGAAGTTCAAAGCAGCTGTTTTGAAATGCTGGTGGTGAAAGTCCCTGTTAACTGCCCTGGTACTGGGGCGACAAGGCTGGGCATTTCTGGTGCACTTCAGCCAACAGGTAGGCCATTGTCCCCAGGTAGGAGGCCCCAGTGGGGTCCACGTGGGAGGGCTTAGTGATGGGCACTTCCCTGTGTGGCCTTTCACCTGCAGTTAGTCCCAGGTTATCCGGTCGGGCGCCTTACCAAGGTGACTGTTCAGTTTTTTACCCCAGGCAAGTATTTCAGTTTTTTAATTTATCTGTTTATTTATCTATCTGTCTATCTGTCTTTTATTTATATATCTGTAGCTCAGATGGTAAAGAATCTGCCTGCAATGCAGGAGACCTGGGTTCGATCCCTGGGTCAGGAAGATCCTCTGGAGAAGGGAATGGCAACCCGCTCCAGTGTTCTTCCCTGGAGAATTCCACGGACAGAGGAGCCTGGCGGGCTACAGTCTGTGGGGTCACAAAGAGTCGGACACGATTGAGTGACTCACACTACTATTTATATATCTATTTATTTATTTTGATTGTGCCATTCAGCATGCAGGATCTTAGTTTGCTGACCAGGATCAAACCCATGCCCCCTGCAGTGGAAGCATGGAGTCTTAACCACTGCATCTCCAGGGAAGTCCCTCAGTTTGTTAGTTTATTCCTTCCTTCATTTATCCATTTATTTAAAAGTATGTGTTGACTACAGATCATGTCTCAGGTAACTGTTTAGGCATTGGGCTTGCAGTGTGATTGAGACAAAAGTCTCTACCCTGTGGCGCTTGCATTCCACTTGGTGCCCTCAGGAGCAGGTTTGGGCTCCGGTGGAGGAAATGTCCAGGACACCCTATTTTTTAAGAAGCATCTCAGGCAAGCCAGAGCCACCTTCTCCTTCCCTTTTGTTGTTATTCAGTTGCGAAGTCGTGTCCCACTCTTGGTGACGCCATGAACTGCAGCACACCAGGCTTCCCTATCCTTCATTATCTCCCGGAGTTTGCTCAAACTCATGTCCATTGAGTCGGTGATGCCATCCAACCATCTCATCCTCTGTCACCCCCATCTTCTCCTGCCTTCAGTCTTTCCCAGCATTAGCATCTTTTCCAATGAGTTGGCCTTGCATCAGGTGACCAAACTACTGGAGCTTCAGCTTCAGCATCAGTCCTTCCAATATTCAGGGTTGATTTCCTTTCAGATTGACTGGTTTGATGTCCTTGCTGTCCTTGGGACTCTCAAGAGTCTTCCCTAACACCACAGTTCAGAAACATCAATTTTAGGCGCTCAGCCTTCTTTGTGGTCCAGCTCTCACACCCATACATGACTACTGGAGAAACCATAGTCTTCCCTAGGCTCCCTTTTGTACTATCTTCCCCCTTTTGGTGGTGTGCTTTGAAAAATGAGGAAAATAAGAGGGGCATGCTAGAAGGTCATAAATGCCAAAGAGAAAAATCAAGCAGAGAAGTAGGAGAGGGAGGAGGAGTCGGCAAATTTAGGTGGGGTACCAGGAAAGGCAACGCTGAGAAGGAGCCGATGTAGGAAAGACCCAAAGAGGCGAGGGGCCAGCTGTGCCTCCGCCGGGGAAAGAGCGTCAGGGCATGGAGGACTCGCAGCTCCGGGGCAGGAGTGCCTGGCTGGGTCAACACCGCCCGGAGGTCAGGACGGCTGGCCCAGGGGGAGGGTCCCAGGCAGAGATGAACCTGGGGCCCCGCACCACTGGAGGACTTTGACGTTTACTCTGTGCTGAGAAACACTGGAGGATTTTGATCACAGATGTGGCCTGGTTTGAGAAAAAACAGCAGGAGGGATGATGTAGGGGCAGGAGAGGGAACCTTCTTCCCTCCCACCTGTCACTGACCTAGCAAAACCTCTCCTAATTGTGTCTGCACAGAAATAGACAATGAACCAAGGAGAGCAGCAGGAGAGAGTGTAAGAGGCCTGAGTATCTCAGGCAGATGAAGGACCATAAAGGACAGAGGTAGGATGGTCTTAGTCATTGGAAACTGATGTTTCAGAGACTTTTTGGAATATATACATGTGTGTATACATATTTATTTATTTATTTTTTGGCTGCACCACGCGGCTTGTTGGATCTTATTCCCCAACCAGGGTCTTAACTACTGGACCACCAGGGAACTCCCAAGACTGCTGAATTTTGTACAGCTCTTAGACTTGTGAAAACTACTTTTCCTTGGAAGTTCATTTGTTAAGACTGTTGTTTCCTTGGCAAAGCCTGATCTCTTCATCCTGATCAGTTGATTATTGGATTCAGTAAAAGTCTGTCCTGTGTCCTCGGAAATATGGAGTCAGATTTTTCTTTTCCTTGTTTAAAAAAATTCTGAAACGTTAAATAGCTTCAGTTGGGTTGCAAGGGGCATCTGTATGCTTGTGCATCACTGGCTGTGCCAGCGTGATGCAGAAAGGATCTTTTCTTCCCTGGCAAACCCAACTCTAATTATACTGATTGGATTTTAAGTGTTTTTTCTTAACTACAGGTAACTAGGTAAAGAAGGCTCCAGGGGACCTTCCCGACCCAGGGACAGAACCCGCGGTTCCTGCATTGGCAGGCAGATTTTTCTTTACTGCTGAGCCACCAGGGCGGCCCATTGTAAAGAAGGCCGGTGACTGATGAGCAGAGCGGCGAGGCTGCCGAGTGAGGCAGAAGGGCAGGCCTCGGAGACAGAGGAGGATGACATGGCAGAAGGCGATCTAGGGTATGGCCTCGGAAGAAGGCCTGGCGGCATTTGTGAAGTGCAAGTTTCACATTTATTTAAATCTAGAAAAAGATCAGATGGAAAGAATTTTAGTCCTCCCCTGTTTTCAAGAAATGGGGACAAAAGAAACAGCGCCGTTTTTCAGTATTCCAGGCAGAAGAGCTTTCAAGATCCATACCTGGAAGGGCCCCAAATTCCCTATCACAAGCGACAAAGTCTCACCGGTAAGAATGCCTACTGTCCTCATCCTCTTTTCTCCCTCATGAGTGCGATCAGTGCTGCCACCCTTCCAGTGCATGAAGATGGGTCACCATCATGGGCTTTAGAAATTTATCTTTATTCACTTCTAGAGATTAATTGGTGATGGTATAAAAGTAATTGATCTTTCTGTTTCCAGTTCAGTTCAGTTCAGTCGCTCAGTCATGTCTGACTCTTTGCGACCCCATGAACCGCAGCACGCCAGGCCTCCCTGTCTGTCAGCTAACTCCCAGAGTTCATCCAAACACATGTCCATCAAGTCGGTGATGCCATCCAACCATCTCATCCTCTGTCGTCCCTTCTCCTCCTGCCCTCAATCTTTCCCAGCATCAGGGTCTTTTCAAATGAGTCAGCTCTTTGCATTGGGTGGCCAAAGTATTGGAGATTCTGCTTCAACATCTGTCCTTCCAATGAACACCCAGGACTGATCTGCTTTAGGGTGGGCTGGTTGGATCTCCTTGCAGTCCAAGGGACTCTCACGAGTCTTCTCCAACACCACAGTTCAAAAGCATCAGTTCTTCTGTGCTCAGCTTTCTTTGTAGTCCAACTCTCACATCCGTACATGACCACTGGAAAAACCGTAGCCTTGACTAGACGGACCTTTGTTGGTAATGTCATAACTAAACATAAACTCTGCTTGTACACTCGAGAGAATGACATTCGGAATCATCTTGTGATACAATGTTAACATCCCTGAAGTGACTGGGAACTGGTGGGCGAGCCCCTGCCTGCACTGTGGCGCAGCTCTGGTGTGGCTGAATCTTTTGTAATCCACCGTTGTAAAACTTCCCCTCCAAGGTGGAACAGCATGAAAATAATTTGAGAAACACAGTTTCAGATGTACAAATAACATGTTGCAGCTAGGGATTGATCTCTATCCCTCAGAATCCTTCTTGAAATTAAGATGAGATTATTTACATATTTTTCTCCAAAGTCTTTATCATGCATAGAGGATGGATACTGTTTTGCAAGAAAGATGTTGAAAACTGAGCATTAAAAACTTTAGGAAACTACTGGGATATAAATAAGAAATAATAGTAATGGTATGAGCTCCTATTTTGAGAATTTATGGCCTTTTGCCTTTTCATCAAAGTTGATTCTAGGTAAGAATATGGTATTCGTTTCCTCTTGCTAATAAGCAGTTTCCAAATTATCAGAAATGTAATGGTTTAAAGCAACACAAATTTTATTCTCTTACAGTTCTATAGGTCAGAAGCCCAAAGTAGGTTTCACTGGGCTAACACCATAGTGTAAGCGTGACTGCCTTCATTCTGGAAGCTCCAGGGGACAATCTGTTCCCTTGCCTTTTCCACCTTGTAGAGGTTGCGTCCCCTTGTCCACAGTCCACTTCCTCTATTTTTGAAGCCTGCAGTCACTGGTCAAGTCTTTCTCCTGCTGCATCATCACTCCAATTCTGATTCCCCTGCCTCCTCTTTCATTTGTAAGGAGCCTTGTGATTACATTTGGCCCAGCTGGGTAATCCAGAATAATCCCCTGTCTCCAAGCTCTTAATCACATCTGCAAAATCCCTTTTGCTAGGTATTCACAGGTTCTGGGATTAAGATGTAGACACTGGGGACCATTATTCTGCCTACCACAAGTATTAATAGAATAGAACTTGTCACTGTCAGCCCAGAGTCACTTTTGCACCTGCTTGGAACCCTGAATTATCAGAGTAAAAACCTGACTTAGGTTTTCCCTTGGATACTGTCATGTTGATGAAAGTTCAGAATAGCAAAAAAAATTTTGAGAAACTTTTGATGTCCTTCCAAATAGTCTTTCTAATTGTTTTGCTTCCTTTTACTTCCCATCCTCTTGCTCTAATATACCACTTCAGTGTTTTTCTGTTGCCAGTGAAACTGCAATGAAAATGAAGTTACTGGGAAACTCATTTTAATGTCTCAATTGATCATATTAAGGAGAGAATAATTTAAGTTATTAGAGAATTCTTGTCATTCTCCTTGGAAAGAAACTAAATTCAGGTTATTTCTTAGATATTTATATCATGATATTGATCAGGCTTAAGCCAAAACACCAAAATTCATTTATTTCACTCACCAACATTCATGTTTTTTGACACTGTATTTGGTTATAGTAGTTAACCAATTAATTAACAACAGTTTTATTTAAGAGTCCTTTTTTTAAAAGAATCTTTTGATTCAAAAGTATGTGTCTTTTCACTTGTGGAGTGTTTTAAGCTACCTGTTTTTATCATCATTGCTTTATTACAATTATTTTCTTTTCCATTTAAGGAAAGCCTGTATTTGATATCTTGTAAACAAATGTCCTATGTCTAACTAATTTAAGAAAATATTTAATTTTTTCCCCCTCTAATAGATTCTAATTCAGAGTTGTCAAATGTGGAATTAAGGCAACGTCTTCGTGAAACTTTAGAGGTAGGTACTCAGGCTGATATACAAATTCTCATGTGAATGAAGACCACTGACAAGACATTTTGTTAAAGTGATACTAACATGGCATGGAACGCAGTTGTTGGCTTTCCAGATATTTTTCAGCCATGGGTGGCAAGCTCGTAACTTCCAACTGGCCTCCTTATCTCTCATAACGGCTGTTTATGTAAACATGCCCTCTTGTTCTCCTTTCCACCTTACTTCTCTAATCTCCCAGAGAAAATAGTAGTCACTCCCTTTCATCTGTCTTCACAGAATGTGTGACTTGAATAACCTGGCCTAATTTAACGTCTTTCAAGTCAGAGGACCAGAAAGCACCCAGGTGGTCTGCAGAGGTTGTCCATCTTGCTTGGGAGTAGGAGTTCCAGTGAGGGTGGCTGTCCTCTCAGGAACAGGAAGCCTGTCTTCATGTGCATTTGTGAACTCTTCTGGTGAAAGCTGCTCTACTGGTTTCCTGGAGCTGCCCTGACACCCTGGTGGCTTAAAAGAGCAGATTGATTCTCTTTCAGTTATGGAGGCTCAGTTTAGTTCAGTCGCTCAGTCACGTCCGACTCTGCGACCCCGTGAACCACAGCATGCCAGGCCTCCCTGTCCATCACCGACTCCCAAACTCATGTCCATCGAGTCAGTGATGCCATCCAGCCATCTCATCCTCTGTCGTCCCCTTCTCCTCCTGCCTCCAATCCCTCCCAGCATCAGGGTCTTTTCCAATGAGTCAGCTCTTCCTATCAGGTGGCCAAAGGATTGGAGTTTCAGCTTCAGCACCAGTCCTTCCAATGAACACCCAGGACTGATCTCCTTTAGGATGGACTGGTTGGATCTCCTTGCAGTCCAAGGGACTCTCAAGAGTCTTCTCCAACACCACAGTTCAAAAGCATCAATTCTTTGGTGCTCAGCTTTCTTTGTAGTCCAACTCTCACATCCATCCATGACCACTGGAAAAACCATAGCCTTGACTGACAGACCTTTGTTGACAAAGTAATGTCTCTGCTTTTTAATATGCTGTCTAGGTTGGTCTAACTTTTGTTCCAAGGAGTAAGCGTCTTTTAATTTCAGAGGTCTGAAATTAAGGTGTGGGTGGACCATGTACCCTCTGAAGGGTCTAGAGGGACCTTTATAACCTTCCTAGCTTCAGGTGGTTGCCACCAATAGTCTTAGACTTGTAGCTTCATCACACCAGTCATTGGATTGAGGCCTACCCTAATTCAGTATGACTTTAATTACGTAAAGACCCTATTTCCAAATAAGGTCGAATTTAAGGTACCAGGGGTTAAGGCTTGAACATATGTTTTGGAATAGGGGGCACAGTCTAAGCCATAATATTAGCAGCTCATGGAGCTGTATGGATGAGCATGTGCTTAATTTACATGGTCTAAAGATTTTTGTCCAAATTATTAACTGTGGAGCCTAGGGAATTCCCTGGTGGTTCAGTGGACTCTGTACTCACACTGCCTGCTGCTCAGGTTCAGTCCCTGGTTGGGAAACTAACTACAATCCCACAAGCCTCATGTGTGGCCAAAAAGCAGAAGCAAACACACACACAAACTGTGTGGCCTAGATGGGTAAAAGCAAAAGATCTGGGCTTTTAGACCTAACTGATACCTGATAGTAATGATCTCAGTTTTAGCCTCTCTCGTCCACTTATATAGCCTGGAGGAATTTCAAACCTCATTTTGTAAGGTCAGAGTGCTTTGAGTCAAAGTGAATGTTGAGCTTAAATGTAAACTAAGTTGATCATTAGCGGTGGCATATATTACAGATAGGAAGACTGATTGTATTCTTCTCCTCAGGAGGTAGAAATTTTGAAAACTGAACTTGAGGCATCTCAAAGACAACTTGAAGGTAAAGAGGAAGCATTGAAAATTCTTCAAAGCATGGTAAGAAGTTATTTTCAAACTTTCATCAGGTACACAGTCCAGTGATAAGTAGTATGATTTTAGTTTTTGTTTTTCATTTATCTTTATTTTTATATTTTTGGCTGTGTTGCACAGCTTGCAGGATCTCAGTTCCCCAAGCAGGGACTGAACCCTGGGCCATGGCAGTGGAAGTGCTGAATCCTAACCAGCAGATCACCAAGGAACTCCCTGGTTTTAGCTTTTAAAATAAAAGCATCAATGCTTAATACAGTTTTTTGGTGTTTTTTTTTAGCTACAGATTTTTTAAACGGCCTTATTAAGATAAAACTTATGTGTCATAAATTTCACTTGTTTTAAGCATACAATTTATTTTTACTAAATTTAGACTTGTGTAACCATCATCACAACCTAATTTATACTATTTCCATCACCCTCCAAAAGGAACCTCTTATTAGTAGTTATTCTTATTCCCATCCCCCAACAAGCACTACCTCCTTTCTGTTTTATAGTTTCGCTTTTTCTGTTTCATAAATAGGATCATACAGTATGTGTCTAGATACTTGTGCCTCTGGATTCTTTTACTTAGCATATTTTTAAGATTCATGCATGTTGTAGTATGTGTCAGTGCTTACTTCCTTTTTTATTACCAAGTAATATTCCATTGTATAGATATACCACATGTTGCTTATCCATTCACCAGTTGAGAGGCATTTATGTGGTTTATAGTATTACTTTTTGGCTGTTATAAATCATACTGCTGTGAATGTTCATGGACACGTTTTTGTGTGGGAAATCCATTCATTCGTTCTCACATTCATTGGGAAAGAACCAAACCAAGATCTTCTGATTTTGAACTATCAAACTATACAAAAGGTGGTCTCTCTGGGAATTCTCATCTCAAGGCAGTTTTCTGCTTCTGCTGTCTTAAAATAAAAATGCGAAGAATAAAGATGTGAACTTCACCTTGTATATAAGGACGATCAGATATTTAATTTATACTGATATGTCTTTATTTTTCTTAGGCAATATTTGGCAAAGCCACAAGTCATACCCAGGCAGTGCTTCAAAAAACTGTGGAACAAAAGAGATCCTTGGAGAAGGTATTTGACCCCTTGTAGCATAGACTTGTTCAATTTAATAATCTTTCCAATAGAGTTTCCCTAAAAATCAGCATACCAATAGTTATGTCATTGGTGCATACCTTCTACCAGATGTACTTCAGGTTCATACAGTCCCTTCCCTTTTGGATCTTATAGTCCAAAACAGATTGTCACATGGGCTGACCCTGCCAAACTGACACTTCTATTTCTCTTCTTCTATTTTTCTCCCTCTGCTTGCCCTGCAGAGCTTGCCTCTCTCTGTTTCGTCTTCACTAAAAAGGTAATTAGGCAGCAGCATGGAAGCAGCTAGAGATTATCATACTAAGTGAGCTAAGTCAGGAGGAGGAAGACAAATACCAGATGATATCACTTATATGTGGACTCTAGAGGACGACACGAATGAACCTATCTACAAAACAGAAGCAGACTCACAGACATAGAGAACAGGCTTGTAGCTGCCAAGGGGTGAGGGGTTCGAGAAGGACAGACTGGGAGTTTGGGACTGGCAGGTGTAAGCTCTTAGGCAGAGTGGATAAGCAAGGTCCACTTGCTTAGGAATCACTCTAAGTGGTCACATTCCTGTGTCTGTTTCACTCTCCCTTGATGGGAGTGTCCTGGGCTCAGACTTCCAGGAGTGTATTTTGGGGTCTGCATGGATTGGAAGTGATCAGAAATCTAGGCTCAAGCCAGCAAAATTTGAAGCTAGACAATTTGAAATTTTTCTAATAATGAGTAAGCTTCAGTAAAGCTTTTTGAGTGCTAAAGAGGCATGTTATATGTGTTTACAAATGTCACAGACTCTTTTTGAGCAATAATTAGTGTTTTCTCTTTAGCTTAGTTCTGTGAAATGACTAAATGATTTATTTCAGTTATTTATAAGTCATAAAATGATTTAATTGTAGTAATTTTCCTTGAAAGTGCTATTTTTTCCTACAGGAAATAAATGCCTTGCAGTGGGAAATAGAATTTGATCAGAATAGATTTAAAAATAGAGAGGAATCTTGGATCCAAAAATATGACAGGTTTGTATATTATTATTCCATAATTTTTCTTTGGAAATTTTTAAACGGTGTATAATTTAAGTGTAGTTTAGGCTTTCTTCTTCTTTAACCTAAGTGTAAACATAAAATTCAGGGAATTCCTTGGCAATCTGGTGGTTAGGACCCAGTGTTTTCATTGCCAGGGCCTCAGGTTCAATCCCTGCTCAGAGGACTAAGATCCTGCAAGCTGTGTGGTGTGGCCAAAAATAAAAAAATAAAAAATGAAATTCTTGTTGCTTATCTACTTACCAGTTCCATATTTTACTGTTACTGTTTTCTTTTTTAAAAAATACAGTATAAACTGTGTGTTAAAATACTGTTTAAGAATGTGTTTCTGAAGTTATTTTAGCATTGGCACTGTTTTTTACAGTCTTCTGAACAACTCTTTTATCAGTGTAAATTTATTTAATAACTTTATAGCATATTTACAAGGTCAGTCATTGAGAAATTGATACCTGGAGTTATAGATAGCTTTAGTACCTATTTTTTAACTTACTTCTTAATTTGAGATAATTGAAGACTTACAGAAAAGTTGTAAGAATAGTACAAATAATTCCTATATATCTTTTACCAAGATTCTCCAAATTTTAACTTTACCACATTTACTTTATCATTCTTTTTACCTTTTTTTCTCTCTTTGTAGTTAAATACATAAATATAAATAGAGGTAATATTTTTCTGCTTTGTTCAAGGGCTATAGACATTGCTTGAAAAACTGATTTCACATTTTATTAATTTGTTAGGTAATTCATGGAAAGGGGATGCCTTAGATTTACATTTTTCTAGCTGTAACCGACATATTACATTAGTTCAGGAGTGCAACACAATGCACTCAGCACCTGTTCATATTGCAAAATGTTCACCACAGTAAGTCTAGTCAATGTCTGTCACCATACATGGTTACAGAATTTTTTTTCTTGTGATGTGAACCACAGTTCACTTTTTAATTGAGAAACTTGAACTTCATGACCACTGTTCTAATGATATGAGGCCTAGGGCCTATATCATTTGGGATAAATATTATATCCCAAGCACAGGATATAATATTCCTTAGGAATATCACAACATGTCTTGATAGGTATTTTATTTAAAGTTACAAATTAGACCAGATGATCTGGCTACTGTTTTTAACTACAAAAGCATTTTTTTTAAGCCTCTGGTGTTGGGGCAATTTAAGAACTCCTGTAAGTAATTCCAACTTTCATTCAATAGGTAAAGCTCCCTATATCTCTTTTTCTTACATTGAAGTATAATTGACATGTAACATTGTATTAATTTCAGGTGTACAAGATAATTCAGTATTTGCATATGTTGCAAAATGATCATTACAATAAATCTAGTTAATATTCATTGTCATACATCATTACATTTTTTTCTTATGTTGAGAACTTTTAAGGTCTACTTTCTTAGCAGCTTTCAAATACTGTACAGTAATTGTTGGCTATAGTCTCCACACTATGTAATACATCCCGAGAACTTATTTATTTTATAACTGAAAATTTGTACCTCCTATGTAGCTTTTTATGTAAATTTTGGAAGGTACCCTAAGAATGTAGTTGGTGGTCAAATGGTTATTGAGTTGATTGAAACTTTAGTAAAGAGAAATGAGTCTTCAAGATAGATGCCTTACAGTTATTTCTGGTTCTGATTTTCTCAGCTAAATATACAGACGTGTTAAGAGTAAGTACAAAATCTTACCACATTCCTTTAAATTCTAGACAGTTTTGAAGTACGAAAAATTTTATTTGGGTTTTAATGTTCCAACTATGGGATTAAATATTCAACTACAAAATGTTAATTTTTTTTTCCAAAATGTTAATATTTTAATGATTTGGAGGGTACTCTTTTCCAGGCTAAACTGTGAAAATGCAGTCCTCAAAGAAACTTTGAAACTAAAAACAGAAGAAATTAAAATGCTCAAGTCTGAAAATGCAAGTAAGTAGGATTGTATTTTGATAATTTGTTTTTAAATATTATGTTAAAAGATCAGTTTTATCCTATGTTAATGCACACATGAACAAAGTGCTAATATTTTGAAGTAATATATTTTAAGAATAAAAGAAGAAATGCATCAATTAGTTTTTTCTTAAATTAATTTTGGCTACGCGGGGTCTTCGTTTGCTCCACTGGGGCTTCCCCTAGCTGCGTTGAGCAGGGGCTGCTCCCGTTGCCGTGCGAGGCCTCTCACTGCAGCAGCTTCTCCTGTTGCAGAGCACGGGCTCCAGGCGCAAGGGTTCAGTAGTTGTGGCTGAAATGCATCAATTAGTTTTTTCTTAAATTAATTTTGGCTACGCGGGGTCTTCGTTTGCTCCACTGGGGCTTCCCCTAGCTGCGTTGAGCAGGGGCTGCTCCCGTTGCCGTGCGAGGCCTCTCACTGCAGCAGCTTCTCCTGTTGCAGAGCACGGGCTCCAGGCGCAAGGGTTCAGTAGTTGTGGCTGAGGGGCCTAGTTGTCCTGCAGCGTGTGGGTTCTTAGTTCCCTGACCAGGGGTCAAGCCTGAGTTCCTGGCAATGAGAGCCCGGAGTCCTAGCCACTTGACCGCCAGGGAATCCCCAGAAGAAACTATTTTTCAAAGTGGTGGCTTGAAAGGGATAAGATGAGTGCTCAATCGGGTCACGGGCCCAAGAGCAGCACCTTCCATAGTATAGTAAGTGAACTGTGGCGATGCCCCGGGTGAGAACTGCAGGTACAGATATGCTTCTCCACACCAGTGATCTGAGCAGATAGTAATTTCCTTCTTGTTGGGTTTGTGCCAGGACAGAAACTGCTAACCACTAGCCCTGCGCTTCCTCCCCATCCTTCTACCCTGCAAGAAGAGAGGAAAAGTTACTGTTTTCTGCTCCACAGTAAATAGCAGGACCCCTCTTGTTCTAAGTATTTGGGTTGAGAGCCTCTTATGAAAACTATTAACTAAAAGAAAAGTCTGATTGAGTTTACAGAGCTGGTACAGTGCATTAATTCAATACAGACAGTACATTAATATAGTATATGAGATCTCATTGTCTCACAGTGTGGATATTCTGTGTTCTCTTTTTGAAAATCCTACAAATTGTTTTTGAGCAAATGACGACCAGACTTCAGTTGCAGTTAAGATCCTTCCACGTTAAAAATAACATTTTGTGGAGAAGGAACTGGCAACCCCCTCCAGTATTCTTGCCTGGATAATCCCATGGATAGAGGAGGCTGGCAGGCTAGAATTCATGGGGTCACAAAAAAAAAAAAAAACACATTTTGGACTTTCCTGGTGGCTCAGTGGTAAAGAATCTGCCTGCCAGTGCAGGAGACTGGTGTTCAGTCCCTGGCTCGGGAAGATCCCCTGGAGGAGAACCTACTCCAGGATTCTTGCCTGGGAAATCCTATGGAGAGAGGAGCCTGGTGGGCTACAGTCCATGAGATCGCAAAGAGTCGGACACGACTGAGCATGCACGCACATGTGTATTAGCACCTACTTAATACCCACTATTCTTTTAGATAGATTTTCTGGCTGGAGGCAGATTTTGTGGGTAGTTGTATATCCCTTGCTTAGAAGAACTAAGTATGGGATGTTAGTTTAAGTGGATCAGGTGAAGCTGGAGTTAGACGTCATGACTAACACTTTCTTACGTGGCCCTTCCCAGTTTTGAATCAACAGTATTTGGAGGCGCTTGGCATGCTTGATATCAAACAGCAGAAGGTGGCTCAGGAAGACACCTGCCAGGATAGAAGTGGCTTTACAGAGGTTTCAGGTCTTGAGGTAGGTAAGCAGTTATGAAAATTTAGCAGGAGGGAATTTTTCACTTCCGTTATGTTTCTGTGATTGCCATCATCTCCTCGTCTACAATAGCAACATGCTTAGCACCTTGAGACAGAGGGTGAGAGGCCTGTGTCCCTTCTTCAGCCTTGCAGGTAGTATACCCTTTGGACACTAGGGGATGAGCTTGCCGCTTCCTGCTCCTTTTATTTCCTTTGTCTAGTTTCAGGAGAAACTATGTTAGTAGTATCTCCCCTGGGTAGAGGCTTACCATGGCAGAGTACTTTCCCACACATTTTAAAATCTGATCTTTGGGCCGGGGAGCGCGGGCCGGCGTCGGGGGTTGTGAGAGCGGGGAGCGCGGGCCGGCGCACTGGGGTGAGGGCGGAGGGTGAGCAGCGAGCCTGGCCAGGGCGGGGAGCGGGCAGCGTGAGCTGGGAACATGGGAGCGGCGAGCCGAGCCGGCACCGCAGGGGGCGCGTGAGCGAGTGTCTCTGGGAGCCTTCCACAGAAGTGTGTGGATCCTTTATCTGGAGCTGCTGGCCAAAGAGGAAAAAAGACATTAAATGGACAAGTAGAAGGGTGTATTTTCCAAATAAAACTGAGCTGTAACATGGAGCTATAACACTTTCGGAGAGCTGTGACGCGCCGAGAGGTTTTACGTCTGTTGCTTCAAATTTTTGCTGACAAGACAGAACCGAGGAAATTACACACTCCCTTGACAACCTTAATAGATAAAGAAAAGGTAATTTTAACAAAACTTACAGATTTGTCAGCGGAACTAGACTTAGAAATGACATGAGAGGAAGAACAAGAAAAATCTGATGGAGATGAAAATAACCATTCACAGATTGACCTTAAAGCAAGAAGAAGAGAATAGAAGAAATGCTGATATGTTATATGAAAAAATTAGGGAGCAGTTAAGAAGAAAGGAAGACCAATATAGTAAAGAAGCTAAAATGAAACAGCAACCTGAACTCACTCTCAGAGCACTAGATGGAACTGAAGACTGAGAAATGATCTGAATCAGGTTATGGAAGAGTGACATGACGCTCAGAACCAGCTTTCTGCAGAACGGAATGCCAGAATCTTACAGGAAGGAATCCTGGCCAATAACCTTGCGAAACAAAAGCAGAAAGAAATGGCTGATAAGGAAATGAACTCTTAGACATTACAAAAAGGTATTGAAAGTTATGGGAGCAGCAAATAATCTCATGGTTGTCTAAGAAGAGCTATCCAAGTTTTACCTATCACCATCCGTGTATGCACTGTGAGTGAAGTAAGAGGCTTATTCGGTGTTGATGTGTTTGCACCAGAGAAGGGGCCGTGGTCTGATGTATGAGGACAGGTGGAGTCGGAAAACCTGCTGCTTACTTATATTTCTAGCTTCTTTCTTCCCAGAGTCGTTATAGCTAATGAGTTAACTGATGTTTTTGTAGAAGTGCTTAGTGCAGCTGTCAATAGGTTTAATTCTTATAATTGACTATTAAGATGTTAGAACAGTAACATATTCTCAAGAAAAAAACTTTTTACAAAATTTAATCTGTTTAAATATGTACAGAGCTAAGGATTTTATTGTAGGGCAGCTGTATAGGTTAGGTATCAGATGTATATTTTTTAAAGCTAGCAAGTGGTGGTGTGTACTGGAGGTATTTTTCATATTTGTTGGGATAGTTTTATTTTTATTCATGTCAATTTGAATTAATTTGGGAAACATTTCAGCATTGAATAATTTATTTTTATAGCCTCTCAACTGTTTCCAGGCATCTACTTCTAATAAAATCATAATTTGGAACTCAAAAAAAAAAAAAAATAAATAAATAAAATCTGATCTTTGTAATGGTCTTGTGAAGGCTGCGAAGCAGGTATCAGCCCCATTTTACAGAGGAAACTCAGGCTCAGATAGTTTCATTTCCCTCCCTGAAGTGACACAGTCCGTCTGGGGTTGAGCCCAGACTGATGCCTTGCTGTTTGCTTGCTGAGGTGTGAACTGTCTTACAGGGTAGAGGTTTGGCTGATAAGATAAAAAGAGTCCTGGGGACTCGTGAGAAATAAACATCAGTGAGAGGGAGTAGCCATTCACTTATTACAGAACTTCAAATAAAGTAACTGCTACTCATAATAGCAAATACATAGTCCTAAGTAAGCACCAGATACTGTTCTGAGTGCTTTGCATAGATTTATACATGTAATTCTCACAACTACCAAATAAGGTAAGTACTGTTAAATCCTTATTTTACAGATGAGGGTAACAGAGGCACAGAAGGGTTCAGTAATTTGCTCAAAGTCACAGAGCTGGTAAGTGGTGGAACTGGGATTTACACCCAGGTAGAGTTTAGAGTCTGTGCTTTTGATTACCATGCTATACTGCCTGGGTGGAAAACTAGTGTATTTGCCAAAAGAAACGTAAAAGAAACTGAACTGATAGAGAGCTCAGAATAAGTGTGCTTTATTATAATCCTGAGCAGGCTGTCATAAGTAACCTTGTAACAGGCAGGAACAAGGGCCCTGAGCCGGCTGATGGAGGAGCACTGAAGTAAGGACAGAGAACTGGAATTGAGAGGTCCTTACAGAAACCTTGAATTCTGAAACTGGTTGTTGGCAACTTTTGCAGGGACAATATAGAGCAGTTGGAGGTTGAAAAGGGAAGAGGGAAGATACCAATCAGCCATGTAACCACCCTGTGTACACTCAAGTCAGCTGAAAGCTATCTACTTCAGTTATCTTCCATGTGAGAAGGAATTTTCTGAAATAGCCTTTACCCTAAGACAGACTGTGGAATCTTCTCTAAGTACTCTCTAAGATAAGATTCTATTTTAAGCCAGTCCATTCATATGAAATTTTAAGCATCAGGAAGCTTCGACAATAATTTGTGGTAAGTTTCACATGAAACTTTAAAAGATATGGCCCAATATCACACAGACTGCCCCCATTAAATTGGAGTATGTTGGGAAAGCAACTTGGGGTTAGTTGTCAAAATGAGTTTTAAGAAAAAGTACAACAGTTCTTACTTTTCTTCTGGCTATAACGGTCAACCAGGAGTGACCCAGACGGACTAGTTTCTTCATTGTGATCTGAAGACAGGTTTTGAGGAATCTGGGCCTTATGCAATTCCAGAACATTGGGTGAGCCAGGAAGTATTTAAGAATGTATTACATGATCACAGGGCATCTTTTTTAGGAGTGGCAGGATGATGGTATTCCTCATCAGTGTTAAAAACCACCATTTCTGGGCATGCATCTTTCCTTGCAGGACCTGACAGTAATCCATGCTGGGAGGCAGAGCCAAGCCCAGTCCCAGGAAATCTATGAGACAGGTGTTTATATTTACTTCACTAGATCAAATTCCTGCCAAGGACTCAGAGGTATAGGAAACTGATACCAAGGGAAAGGTTTAGGAGACTGAAAAGAAATGTAGAATTCCTTTAGGTTTTTGTTCTTGTAATACCAGTCTGTGCTCATTTGTAGTTAATTTCCACTTGGGTCCTGAAATTGTGGTCTCAGCTTCCTATTTGTTTTCCGTCGCAGTCTCTCTGAATCAGATGCCTGTCTGAAATGTGCGGCGGGTTCGTGTGCGCCCCGTGTTTGCGCCCGGCGCAGCAGTGTTACTTAGTAATGGCTAATTCTTTTGGGTTTGAAGCTTGCAGCGCCGGGAGCCTGCCTCTGTCACCGTCCCAGAGGGAACTCCGGTGCTTGTGCCAGAATGGCCGTGTCCACTCGGAAAGCGCTCCTGCAGCTCAAACAGGAGGTAAAAACCGTGAAAGCTTTGATTGTTTCTCTGTTCAGACAGTAAGTGCCCTGCATACGAGCCTTCAAGTTGCTAACTTTGAGAGATGCGAGTGTGCCTTCCCTCGTCCAATCACGTTAGTTCACATGTGTCTGGTGTACAGTCGCATGCAGGCATCCTCTACAAGGGGTTGCGCTTTTGTTTTTACTACTGTACAGTACTGTATAAAGTACAGATCTTAAAAAAAAAAATACAGATCTTTATTTCAAGCCCAGGATGTCTGCAGGCAAATGTAAAAGCAACGGTATATAGCTGATTGTATTATCTGGGTACCTAGGCTAACTTTGTTGCACTTGTGATTGTGATCTTGGAATGGAACTCATTTGTATGTAGGGGACTTAATATATAAAGGTGAGTAAATGAAAGTATATGCAGTAATTAGCTTCACTGGTAGTCACTGGCTATGGAAATTATCCTTAGTTTTAAATGATATCAGTAACATTAATGTAAAAACTGGTTTACATGGTTTCAAAATACAAATAATACTTGGCACAGTATTGTAGCCATGAAGTTGTTTCCTATGTTTTAGTTAGTAATTCCTGAGTTCTTCTTTCTTTTGTCTATACATGGCCCTAAAATTACTAGATATTAAGAGGAAAAGTGCTTAAAATCATCAGGATGCACAACACTGATTAACAGATAAACATGAAGCTTCTTAGAAAAGCTGCAAGGTACAGTGGAAGGAACCTTTGTGCCAGCCAGATCCAGGTTTGAATCTCAGCTCTATCAGTTTCCACCTTTGTGGTTTTGGACACGTATGTTAAATGGAGGGTTAAGTAACTAGCTTGGAGGGTTGTTGTAAGAAATACAGTACATATAATGTTTAGCATATGGCCATGCCTGGCATTTAATCAAATGATAGCTGCCATTATGATTAGGCTTTAATAACAAATACAATGTGGACCATATTTTTAGAATGTTTTTATTGAAGGTATGGAATTTAGTCTTCAGTATATATGTCAAAGCAAGCAGCTAAACATTATCAATTCATTAGGAAAAGCATAAGATTACAAAGACCAGTGGGAGGTATCTGAAAGATGGTATTCATAATTATTTTGTGGTATTGTCTGGAATGGCCCAAGGCAGAAATGAAATGTGGCATTTGGCATCCTCCCTGCTTCCTTGTTGGGAAGGGCACACACAGGGCCTGTCTTGATAGTGAAGTCTGAGAGTTGGATTACCAAGGAGCTGACAGGCATAAGAGAAACTTCCAGTAATCTAGTTGGCAAGTACTAATTAAACATGCAATAGATCACAGATATGCACTAGACTCCACTCAGTGTTAAGTCTGCATTTGCTAATCTGACTCAGCCTTTAGTCAAATAATAAGGTAAAAAAAAATTGTTGTGGTTTTGCGTCCAACTCTTTGTAACCCCATTGACTGTAGCCTGCCAGGCTGCATGGGATTATCCCAGCTAGAATACTGGAGTGGGTTGCCATTTCCTACTCCAGGGGATCTTCTGACTCTGGGATGGAACCTGCTGACACGTGTCTCCTGCGGCTTCTGCACTGGTAGGCAGATTCTTCACCATCGAGCCACCTGGGAAGCCCTGGTTTTGCCTCTCACACCTCTCAAACTTTCTTTCCAAACCAGCTGGAACTTCTGCAGAAGAGTAAAGAAGAAGCCTACATAATGGCAGATGCATTCAGAATTGCATTTGAGCAACAATTAATGAGGAAAAATGACCAGGCACTAAGATTGACACAGATGGATAAAATGTGTAAGAAAGCAACAAAATGGCTAAGTTGGAAGCACCTTAAAGAAGATGGTAAATATGAATTATAATGGTAATAATCAGGTGTAATTTCAGTTGTTTTTAGTTATAATTAAGCATCATTAATATGGTGAATATAATTGAAATTTCACATATACTTATGATTTATCTAAATATTTAGCAACTATGGGGAAAAAGTTGGTCACTGAATGTTACCTATGCAAATGAAATCATAAAATAACAGGAGACTCTACTTTAGTACTCTTCTATTTCATTTAAACAAGACCATGCTCAGTGGAAAGAATTTGTAATGAGTGCTAGATGATTAAAGGGAAAAATGAGAGTGAAACCCAACATTAAACTTACCTAAGTGAACTTTATTTGAAATGTGTGTTTCTGGAAGGACACATTGAGCAGTAGAGGAGACTTAAATTGGGCAAATCAATAAAATATTCTTATAAAAAGTGAAACAGAAATTAAGGTTTAGATTTTGGTCTACAAGCCTATCAAAAATTTCAAGGCCATTTTTGAATCATTATGGCACTAGTGTAAACAAAATATATAAAAATGCCATGAGAGAATCAAATTGTCATTTAAGTATGTAGACTGTCCAATATAAACAAATAGGTATTATTTTATAGAAATTAGTTTCTCTTAATGGTCAATCTCAATTTTCATTTATAAGTATTACTCAGTAGAACTCATTTTGTTTCAATTTAAAATTCCAATTTGAAACCATTTATCAGTCATAATTAAAGTGAAGTTTATTAAGAAATGTAATTTTTATTATTAAAATTCTGAAATTTTATATAATCCTAATTCCATAATCCTAATCCATAATCCTAATTCCAGTATTTCTCATTTTCAGATGAATTTAGAACCAATAAGAATCTTATAGTATTAACAAATGAAACTTTTATTTTATTTTTTTTTTACAAATGAAACTTTTAATACATAATACTTGTTTTAAATATTTCTTTTCAAACAGTGCATATTAGTATTAGTATATGGGTCAAGTGTTGTGAAGTTTAGCTTCATTAACTAAACTTTACCCATCTCTTTGCTGCAGTGGTAAGAAATAACTTAAGGGATAATAAAAATATAAGTGGTAAACAAGAATTGTGAAAGTGGGTGAAAGCAGATTATAAAAGCTATGTATTTAGAGTCAGGTGGAAGGGCAAAAGGGGGAAAATTATTCCTCAACTCTCATTCTTAAACAGGCATTCCACTTTATCCTGAAACTAACTTTTTTTTTTTTTTTGAAACTAACTTTTAAAGGTGTTTCTTCTGAGATTTACAGAAGCTGATGAGCAAGTATAATGGCTAAGGCCTCCATGGGCATGGGCTTCCCAGGTGGCTTGGTGGTAAAGAATCCACCTGCCAATGCAAGAGACATGAGTTCTATCCTTGGGTTGGGAAGATCCCCTGGAGGAGGAAGTGGCTACCCACTCCACCATTCTTGCCTGGAAAAAAATCCCATGGACACAGGAGCCTGGCAGGCTAGTCCATGGGGACGAAAAGAGTTGGACACAACTGAACACACATGCAGAAAGAAGAGTAGGGAGAAAGAAGAAACAGGTAGATTCATATTCATTTCAGCACTTGTATTCATTTTATATTCCAGAATTCCTGCCTTGCCTATTTACAGAATTCAGGAACTTTTCCATTGAAAACATGATTTGAGAGGTACAATCTTTGCTTTCCGTAAGGTACTGAGACTGGAAGCAGAATCTAAAATACTTGGTTCGTCTCTGAAGTCTTTAAAGTCTACATATACTTTACTAACTTTGAGTTTCTTAGAGGAAAGCATGTGTGCCAAGTTGCTTCAGTCGTGTCTGATTCTTTGTGGCCCTATGGACCCGCCAGGCTCTGTGCCTGGGATCCTCCAGGCAAGAATACTGGAGTGAGCTGCCATGCCCTTCTCCAGGGGATCTTCCCCACTCACGGACAGAAGCCACACCGCCTTCGGCTGCTGCACTGCTGAGCCACTGGGGGAAGCTTCTTCACTTTATTAACATACTTCAATAATTTGTTGCAAAATGATTGTTACAGGTCATTTTTTTATTTGCAGTTAACAGTGTATTAACTTTTCTTGATTTGGCAGCTTAGACAAGTTCTGAGAGATAGCTCATGAACATATTTCTTTTTTTAGATTAAAGATAGAGACACATTCATTCACTCTCAGGATTGATAAGCCAGTCAACTTGTCTAGCTTTTCCCCTTTGCCATAGTTGCCACTGGCGAAGGTCAGGTGTGAGGCCCAGTCACTGTGGTTTATCAGGAATGGGTGGAAAGGGAATTGTCCCTTTGGAGTTCATCTGAAACTTTCTTGGTATATAAATCTATGACTTTGTATTTTCTGCTACAAACTGCATCCTTTCGATGGATGAAGAATATCAGCATAAATATTGCAGAAATGTGGACTTTTAAGTATAATACTTAAAAGTACCCGGGCTAGGTGCTTTCACAAATGTGTGGTTTAATTGTGATAATTATACATAAATCTTAGCATTTTAACCATTTTTGAGTCTCATTAAGTCCATTCACATTGTTGTATAATCATCACAACCATCCATCTCCAGAACCTTTTCATCTTCCTAAACAGAAACCCTGTACCCGTTCAATACCACTCCCCTCTCCCAGCTCACACTCTATTATTGAAATGGTACGGCAGCCCAGCAATAGAGCATGGGGACTATTATTTTAGAGGTGAGGACATGTAGCTTAGAGAATTTTATTCTAAAGTTGATACCCTTCCGAAGTGGCTAAATGGGGATTCAAGTCCAGGTTTTTTTCTGGCCAGAGGCCACCTGTCTGCAGGTATGTTTTGCTGGGAGTGTTCTCAATGTGGGTAGGTGGCCGACCTTTACATCGGAAGATCTCACGTACAAATGTGGATCGCTGGCTCCTCTGAAGACTGAGTGGGGTAGCAAGGGCTGAGCAATGTGAGTGCAGGGTGCTGCTCTGGGTTCTCAAACTCTGGGTCTCTCACCTGCCTTTGCTGCTGGCTCTAAAGTCCATTTTCCCCACTGCACTGTGCTGCCTGCCTCACTCATGCTAGAGGCTCCCTGAAGAGGACAAGGTCCTGATTGATTTAGGAATGAATTAACCTTGGTTCACACTTACCTCTTTTCCTAGAAGTATGTCAGTGTGTGTCTTTTTATGTCTCAGCTGGATTTTCATGTTCTATTTTAGGGTCACTATCACGAGGGAGTAAGAAGACCTTAGGGCAGAAATTGTTGGGTATGCTCCCTTCAGAAAACAGTTCGAAGAGTACCAATGACCACGATGATCCTCAGGAAATCTTTAAGATGCTAATAGACTTGGTTAGTATCTTTGCTTTCTTTGTTGTCAGAGGTTGTGGATGAGCTAATCTTTTTGCTTCCTATTAATTCAGCTCTTTATCACACTATACTTGACTTTTATGCTCTTTTCCCAGTTAAGGTACCATTTTCCAGAATTCTTATCTTCTTGAACACCCCACACGTGCTTTCCAATTCCCCCTTCCAGGTTCTTCCTGGGCAACTTTAATAAAGTACCACCTCTGAAAAAGAGGCGGCTCTCTGTAATTAAGTCCCGGCATCTCCATCATCAGCGCTTATGTATAGTTCATGACAAGACTTTTATATTAAAAAAAAAATTTATATAGTCACGATTTTTTAAGTGTTCAAAGCACATCCTCATGCATTATATCCTGTAGTCATTACCACAGCAATCAGTCCTGTTATCCTCAATTTCATAATGAGTAAACTAAGAAACTCCTGTTACATGAACATACTTATCTACAGAAGAGTATTATTAGTTATTTATTGCATATAAATATAACAGTTTTATAAATAACTTCATTCTCTCACAGAGGTAAGTACCTGTTAGCATTATACATACATACACACACACCATGTAAATATATACTTCCTTCCAAATGACTTAAACTTTTTTTTTCAGAAGGAATGCTGCTTTCTATTCTTCCTTAAAAAAAAGAAAATCCTCAATAACATGTAGCATAATGCTGAGGAATTAGTGGACACCTAAATTAATTTATTCATACTGATTGACTGGACAGATTGAAGACTAAATATTTTCATGAAATACTCCTGATTACAGCTCTGTATTCTGATTTACTGACTAACTGGTACATTTTTAATTTCTCTGCATGCAGCTGAATGATAAAGAAGAAGCATTGGCTCATCAACGGAAAGTTAGTTACATGCTTGCTCGGGCTTTGGAAGACAAAGACACCACTTCAAAAGAGATTAAAGAAAGAAATTCTATGAAAGGCAATTTTATATTAAAAAACCCCTGGCAGAAAATTTTAGAATTCCCTGTTTCATGTGATCCTGTACAGTCAAGTGTCCAAATTTTTAATTCTGTGGGCTGCATTTGTTCAAATCAGCACTTTCAAACAGATCAAAAGTACGCAAGAACTCTTAAAAGGTCCCGTTCTTTGCCATCAAATACCATGTACTGAAGACAAATCAGATGAATTAGAACTGAGAGATGTTTGAGACTTTGAAAAAGGGCCTGTAAATATTGCTACATTTTCAGAAGTTGTATATTTTCTAGGTATTTCTAAATTTTGGGAGGCAACTTAAATAAATGTTTTCTACAAGAAATTTATTAGTATTCTGTATTGATGCATTTTATTTATAAATTATATTACTACGCTATATGAAATTTCAGCATTTCCCAAAACCTTAGAAAAAAAAGAAATAGTGATTTTTGAGGAAAAAATATTTATTTAGATTGACTATACAGATTGTTGACTATAGGGATCTTTGGCTCAAGCAACAAAAGGAATGGCTCAATGTTAATTTTTGGAATACATTTATCTTGTTTTAGTTCTGTTTTTTATTTCCCATATAAGGCTTGAAAATAATTTCCTTAACTGCAATAAAAGTTATTATGGTAGGACTTTGCCAGAAGTATATTCAAAGTCATTGCTAGCAACTTTCCTTTATAGCTGATTTTTTTGTCAGAGTGGTGACATTTTATAGCCAGATCTACACAGAATTCTGGCACTTAGCCCACTCTGATTTAACTTCTTGGTCTTAATGCTGAATTTTAGGCCATTTAAAATGCTCTCTTTCTAAAAATATTACATAGTAATAATTTTCAATACCTTTTGGGAATATTACTATATTAATCACAAAGTATCACAATGATAGCACAGGAAATGCACTGCATTGTCAACAGTTATGAAAAGAATATACTATTTAAATAGATGAACTAACACAATAGGGTAATAAGGTAACAATATAAACCATTTATAGTTGCGTTACAGGAACCACACTGATAGTCATTAATAACAAAAGCTGAAAAATTGGCAAATACATTTTGAGAAAAGGAAGACTAATGAGGATCTACTGTTACCAGATATCAAAGTGTATTTATCAATTATACTCCAAAATAAAAATTACATTAAAAAAATTAAATATATTGTCCTGACAGTAATACAGTGCTACATTATTCAAAGCAGTGTGGTAACAGCAGGTCAATGAGAATAAGATAAAGTCCATACACAGATCTAGTATATATAATAACTTTTGAGGTAGGGAAAGGAAGGATCTGGGATTATTTAATAATACCAAAAAGAGAAACATAAAAAAAAAATTCCCAAAACTAGAGTTTCTTTTTAAATGTGTTTAAAACAAACATATAAATTGATAAAATTTGTAATATTCCAACTGATCAAGGACAAAGAACCTGAATTTCATCAAGTAAACAAAAGCAAAACTAAATGGGGCCTAGTTAAACATAAAAACTTTTGCACAGCAAAAGAAACCATAGACAAAATGAAGAAACAACTTGCTGACTAGGAGAAAATATTTGCAAATGGTATGACAAAGAATTTAATATCCAACATACATAAACAGCTCATATAACCCAACAGCAAAAAAAAAAAAGAAAACCCAATTAAAAAATGGGCAGAGAGCTTCCCTTGTGGCTTAGCTGGTAAAGAATCCTCCTGCAATGTGAGAGACCTGGGTTCGATCCCTGGGTTGGGAAGATCCCCTGGAGAAGGGAATGGCTACCCACTCCAGTATTCTGGCCTGGAGAATTCCACTGACTGTATAGTCCATGGGGTCACAAAGAGTCAGACATGACTGACTTTCACTTTCATAATGAATAAAAAACAGGCAGAAGACCTGAACAGACATTTTTCCAAAGAAATGCAGATGGCCAACAGGCACATGAAAAGATGCTCAACATCACTAATCATCAGGGAAAGGCCAATCAAAACCATCTTACACCTGTCAGAAGGGCTATCATCAAAAACACACATAACAAACGTTGGTGAGGATGTGGAGTAAAGGGAACACTTGTACACTGTTGGCGAGAATGTAAATTTGTACAGCCACTGGGGAAAACAGTATATAGTTGTCTCAGAAAACCAATGGAATACTACTCAGCCATAAAAAAGAATTTCCCCATTTGAAGTGACATGGATAGACTCAGAGGGCATTATGCTAACTGAAGTAAGTCAGACAGAAAGACAGATACTGCAAGGTATCACTAATATGTGAAATAAACAAACTAGTAAATATAACAAGAAAGCAGACTCACAGAGAACAAAAGAGTGGTTACGGGGGTGGATATTGGGATAGGGGTGTCGGGGTACAAACTAGAGGGTGTGAGATAGGCATAAGGATATTCTGTACAACATGGAAATACAACCAATGCTTTGTAATACCTGGGCTTTCCTGGTGGCTCAGACAGTAAAGAATCCGCCTGCAATGTGGGAGACCTGGGTTTGATCCCTGGGTTGGGAAGAGCCCCTGGAGGAGGGCGGGGCCACCCACTCCAGTACTCTTGCCTGGAGAATCCCATGGACAGAGGAGCCTGGAGGGCTACAGTTCTTCAGGTCACAAAGAGTTGGACACAACTGAATAACTGAGTATGTATACAGCACACACATATACAGACATCTGTAGCAACTAAGTGGAAAGTAACCTTTAAAAATTGTATAAAAAATCTGAATCAATAGTTCCCAAAGGCGGAATCATATATGATTAGCAACACAGTAGAAATCAAAGAAAAGTAAATTAGAATGAGATATCAAATTAGCAAAGACCACAAAGATTATGAGTGCTACATGGAACTCTGCTCAACCCTATGTGGCAGCGTGGACAGGAGGGGAGTTTTTGGGAGAATGGATACATGTATACCTGTGGCTGAGCCCCTTCCCTGTTCTCCTGAAACTGTCACATTGTTAATCGGCTATACCCCATTAAAAGATAAAAAGTTTTTAAAAAAGAAAGATTATGAGTGCTAGAGATGAGATGATGAGGCGAACTTGATTCCTACATAAAAGTTAATGAATGTATACATTTGTGATCCTGCATTCAACTTTTTGGTGTACATACTCAGAAGTGAAACTGCTGGATCATATGGTAATTCCATTTTAAATTTTTTGAGGAAACACTAGTTTCCGACAGCTGCTGTACTTGTTTTTATACATTCCCACCAATGGTGTAGAAGGGTTTCCCGATTTCTCCACATGCTCACTAACACTTGTTATCTTCTGGGTTGTTTATTTTTGGTGACTGCCATCTTAGTAAGTTTAAAGTGATATCTCATTGTGGTTTTAACTTGCATTTCCCTAATGATTAGTGATTTGGGAAACTTTTCATGTGCTTTTTAGCCATTTCTATATCATCTTTGGTGAAATGTCCATTTCAAGTTCTTTGCCCATTTTTTAATTGGATTTTTGTTGTTGTTGTTGTTGAGCTATAACACAGGCTTCCCAGGTGGCGCATTAGTAAAGAACTGCCTGCCAATGGAAGAGATGCTAGAGATACAGGTTTGATCCCTGGTTCAGGAAGATCCCCCTGGAGAAGGAAATGGCAACCTGTTCCAGTACTCTTACCTGGAAAATCCCATGGACAGAGGAGCCTGGTGGGCTACAGTCCATGAGGTTGCAAAGAGTTGGACATGACTGAGCAACTGAGCATACACAATAACAAAACATATATTCTTCACATATTCTGGCTATGAACCTTATCAGATACATGATTTGCAAATATTTTCAATCCATAGGAGTTGCCTTTTCATTCCATTGATCATGTTCCTTTGAGGCACCCAAGTGTTTAATTTTGATACAGTCCAAACTGTCCTTTTTTTTACTTTTGTTGCCTGTGCTTTTGGGGTCATATCCAGGAAGCCCCTGTCAAACCTGATGTCATGAAGCTTTCCTCCTATGTTATTTTCTAATAATCTTTATAGTTCTAGGTCTCATGTTTAGTAGGTCTTTTGATTTTTTTTTTTCAGTTGCAGCCTGTGGCTTTCAGGATCTTAGTTCCCCAACCAATGATTGAATCTGTGCCCTTGGAAGTGAAAGCAGAGTCTTAACCACTGGATCATAGAGAATTCCCAGAGTTAACTTTTGTGTATAGTGTATGGTAAGGGGCTTTTCCATTTTTAAGAACTACTGAACAGTTACTGGGAGTGTAAATTGATACAGCTACTTTGGAGAAGTATGGCAATATCAATGCTACTTGAAAATATACAACTGTGTAACTGTTACAATTACAATTCTAAATATGTACAACTCCTGCATGTACATATAAACATTTTTTTTTAGCAACTGTGAAAAAATTTAAATAACCTAAATGTCCACGTGACAGAATTCTAAAGATGGCCCTCTCAAGATTCTTGTCCTGATTATTCAAGCATTCAATCTAGGAACTGCTATGAAGGGAATTTTGACTTATAATTAAGTCCTTGGTGAGCTGACATTAGTTTATCAGGTGAGTCCTGAAAAAAAAAGAATCTTCTCTATTGGCAGCAGATGAGGAAGCCACAGATTTGACACTGTTGCTGGTTTGCAGATGGAGAGTGACATGTAACAAAGCAAGGATAGGAGGCATGTGCATTAAAACGATATGAACTGTATTAATTAGGAAGCAGATTCTACCTTAGAGCCTCAGATAAGAGCGCAAAGTCCAACTGACATCCTGATGTTGGCTTATGCAAAAGAAACAAACAAACAAAAAAATCACAGTTGATTGATAGAGGTATCTGACCTACAGGGCTGGAAGCTAATAAATTTGTGTTACTTTAAACAGCTACATTTATGGTAACTTTTATGTAGCAAAAGAAAAATAACATGGTCTATATATAGAGCATGTGTAAGATATGATATGATATCATAAGATGTGATATATGCTATAAATTATCTGGCAGCTAAAACAGAAACTAGATTTACAGGTATTAACATAGAAGAAACTTAAAAGTTCTGATTAAAAATAAAAATGCTCTATGAGAGTTACAGTCTACATACCACTCATAAAATTCTGAGACCAAAACCAATTTTCTATTTTTAAATACTACCCCCTTTATTATAAATTTGTAATGCTATATGGGCCAGATCATTAAAGTAATTGATAATTATTTTTATTAAGGATTCCTTAATGCATTTTCAATTCTGCATGTCAGAGAATTAAACTTATTTTATTACTACTGCACTCTTAATCAGAAGACCAGAATTAAATTTGTTTTAAAATATTTTTAATAAAAATAATCCAGTTTTACATATTTTACATGTGTAGAATATTTACAAATATCTTTTAAAGCATTTACTTTATGTTTACTATTGTGCCTTTTTCACTGTTTCCTTCAGTAGTAGAATATTGTCCAGTTTTCTCTGTAGCTAAAAAATTAGCTTCTTGGGTAATCCTCCTGGGGGGAAAATGAGGTTGTTTAATTTTATAGTAATTCTATAACATTACATTTAATTTTAAAGTAATTCTAACCAGTCATTGCATTCCAACTATATTTTTACTTGCTTTGATTTTCCAATAACACTTGCTAAACATTAAGCACAGAGTGTACTGTTAGGAATTTATGAAAAAAATAGGGTACACATGGATAGTTCTCATAACTCTGAGGAGTACTCAAAACTGCCCATGTCCTAAAAAAAAGTATGATGTTAAGTATGCATGATGATATGTATTCTAAAGGAAGCAAATATAGGTAAAATATCATATTCTACTTTATAAAATTTAAATTGATAACAAGTAAACAGCTCACAGTCTACATTTCTTAGCTGCCCAGTCACTAGCTATACATTAGCTATCTGGAGTTTGGAGTTTTCTGAATTCATTTCACTTAAGAAAATGAGAGTTTTACCTTGTTCCAAGGCCTCTGTTCTCTTCCGTTTTGTTGCCATGGCTGGATTGGACTGCTCCTTTAGAGCCTCTGCTGGACAGTTTGGTCTTGGCAGCTGACATCCAGGTGTTGGCCCTGGCCGATTACTGAAATACTTAGTTTTCAACGCCTTTCCAAAGAAAAGAGACCAGAAAAAGTGAGCTTTTATGTGAATATCTGAACTGTGTTATAAGGAGCATTAAATATACTAAGCAAATATACCCTCTCTCAAACAAACTTAATTTGAGTATTTGGATATGGAAATTACTACAAATATCTAGCAGCCTAAGATTGATTGCTAATTCCATTACTGTATTACTATAAGAATGGAATTTTCCCACGAAAGCCTATATAAAATATGAAAAATCCTTAGTAAGACACTGTAAAATTCATCTCTCTACACATTATAGGCTCTATAGCTGAAAACAGAGAAACCTGCTTAAAAACAACTTTCAAAGTTTATTTGTCACAACATTTGTGTGTGCTCAAATTCCAAATCATATGAATTCTTAAAAATAAAGCTTTTAAAAAGATGCGATAGGTTGGAAACAACAGATTAAAGTCGAACAATCCACTAGAAATTAACTGAATTCTTACTTGGAAGGACTTGCCAAGTTTATTTCTATTTACCACTAGTCCAACGTTCTATAATATTATATTTTTACCTAGGTCCAAAATTCCAATAAAAATAGTTTTATTCGAGGTGACAAAGTTGTCAAGTTCATACTTTATTTGCATCATAGTACTGTTCAATAGCCGCAATAATTTAAGGTATGTTCTTTTGGATAACTCTCTTAGGAACAAAAGAAGTCATATAAACTTTTCAACCAACTCTCCCTACTCGCCAACATATTATTTGCAGTAATAATTTTAGATAGAGAATTCTTACTTCAGAAGAGTTGAACTTATAAAATATTACTTCCAAATCACAGCAGTTCCATAAGTAAATTATGCTAATTTTGAGCTACATAGAGATCTAAGAAGGGTATCTCATTCAACTTCTATGTTTTTTAAATGTTTATTTATTTGGCTGTGCCAGGTCTGTGTTGCAACATGCGGGGTCTTTAGCTGTGGCATGAAAACTCTTAGTTGCGGCATGTGGGATCTAGATCCCTCACCAGGGATCGAACTCAGGCTTCCTGTATTGGGAACACAAGGTCTTAGCCACTAGACCCTCGAGGAAGTCCCTCATTCCAACTTCTAAATATCCATAGGCCAAAACCCATTAAAAAATTAATTCTAAAAAAAATTAATTTTATCAAAATATAACCCAAGTAAGTTATCACAACTAGTATCTTTCTATAAATTTTCAGCTTTACTAGTAATGAAAACAACCTTCTTGACAATTTGACCTGGTCTCAAGGTTCTTGTGACAGAGATAAGATGTATACATACACGGATAAAAAGGTAAAAATGAGTTACTTGTTTGAAATTAGAAGAGTGATTCCAATGGTAAAATATCTAGTATATATGTATTAATGTGGCATATACTGCTATGAAGTAAAGGTTTATACAAGTAAATACATTAAACAAAGATCTGGTAGTCTATAATAGCCTTTGTGAAAAAAAATCCACTTTTTACCCCTGATATTTTGTGCATTTATGTTTCGTCAGACATGAAGATGTGCGACATTTTAGTCTCTTCCTTTATGAAGCCCAATTACTGTAATGTGTTGCATTTTGGAACTGCATTTCCCTGCCCCAACTTTAAGCGTTAGTGACTACCGTCTATCTATATGTGCTTGTTCTTAAAATAAAGAAAAAAAAGACTTTCAAGTCTATAGATCTTGTATTTTCATGTTGGATAACATTTCTTCTTTTATAAGAGCAGATATTCTTGGTATTCCACATTTTTCTTGAGTTTGATTCTTATTTCCCTTAAGTAACTGTCAGTTTCAGTGTTTTTCTATTTAGAGGATCTTTCAATCTCTCGTAATAAAGTTGTATCAGACTATACCATTTTCTACTCATTATCTCTTCCTGACTGTGACAATGACTAGAATGCATTATCTGGACTGCATTTCATGGGGGAAAACACAAAACAAAACACTTCTGGCATTGGTTTTGGCACAAGATTTAAGTTACTTAAGAGTTTAACTGAAATAGTCCAGTGTCTTAATAAACACAAAACATCATTTTTTTCTTCTTCTCTAATTTACTTTCAAGTTGATGACCTAATTATGAAATAGAATCATCTTTATACTCTTCTGCACTTGTACGGGCATATAGTGCTTATAGCTTAGAGAAAAAAATAAAATTTGTTATTTCTTAAAACAAACATATCTTTTCAGTATTGAAAGAATGTTAGGAAATCTTAAGAAATTCGAAAAATACACTAACATACCTGTGTGGCTGTGATTCGAGTACAGGGATTAAATAAGAATAAGCCTTGTATAAGATCTAGCAAGTCATCTCCTGCTGCAATGAAGATATGTTGTAATGGAATTCCAGGAAAACTCTTAAATGTCACGAAATCTGGAAGACTACACATGTCCTGTAAAAATATTTTTATAATTCAAACTTAAGTAAAGATTGAAAGGCATATAGATCTCAAATGAGTAAATAAAACTGTCATACCGATGATATGATGATCTATCCTAGCACTAGTGAGCAGACAAGGTAAACACAAGTCAACTTTAGTTCTCCATATTAGCAAAGAACATGTGGACACTGAAATGAAAAACAATGCCCTTTAGAAACTCTCAAAAACAACGATGAAATGCTTTGGTGAAAATCTAACAAAACGTGTGCAGGACTCGTATACTGAAAGCTATACTACACTGAAGAAATAAATCAAAGCTCTAAATAAATGGTGAGCCCTACCATGTTTGTGGACTGGAAGATTCAGCACTGTAAGGATGTCTGACAATTCTCCTCAAGTTGGTAAACAGGTTTAATGCAATTCTTACCAAAATTCTGGCAAGATTATTAGATAGATAGGCTATTCTAAAATTTATATGCAAAGTTAAAATAGTTAAAACAACTTGGAAAAAGACTTAATATATAGACAATTTATGAAGACTGTGGTACTGGTAGGGGGAGAGGTATCATAAACAACCCCCACTCCTGCCATAAGACACTTTTAGTCTCACATCTCATGTAAAAATTAACTCAAAAAGGATCAAAGACTTAAATGCGAAACTATAAAACTTTTAGGAAAAAAGAGAAAATCATCAGGAATATCTTTGTGTTAGGCAAAGAGTTCTTTGACTTGCCATCAAAAGCATTATTCATAAAAAGAAAAACTGATAAGACAGACTTGATCAAAATTAAAAACGTTTATGCTGGGAAGACTCTGTGAAGAGGATGAAAAGACAAACTACAGAGTAACAGAAAATTTGCAAACCACATATACAATCAGAGGACAAGTACTTTATGTAAGTGCTCAATACTCAGCCAAAGTACAAACGATCCAATTAAAAAACAAGACAAGAGACATTTCATTAAAGCTATATAGATGCCAAATAAGTACATGAAAATATATTCAACACCATAAGTCATCAGGGAAGAGAAATTTAAAGTCACAATCAGCTATTACTACACATCTCTCACAATGCTTAAAAAAAAAAGCGACACCACCAAGTGCTAGTGAGGATGCAGAGAAAATGGATTATTTCTACATTGCTGGTGAGAATATAAAATAGTACAGGCCCCTCTGGAAAGCAGTTTGGCAGTTTCTGGGCTTCCCTGGTGGCTCAAATGGTAAAGAATCTGCCTTCAATACAGCAGACCTGTTTGATCCCTGGGCTGGTAAGATCCCCTAGAGAAGGAAATGGCAACCCACTTCAGTACTCTTGCCTGGAGAATTCCATGCACAGAGGAGCCTGGCAGGTTACAGTCCACAGGACTGCAAAGAGTCAGACAAAACTAATCGACTTTCACTTTCTTTTTGGCAGTTTCTGGCTAAATATGCAACTATCACAACTTAACAACTGCACTCCTGGTCATTTGTCCCAGAGAAATAAAGATGTATGCTTACCTAAAAGCCTGTACTTGATTTTTTTTTTCCTTTGGCCACGTAGCTTGTGGGATCTAAGTTCCCTAGGGATGGAAACTGGGCCTTTGGCAAGAGGAATAGAGTTCTAACCACCGGACTGCCTTCGGACCTGAAAGTGAAAGTCACTCAACTGTGTCCGACTCTTTGCAACCCCAAGGACTATACAGTCCATGGAATTCTCCAGGCCAGAAATACTGGAGTCAGTAGCCATTCCCTTCTCCAGGGGATCTTCCCAACCTAGGTGTCCCGCACTGCAGGCAGATTCTTTACCAGCTGAGCCACAAGGGAAGGGAAGCCCAAGAATACTGGAGTGGGTAGCCTATCTCTTCTCCAGCAGATCTTCCCTACCCAGGAATTGAACAGGGGTCTCCGGCATTGCAGGCACATTCTTTACCAACTGGGCTATCAGGGAAGCCATGATGTACTGTTATTACAAATAACATTGTTATTTGTAATAGCCCCAAACTGGAAACAATGCAGATGTCCTTCAATGAGTCAACAGTCAGACAAAGTATGGTACATTCAGACCACTCAGCAATATACGGAAAGAAATGAATTATTGACAACTTGGATGAATCTCCAGAGAATTATATTGAAAAAAGTCAATTCCAAAAGCTTACATTTTATATGATCCCACTTATAATATTCTTGAAATGACAAAGTTATAAAAAAATCATATTAGTGATTGCCAGGGGTTAAGGAATGGGTGAGAGTGGAAGGAAAGTGGGTGTGACGGTAAAAGGGCTCTTTGTGGTGATGTCCTGTATACTAAGTATATCAATGTCAGCATGCTGGCTGTGATATTATCCTGATTTTGCAAGATGTTACCCTTGTGAGGAGCTGAGTAAAGGAAGTAAGGGATACCTCTGTATTATTTCCTTCTGCATGTAAATCAAAACAAGAATTTTTAAAAATCCAAGGAAAACATCATACGCAACTACTATTTAGAAAATGATGTCAAATGAAAAGTAATGGATAAATAGTATGAATATGGCCCTGGAGTCAGAAAGACCCAAACTGGAGTCCTAGCTGACACTAGGTAGCTTCAGGTAAGCTACTTAACCTCACGCCACCTCGGCTATCTCATCTATAAAGTGTGACTAACAGTACCTACCTTAATAGTATTGTTGGGAGAATTAAATATAATTTATGAAACCCTATCAATAACAGCATATAGTAAGTTCAATAAACGAATGCTGTTAGAGCATGTTTTACAATTAGAACTTATAGCTAACCTTCAGTTAGAAAGTTGAAGAAATAATAACACAAAAGAAACGTCTTAATTTCAGTTTCAGATAATTTCCTTACAGTTTTAACTAGAAGGTAAAGAGGCTGATTAAAATCTCTTTTCTAGGATTTATTTTTTCCCCAGGAGATGAGGCTATAACAGAAAGGAAAATCAAAAGGTCTACAATTATAACAAGTGAAAATTTCACTGAACTGTAATATATAAAATTAGCAACTTACACTGTAATAAATTTTATCACAGATTTAGTAATTTTTTTGAGATAATGTAATAGGTTAAAAATAAATAATGAGTTCCCTGGTGGCCTGGGATTCCAGGCTTTCCTGGAGGACCAAGTTCAATCCCTGGTTGGGGAATAATGAAAAACAAAACCAAAAATAAACTTTCATTGTGTTAGTGAAAATGCAATAAATAAATCCATCAAGATGTTGATAAACATGAAACAGCCACAAAATGAAATATTATATAACTTAAAAAGGAAAATGTGAACAATATTATGAGCAAGTTTGTTGCAAAAAAATTACATGGTGTGATGGCATTTTTGTTAAAGAACGAAAGAAAAAGCAAATCATACATATTTACGTATTTATATTGTGTGTCCTTATAGCAAGGCTTCACAGCAAAATAATAATGATTAACACTGGGGTAGAAATTACTGGGATGAGTGAGGGCTATGTGTATGTAGGAGGCTGGATGGTGTATCACAACTTTAACTTTTACTTTGTATAAATTTTGCAAAGTAAATTAACAGTTAATACATTTGTTTAAGTAATATTCACGTTACAGCACTATACACTACTCTAAATTTCAAAGAACATGTATGAAAGCTTACAGGCCACTGCTCTTCAGTTGGTGTGCCCAAAGTTTCAAATATTCTTGTTAGTTGATCAAGGTCTGAATCTCCTGGCAAAAAAGGAACCTAAAAGAAAGAAGCAGATATTTCAAGATGATGTGTGATAGCTATTACACAAATAATATGATAAATTTAATTTAATAAGAAACATTAAACAGTAACAAAAATAAAAACTTAATCTAAGGGTGGGACTTCCCCAGTGATCCCAGAAATACAGACGTTTATCCTAACCCGTTTAGTTACTTTAGAGATAGTACCACATTACAATCCAACAATTTTATTACGGTTGAATTTCAGAACACAGAATGAGCAATAATAAACCTTTATTGTCCTAAATGGTGTTAATAAACAGGCTGTACTTGGTGGGTTTTTTTTTTTTTATTGGCCTGTTTGTTGGTTTCTTGTTTCAAGGACGGTAATTACCTCTGCGAATTACCTCTGAGAAGATAATTTTTACACAAATTATAAAAAGAAACACCTATAACAATACTGAATAGTGTACATCAACTCAAGACTCACCCTTAGAAGCAACTCTGCTAATATACAGCCCACGGCCCACATGTCCACGCCTACACCATACATTCTAGCCCCGAACAGTAGCTCAGGGGCCCGATACCACCTGGAGAACAAAAACAAACACTGTCATTCTAGAGTGGGATTGTTGAAGTATTTCTTAGAGAAAACTCCTCAGAAAAACATCCTGCACTGATGAAATGCACTTTTATGGATATATTAACTCAAGAAAAATTGGCTATAAAACCAAGAAGTTCCTTACTGCTGCCAGGAAATTCACCCTCAGTCCATCCATTCTCTCACTCTCAGACAATTAACATGTTCTTTCTCCCAAAACCCTAAACACCATCCTACTTCTTAGCTGATAACCTAATTCCTACTTCACTAAAATAATGCAAGTAATGAAAAAAAATTTCTACAGACTCACCAACAGTCATCTGCACACTCACAAACCCACCTTCCCATCTGTAACTACATAACTAGCCTTTAGTGTTTTTAAAGTCAGTCCCTCAACTTGGGCACCGGATACAACACTCTTGCCTGTTTCCAAGGATATTGCTCCTGCAATTCTCTTTTTCCTACAACAGCCAGCTTTTTGTTCTTTACTAGATCTATTACTATCAATGTTAAACATACCATTGTTTTTATAGCCTTAAAAAATAAACTAAAAAACAAAGAAACAAACAACAAAAACTTCTCTGGACCCTGCTTCCCCTCACAACCCTCTCTCTCCGGCTGTATGTTCTTACTGTCTCCATTTCCCCTTCTCTTAACTCCATCAAGTCAGGTTTTCACCCCACCACTCCACCAAAATATCTTGATAGGTTATCAAGATATCCCTATCACTAATCTAAATTGTTAATTCTCAGTCATTTTAATTTGACCTATTAGTAGTGTCTGATTTCAAAATAGAGAAAGTCAGAAATTGGTAGATGAAAAGCAATGCTCATGTATGTGGGTCCTTGTTTTCCTCAGTTCCCACAGTTCCTGAACGACGGGCTTAATTTTTCCAGAAATTACCTGAACAACTACTTACATCCCTTACTTTATACTCAAGTATCAGGTGATTGACGCTCAATGAGATCTATTTGGAAGAAGCTGACAAACTAATTTAAAAGGACAGAAAATCTGAAGATCGTCTCAGATTCTTAAGAGTCAGGGAAGTTAACAAATGCCATCTGGACAAGAATTATAAAATCTACGTCCCTATCTATATAATGTGATTTTTAGTTTTTATTTTCTGTTTATACTTTTTATGCATAAACAGAAAATATAAGCAATGAATAATATGAAAAATCCAAATAAAAGCACTGCTTTGTTTAGGGAATTTTCATTTACACTGAATGATATAAAATGTGGAATCAGGATTGACCAATAAAATAAACACAGGCCCCCCCAATTCAGGTGGTTATGTAAAAGAACAGCCACTATAGTTCCAATCTACCTAACTAAACTGTATAAGAAGTATAAGTTAGTCCCCCAAATTACTAAGTAAATCTCTGGGGACTGAATTAATTCAACTCCGTTTGAAAGAAGGGCTGTATATTTTTTCACTGTTTAATAAGATACCAACAATAACTCCTGAACTCAGCCAAAATTCAAAGAAGCCACATGAGGCTCATTTGTGATTAATATCCTACACAATATAAGCTTTAGTTAGTTAAGGAATCCTTACCTGGTTACAACCTGATGTGTATAAGCTCTACTGGGGCTCCCAAATGATTTGGCCAGGCCAAAATCGGCCAGTTTTAGAACTCCGTTTTCATCTAGCAACAAGTTGTTTGGTTTTAGGTCCTATATAATGGAGATTTTAAACCAACAAATAAGCAGAGTAAAGGAGAGCATCACAGTAATACATTTAGTTAAATTTAAACTTAGCAGAAACAGGGTAACACCTCAAATTTAACCACCACCAAAATTTTTTTTAATTGATATAAAATTCTAAAAAGCAAAATAAGATTAGCCATATTTCTTAGTGAGGCCTTGGATCAAGGTACTCCTTTCACTGAACTTCAATTTACATACTTTACAGGTTTGCTGTGAGGATTAAATTTAATATTTCCTGCAAAAAGCCTAGTGTAATGACTGGTTCCTAGTAAGCATTCAAAAAACAGCTGCTGCTTTTAATTTAACAACAATATATATGGGGAACCCCCTGGTGGTCCAGTGGTTAGGACTCTGAGTGCCACTGTTGAGAGCCCCGGTTCGATCCCCGGATGGGGAACTAAGATCCCACAAGCCGTGAGGCCCAAAACAGTAAACACCACAATATATGAACTTCAGTAAATAAAAACATTATGCGGTTATAAAGGATGAAGAATATAGTCTTCACAATCTATGCTAAAAAGCTATCAGCCATGACCTAAAAGGAATTCCAACCTTAAAGATGAGGATTGTACCATGGGTGTGCTCAGTCGTGTCTGACTCTCTGAATTCCAACCTTAAAGATGAGGATTGTACCATGGGTGTGCTCAGTCGTGTCTGACTCTCTGTTGCCTCCTGGACTGTAGCCCACCAGGCTCCTCTGTCCGTAAGATTTTCGAGGCAAGAAGACTGGAGTGGGTTGCCATTTCCTCCTCCAGAGGATCTTCCCAACCCAGGGACTGAACCCACGTCTCTGTTGTCTCCTGCACTGGCATATGGGTTCTTTACCAGTAGCGCCACCAACACATAAAAACATTATGTGTTTATAAATGATGAAGAATATAGTCTTTACAATCTATGCTAAAAAGATATTAGCCATAACCTAAAAGGAATTCCAAGCTTAAGTATGAGGATTACCATTATATATTTTTAGCTACTTTATCTACTAATAGGATGCCTAAGAACATCTACCTATCTAAATCATCAGCCTTGTTCTAGTAGCTAAATGTTCCTAACAATGACTCAGCCATTTCAGAAATTTTACTTCATTACTTCCCAGAGTTTTAGAGCCACCAGAAATATTTTTCAAGAAGTATTTTTGCATTATATAATTTAATCCAGACTCCCACCGTTGTTGTTTTCTATTACAACAGTATAGCACAAAGAACACTGAACTTCAAGCCAAAATATCTAGGTTCTAATACTCTCGTCAGCCACTATAACTAATGACCTCAAAAAAATATGTAACTTTTGGGTCAGCAACTCAACTCTTCAATTATGAAAAAAATGAAGGAATAGGCCTCTTGCATTTCTAAATTCCACCTAGTAACAGAGTTCTCACTGTGCCACCTGGTTTAACTGAAGGGATCGCAGAGAGGAAGAAGGGTGGATAAAGCGGTCCAGGTCTACTTTAATAATTTACATACTCAGGTCTTTTGTGTAATAAACTGGCTACAGAAAATCTGAGTACAACATAAAGACGCAAGCATACTTGGTTAAAAAACCTTACCCTATGCAGAATCCAATGTTGATGTAAATATTCTAATCCTTGAAGAGTCATCAACATATAGGCTTTGATATGTGAAGGTGTTAGCACAAGACTGTTATCCTTTATTATAACCTGTAAAGTAGGCAGACAGTATACAGGTATGCTTTTATCATTCCAAATAAACTCTACTATATCAAATCATTTATAGACACAAGATGGATTTATTCATAAAGGAAATTCTCAAGAGAGGTTGCCTAACTCTCCTTAGGAAGCACTGTCAGAACTTCCAGTTATATGGTTAGGGAAAGTATCTTTAGTTTAGAAGGAAAGCAGTACTTTGTCTCCTGCTGCTTTGTTTTTAGGCATCCATGTAGCAAACATCTGCTGTTTCCACTTGCCGCAGGATACACAGCCCCTCCTGATAACAGCATTCAACATTCCTCTGGGAAACCGCGTAGTCCACGTGGTTACAGACTGCACTACCTGTGGCCTCCAGAGGCAGTAGACACATGAGCCAGCATGCTCAGTCACCACACTATGGCCTGCTTTCCAGACTAGTTCAGGGATGGAAGCCAAGCCAAATACTTGTGCTAGAATCAAAGGCAACAAAATACTTCCTCTCCTCAGGGATTACTAAACTCTAAGATAGAAGCATACAAGCACCTGAGTCACTGTATTGAGAAATTTTACCTATGAACAAGGCAACAGAGAACAAGTGAAAAATTGTCTTCTGCTAGCACGATTTGTGAACTATGATTCAAGTCAGTTTATTCCCAGACTTTTAGTTATATGAGCTTAAAATGTAATTTTCTTTTTTTCAAATAGGTTTCACTTTTAAGCTCAGTTTTTAACACATCAGTTGTGTAACCACTACCACAACCAAAATAGTTTTACACTTCCCCCAGGCCCCTCTCTACTCAACCTTCCCCTCGATTCCTAACCCCAGCAACCAAAGATCTCATCTCTGTTCCTTTAGTTTTTTTTAAGTTTTTCGTTTTACAAAAAAACATACATAGAACCATACAGCTTTTGAGCCTGGCTTCTTTCCTTTAGTACAATGTATCTGAGAGTCACCTATACTGTGGCATATGTTAATAGTTTGTTTCTTTTTATTCTCAAATAGTATTCCACTTCATAAATGTACCAGTTTGTTTATACATTCACTTGATGAAAGATATATGGGTTGTTTTCAGTTTGGGTAATTATGAAGAAAGCTAAACATCTGTGTGGACATGTTTTTGTTTCTCTTGGATAAATAAATACGTAGACATATTTCTAGATCATACCCTAAGGGTATATTTAAACTGTGTAAGAAACTGCCAAACTGTTTTTTCCAAAGTGGCTGTATCACTTTGCATTCTCATCAGCAGTGTATGAGAATTCCACTTATTCCACATCTCCAGACTGTTCATTATTGAGATTCAATTAGTATTAATGAAAAGCCTAAAATCTTATTCTTCTCAAAAAGAAATTTGGTTTTCAAAAGGACAGTCTGTGATAATATCACAAGGAAGTTCCAAACCCACCAAAGCCAAACACTCATTTTTCTAAAAAGTAACGTCAATAAGGTATCAGGAACTTGGCAGACACAAATGCTATCGAAATCCAAATCTTGTATGTAACACTGGGAATATGGCTAAATGATTCAGGAAGATCTTTGACTTAAGACCACATCTAGATTTCAACAAAATTTAAGCATTCTTTTGACTATCTTCTTCAAAGGTAGAAAATAAACATTTAGATTCTCTTTTGATAAACAGGAAAATAAATTCCTCCAGAAATCTTAGTCTTACCTCTAGATCAGTTTCCATAAAATCAAAGACAAGGCTAATGTTAGATTTATGTCCAAAAGCATCAAGGAGCTACAAAGCAAAATTAAAAAAAAACAACAACATGTGATTCTCTTATTAAATACTTGACAGTATTATACCTAAGTTTTTAATCTTTAAAAACTTAAGCATTTGGACTGTAAAGTTTAAATAATTTTATTAAATTTAATATTTTTCCATTTTTGGCTAGGATTTAGTACACTGAAGCACAAGATATTAAGCCTTACTATTAAAAAAAAAAAAATCACCAATACTTAACCTCTCCCTCCAAATTTTAGGAATTAAGTAATGAATTAATGAGAACCTCACTGAAGTCTCTATAGTCTAGAAAAATTTCCAACCTTGGTACTTAAGAAAATCCAACAAACAGCAGCAGTAGCTATTTTCACTGAATGAGTGTGCTCCCTATGCCGGGTACTATCCCAGGTAAGCAGGTGTTAGCTGCTCAGTCGTATCGGGTTCTTTGCGACCCCATGGCCTGCAGCCCACCAGGCTCCTCTGTCCATGGGATTCTCCAGGCAAGAATACTGGAGTGGGTTACCATTACTTGATGTGTATTCAGTGAGCTAGTCTCATAACAACCCTGTGAGGTAGACTACGAGGTAGAGTTCAAGGGAACCTGCTCAAGGTCTTACACATGCTAGAGCTCTCTAGACTCCAAAATTTCTGATAAAATCAGCCTGTATGCCCACATTTAATTTATTTCATCAGTTGTATAGTTTTTAAAACACTGCCTATAAGAACAATTAGGATAAAAAATACATTTCAGCCTTTTTATAAGGCTCACCTAGGACAACTCATCTTGCTGAGCCTTCAATCAACATCCACCACATTCGGCAAGGCAGGGTCCCAAGTCCCAGAAACAACTTAGATCATACTCACACCAATTATATTTGGATGACTTAGCTCCTGTAATAATTTTATCTCTCTTAAGGCTGTTCTATTTATACCTAGATAAAAAGGCAAAGAAAAAAGTGAAAAAGAATTCTGAAATCTCCAACCTTCTTATAATATATTTTTTGGGAAAGGTCAGTCTCTGATGAAATAGCAATGAATATTCCTCAGAAAAAAAAAATAACAATTTTTATAACGTACCTGTTTCCAATTTATATTGCTTTGTTTTTAAAACAGTTTAGGACAGATGAAATGATGAATAAATGTTTCATCATTTCATAAATGATGAAACAAGTATTCACTTCACATATAGAATATGAGACCTGAAGACTCCTGGAAAAATATGTACCCAAGTATGGAGCCTATAGGTGAGAAGTTAATAGCTTCTCTTCTCTTGCCTTATGAATATTAGAGGCAGATTCTTTAAGCTAACAGAAAACTAGTGATTAGATACCATCTTTCCCAACGCAAGGGGCCCAGGTTTGACCCTTGGTCAGGACACTAGGTTCCACATGTCACCAGTTAAGAGCTTCCTTCTCACAACTAAAAGGTCCTGCATGTCACAATGAAGATCAAAGATCCAGTGTGCTGCAATTAAGACCCAGTGTAGCCAAATAAATAAAAACTAAAAAAAAAAAAAAAAAAAGGGAAAAAAGATCTGGTACTAGTATTAGAGAGATGATGTATCCTTTATACAGAAACTATTTCTTGATGATTAAATAGGACTTAGTGCTCAAACAGAGCTTTAGCAGAAGGGATACAAAAATCTCCCCCATCCCTACACATTTATTCTATAGTGAGCTTTGTATACTTCCATGAATCCTGAATTTTCAAAGTAACCAGAAGCTCAGAACAAAAAACAATGGCTTGAAAACAACTAAAACAGTAATGAAGACATCAAGACAAGTCACTGATAACCTTGCTGTCTTCCATCTACTTGGGTGATCTTAATATCTTCTGAACACCCAAATGGTAAAAAGTACAAACATACTATCTCTATCCTGAGTCTATCGTTACTCTTCTGGGACCTGTAATAACTCTACCCAGAACCATTGTTAACTGTAATTAATACTCTGTTCTTTTCCTGAGTGAGAAGAACCACTTTTTCTGTTCTGTCAGATTACATGAAATAAGTTACTTACCATCTTTAGCTTCTGATCTATGTCCAAGTTTGATCTGGTAGAGGAAAAAACAAACACAATAAAAATGTGTTAAACTATTTAGACAAATATGTGATATATAAACACTTCAAATGCTTAAAGCAAAAATACATACTTATACATAGCTAGTATTAGCAGGCAAGGAGGGAGCAGGAATTATGAATCAGAAAGGCAAAATTAACAATATAAGAAAGGATCAAGTACCTATCATTCCTTTCCCCTTAAGTTTTGAATTACACAACGTTGTAAGATTAAATATGGAATAAATTAAATGCATACAAGCTAATAAACAAAAGAAGCACTTCAAGTTAGACTACTTGGGAGGAAATATGTAACATATACAATAACATGCTTAATATGCCCAATAATACACTCCCAGGGGCCACATTTTCCAAGAAGAAAAATTAGAGATTGTGATGGATACAGAACTTAGGGAGATGATCTAGGTGGGTGGTGGTAGTTTAGTCGCTAAGTCAGTATCTGACTCTTGTGACCCCATGAACTGTAGCCCACCAAACTCCTCTGTCCATGGAATCTTCCAGGCAAGAATACTGGAGTGGGTTGCCATTTCCTTCTCCAGGGGATCTTCCCGACTCAGGGACTGAACCCAGGTCTCCTGCACTGCAGGCAGATTCGTTACTGACTGAGCCACCAGGGAAGCCCAGTAAACGAGAGAAGCTCTTCAAGTTAGACTACTTGGGAGGAACTATGTAACATATAAGTAACATGCTTACTATGCCCAACAATATGCTCCCAGGGCCACATTTTCCAAGAAGGAAAATTACAGACTGTGATGGATACAGAAAACGGCTCAACTCCTGCTACTGGGTACAAGCACACTGGACCGCATTAACAGGCTCAGTCTCACACAAACCCGACTACTAAATTAAAGAACGAGAGCTTACTACTTTATGCAATGACAATGTGGCCAATGCGGCCAGGAAAAAAAAAAAATCCTACTCCAGAAGATCAGCTGTTTCACCGTTTAAAATACCCCACCTATATGCCACAAACAGCTTTCACCTTAAAGGTAGGCTATTTATTTTATCTTGGGCGTCCCTCGTGGCTCAGACGTAAAGAATCTGCTTGCTATGCAGGAGACCCAGGTTCAATTCCTGGGTCAGGACGATCCCCTGGAGAGGGGAATGGCAATCCACTCCAGTATTCTTGCCTGGAGAATCCCATGGACAGAGGAGCCTGGTGGGCTACAGTCCATGGTGTTGAAAAGAGTCAGATACAACTGAGCAACTAACACTTCCACAGGCTATTTATTATAGCACCAAAAAATATAAGGCTCGTAGGAATCAAAGCCAACCAGAGATGTATGAAGCTTTCCCAGAACATTATAAAACACTCTTAAAATATGTTCAAGAAATGTGATCAGAATAAACACAGACAGCATGTTCATGTATAGAAAGATTCAATATCATAAATACATCAATTCTCTTTAATGAAACTAGATGTAAAGTACAACAGCATTTTTCATGGACACTGACAAACGGATTCTAAACTTTATACAGAAAAGTAAGGAGCTAAGAACAGATAACTTAAAACATTATTTTTTACTGTGTTTAAGAAATGTAATAGACTAGTTTCATGAAGCCATCTATATCATCACTCAGATTCAATAATTACCAATATTTTGCCATATTTACTTCATCCATCCTCTTTTTTTTGTTGGCTACAACATACATTTTTTTTATGTTGTAGTTGGACTTCATATTATTCATCCCTATATACTTCAACAGGCATCTCTAAAACATGGACATTTTCTTATATACCCATAAGGCCATTCTCCTTCCTAATAAAATTAATAATAATGTCATACAGCATGTAATAACTAGTTCATATTCAAGTTCTCCTGATTTGGTTCAAATTTCTCAACTGACTCATAGAGTAAGCCAAGATAATTTCGAAGAAGAGTAGCTGGGCTTCCCTGGAAGTCCAGAGGTTGAGAATCCACCTGCCAGTGCAGGGGACAGGGGTTCAATCCCTGGTCTGGAAGGATTCCACAACTACGCCATGGGGCAACTAAGCCCGTGCGCCCCAACTACCGAGCCCACACACCCTGGAGACCAGGCTCTGCAATAAGAGAAGCTACTGCAAGGAGAAGCCTCCATACCACAACCACAGAAAGCCCTCGAGCGTTTACAAGGCGACAGTAATTAGACACCCTACGGCAGTGCAGCAGGAATGGGGGAAAAGGAAAACCAACCAATAAAAGACGAGCATGCCCGGAAACAAATCCAAGTATAAATTGGAACTTGGCATTACAACTCACCAGGAAAAGGATGTACTAACAAAAAAGTTGAGAGCTGGAGAAAACACTAGATTTTCATACTACACAACAAAGAAAATTTAACTCCAAATGGAATGTAGACCTAAATGTGAAAAAGCGATACTTTAAAATTTTCAGATGAAAATATAGGAGAATTCTTTATAATCTGGACACAGGGAAGCACACAAAAAAAGGGAACCAAAAAAGGGGAAAAATAGACAAATTTAACCAGACTAAAATTTTAAATACTTGTACTTCAAAAGATACCATAAGTAAACTAAAAGCCCAAAGTCTGAGAGATGATGATTGAAGAAATTTTCACATACTAAAGTAAAAAGAAGTCACTCTGGCTTATTTAACAAACTTTATGCTAACTAAAACAGCCTGTTTTGTGGTCTATGAAACACATACTGTCTACCTGCTTTAAATATTGGAATAAAAGGGTCCACTACCAAAAGTGAAAATCGCTCAGTTGTGTCTGATTCTTTGCAAATCCATGGAGCCTGACAGGCTCCTTTATCCATGGGATTTTCCAGGCAAGAATACTGGAGTAGATTGCCATTCCCTTCTCCAGGGGATCTTCCCAACCCAGGGACTGACCCCAAGTCTCCCACATTGCAGGCGGATTCTTAACCATCTGAACCACTGTAAAGAATGCCTATTTTGAAGATAAGGATAAGTGCCTCCCTTTCAGGGACTTCAATGGTAGTACTCCTTTGATAAGGTCCCTTTGCCAGGAGCCAAGATCATACTGACTCACTATATACAGCGATCTGTCTTCTGATCTTGTTTTTTTAAACTCTGAAGGAATGTACCCAAGTTATGTTTGATGTTTTCTGTTCTGACAAGATATTAACTACACTGAAAACAGTACTTCTTCAGAACTCAGAGCTATCCGAGAGACTGCCTTCTGGGCTATAATCCTAAGATTGGCTTGAATAACACTCTTCTATTCTTGTTATAGATTTACACTGACAATGGTACCTGTAGTGCATATTTCTGACTAAGGTTCAGTATCCAAAATATATAAGAAATTCCATCAAGTCAACAGGAAAGGAAAAAAATGTAGACAACCTAACAGAAAAAGTATAAAAAGCCAATAAATCTAGGAAAAGATGATCAAACTCACTGGTAATCAGAGAAATATTAATTGAAAAGACATCCACGTACCACTTTTGATCGATCTGATTGACAACTGTTGTAAAGTCTGACGATACAAACATGGTGAAAATGTGGTGGGAGGTTAAACTGATTCAACCATTTTCGAAAGCAGTTTGATAGTATCTGGGGATGTTGACATGTATTCTCTTGCTGTTGTTCAGTTGCTCAGTCGTGTCCAACTCTTTGTTAACCCCATGGACTGCAGCACGCCAGGCTTCCCTGTCCTTCACCATCTCCCAGAGTTTACTTAAACTAATGATCACTGAGTTGGTGATGCCATCCAACCATCTTGTTCTCTGTTATCCCCTTCCCTTCCTGCCTTCACTCTTTCTCAGCATCAGGGTATTCTCTATGCAGCAACAACTGGCGATTAGTTTCAACTACAGATACATTTTCTAGAGAAATGCACAAATGTAAGTCTGTAGAAGGACTGTATTAGGGTAAAACATTAAAAAAAAGCAGCTTAAATGTTTATCAACAATTTGGAGAGACCAATTTTAGCGTAGTTATAGAATAGAATCTAATCATCAAAGGGCATGAATAAACAGATCTACATGTATCCATCTGGAAGATTTCAGAAATGATACTAAGTCAGAAAAACAAATTGCAGAAGAGTGAGTGTGAGTGTGTGTGTGTGTGTGTGTGTGTGTGTGTGTGTGTAGGAAGAGAGAAAGAGCTTAGAAGTATACAATAATGTGTATTGTTGAGATATATTAAACAAATACTGCAAAGTGAAAACTGCTCCAAAAAGCTACCACAGAGGACTGGTTAAACTGGGAAACGTAAATTCAGTACAACTGTTTAAAAAGGATATGGTAGATTAATGATATTTTAAAGGTCCAAAATACAACAGGTGAAAGAATACATAGCTTATTACTCCTTTTCTGTTAAATTCAAGAAAAGAAAGAAAGAAAGTGAAGTCTCTCAGTCATGTCTGACTCTGCGACCCCACAGACTATAGCCTACCATGCTCCTCCGTCCGTGGGATTTTCCAGGCAAGGGTACTGGAGTGGGCTGCCATTCTCTTCTCCAGAGGATCTTCCCGACCCAGGAATCGAACCCAGGTCTCCCGCACTGCAGGCAGACGCTTTACCGTCTGAGCCACCAGAGAAGCCAGTAAATGAGTGGGAACAGAAATCGAGCGTTGGGAGGGGAAGATGCACAAGCACCAAACCTCCAGGGTTACAGTTTAAGTCTAGAGAATGTCTGAACTAAGGAAGGAGGCCCCTCAAGGAACGATAAGCATACTATCTAAAAAAATGGATGTAAATACCAGAGAAAACAATTTTGGAGTTGAAAGGCATTGTTCCAATGAGTGAAAACCAGGGGTAGAGGAGAGAGGCATGCGTGGCCTTGTAACTGACTTAAAAAAAAAAAAAAAGCTTTGAGAATTAATTGGGTTTGGTAAAAGGAGAAATACTCCTGTTTTTTTCGAGGTACAGTTTACATACAATATTACGTAAGTTTCAGGTGTACAACACAGTGATTTAAAGGTTATATATTCCATTTATATAAAGGCTACATTCCATAAAACTACAAAGATGTACTATTTGAAATAAAAATTAAATGTAAAAGAATATTCCATAATGAGTTACTTTCAAGGGGTAGCAGTCTATCACTGAGAAATATAGTGCTATGTTGCTTCAGTCATGTCTGACTCTTTGTGACCCTATGGACCAGAGCCCACTAGGCTCCTCTGTCCACAGACTTCTCCAGGCAATACTCAAGTGGGTTGCCATGCCCTTCTCCAGGGAATCTTCCCGACTCAGGGATCGAACCCACATCTCTTATGTCTTCTTCACTGGCAGGCAAGTTCTTTACCACGAGCATCACCTGGAAAGCCCATCACTGAGAAATAGAATGAATTCTAAATCCTAATTTATGATAAAAGCAAGCAAATAAGCAAACCAACTGGGATTTTCAGAAAAACCACAGAACTCAATATGCCAACAGTTTGAAGAGACCATTATCAGTTAGTCAAGCCAATACATTTTTAAAAGTGTCTACAAATGTACTAGCCACAGAGTGGTAGTAAATAGAAAATAAACTCAAATATAAAAGATTTTGATAAATGCTATGAAGACAACAAAGAAATATGGAAAAGAACACTAGGGAAGAAGGCAGGTACACCTGTTCCAGCTAGAATGACCAGCAGAAGTCTGTATGTACAGGAGATACCTGACTGAGATCTAAATGATAAGGAACCAGCCAGGCCAAGTTTGAGAGGAAAAATACACTAAGTGGAAGCCAGAGCAAATGCAATGAATCTGGGACTGGGATGAATTTAACATATTCAAGGGACAGAAAGGTCAGTGTGGCTAGAATAAAGTGAACCAGGGGCAGAATCAGAAAAATAACTTGAAAAGGATTAGGAAAGTTAAGGGTTTTACGTGGGAGGAGCTATAAATAGCACTGGCTTATAGAACACAAACTGAAAAAAGAGATTAGACACATCAGAAAAAGTAAAAAAGAGAACAATGGCAGGAATAATTGTAGAAAGGAAGAATGGGAAGCAGGTGTTAAGAATATGAGAGGGATGTGCTTCAAAGGAACTAGGGATTTTGAAGGAGAAACAGGTTCAAAGCAGCAACAGGAACAATAGGAAGGTGGCTACCTAAGCCACCAACAGGCCTTGTGTGTGTGCTCAGTCACTCAGCCATGTCTGACTCTTTGCAACTCCAGGGACCCACCAGGCTCCTCTATCTACGAGGCGTGAAGAAACCAGCCTCTCCTGAGAGGGTTACTGATTTCAGAAGTATGGGGAAAGGCAATCAGCCTGGAAGCAGTACACCTGGGTCTAAAGCCTGGCTCTGTCAACTTCTGCCTGTGCCATCTCGATGAGTCACCTCATCTCCCTTAGCTTCAGGCACCAAGTATAAAACAAGCTTCAAGTATAAAACAGAGACACTTCACTGCCATCGCCCGGCTCTTATGAGGGTTAAATGAGAAAAACAAGGGTGAGAGTTCTGGGCATATAGAAAGCCAAATATGACCTAAGTTTCTTGAATGAAATGCAAGTAAAAAAGGTACTTAAACCATTAAAAAAAAAAACAAACCACCAATGTCATTAATGCTGGCAAAAGCCTTTAATGGTAAATATGTATTCAGAAAATACAGATATACAGTGGATGCTGGTGAGGAAGAAATAGGGACCTGGAAAGATGAGTAGTTCTGAGGGCCCAACAGAGAGAGCGTATTTGTCCCCTTTGCCAATGTTTGCGTTTATAAAACAAAGATACAGCCCCTCTTCATCTCAATGTCAATGGATGGAACAAAACCGTAGTTCAACCCGAGTTCCACCTCGAACACAAGACACTAAGTTATTCTATTTTCTTTGCAAATGACATAAGTAACTCATTAGCAGAGCACGGTCAAGAGTAGTAACACACACACACACACCCCTTCACGAAGACACAAGGAAAAACAAACTGCAACTCACTTTCTTAATGGCGACAATTTGGTTGGTGTTCTTGTCTCTGGCCTTGTAAACCGTGGCAAACTAGACAGAAAAACAGGAGTAATGTTAAGTTTGTGAGAACTTCTTGGTTTGTGTTGGCCTTTTCACTTTTTTTAGATCTGGGGAAGCAAGGAATCCAGGGTTCTCGGAGCAAATTCGCGGCGGCTGGCAACGTGGTGAGGACGTGCACGTCCCGTTCCAGTCCACTGAGCGGAGAGGGCCGCTCAGGGACTCAGGTCCAGGGTGGACAAAGGGGCAGCAGGGGCGTCTGCGCAGCCTCCTGCTCCCAGAACGAGGAACGTGGCCCGGCCGCTGGCTTCCACGAGAAAACTTTCGACAGTGTGAAGCGGCCCGGCGCTCCCTGCTCAGGGCCCTCAGAGCCCCGCCCGAGAGCCTCACCTGTCCCTCCCCGAGGAAGTCCAGTTTTTCATAACGCTTCGCTCGCGACTTCACGTCCACAGCCATCAGTCGCGAGGAGCCCGTCTCCAGCTGAAAGGGGTGAGCTGCCAAGACAGCAGGAATTTAAAGCTACCTTAAAGCCTCCAACAGCCACTTCCGCCCACTGAGCGCCGACGCCTCACTCGCTCCGCCCCCACTTCCGGGGTGGGCGGGGATGCTGTGAAGTAGGTCCGGCCAGAGCCCTCCCCACGGAAGCTGCGCGAGGCGAGGCGGGACTCCTGGGCCTCCCTGAACCGTGCCGCGTCGGCTCACGTAACCGCAGATAGTACTAGAGGCGTGGTGCTCTTGGAGGTAGCTAGTGTGTCGCCCTGTTACCGTTTTAACAGGTACTTTCTTCACTACTGAGGACCGATCAGGGCTCTGAGTTCAGGATTTAATAGGTGTTATGGGTGTGGAAAGCTTGGCCTTGTCTCTGATCTCTGGTTTTTGCTCAAGGCTATCCTGTCACCATGGTTACCATGGACGCCTAAGCCGACAATTTCAAGTTACTTAAGCGGAGTTGGATGGTATCACCGACCGGACGGATATGAGTTTGAGCAGGCTCCGAGAGTTGGTGATGGACAGGGAAGCCTGGCGTGCTGCAGTCCATGTGGTCAGAGTCAAGACAAGACTGAGTGACTGAACTGAACTGAAGCGAGCGCTAGTTCTTAATGTCTGGTCAAGAGGCATTCTTAGTTCTTTATGAAGAAGCACATCCAGGCAAACAAATTCCTAGTAAGCTGAACAGTTTCGTGCTATGGAACACACTTCTGGCCATCAGTTTTTCACCCTGTAAGGTGGAAGGAGCTAACAGATTTCATCATAGGCGGTTGCGAGGATTAAATGATACTTGCACAGTTTTAGGCATAGTGCTCAATGGTTAATTGTAATCAGTGCCCAGCTTTATTCACTTTTCATACAAATCAACAAACATTAATTCATATATTTAACGAATATATATTGAGTGCTTACTGTATGCTGGGCTCTGTTGCAGACTCTGAGAAATCAGCAAGCTAAAAACAAAGATCCCTGCTTTCCAATGGGAGGAGCTAATGGAACAATTAAAATACACTTTGATACATACTGACCAGTGCTACTGAGATAGTAAAGCAGGGGAAGGAAATAGATAGTAGGGTTTGTGATTTTAAATAGGGTGTTACCAGAAAGATATTACTGAAAAGCCACTGCAAAGTTTTGAGCAGATAAATGATATCTGACTTAATGTTTTAAAAGGCTCACTTTGTTGTGAGACATTACACTATAAATTTAGAGGGGCAAGAAGAAGCAAGAAGGCTAGTTAAAGAATTTTTGGAGTGATCCAGATGGTTGTATTGAGAGTAACAGTTTAGCTTCTAGACAATAGATTTGCTGACATTTAACATGGGTTATGGAAAAGAAAAGGATAATTCTAAGGTTTTGAGCTGGAGCATTTAATGTTTTAAGAATTTAACATTCTTAAAGAGATGGAAATACCAGACCACCTTACCTGCCTCCTGAGAAATCTGTGTCCAGGTCACGAAGCAACAGTTAGAATTGGACATGGAAAAATGGACTGTTTCCAAATTGGGAAAGGAGTATGTCAAGGCTGTATATTGTCACCCTGCTTATTTAACTTACATGCAGAGTACATCATGCAAAACGCTGGACTGGATGAAGCACAAGCTGGAATCAAGAAATATCAATAACCTCAGATATGCAGATGACACCACCCTTATGGCTGGAAGCAAATAAGAACTAAAGAGCCTCTTGATGAAAGTGAAAGAGGAGAGTGAAAAAGCTGGCTTAAAACTCAACATTCAAAAAACAAAGATGATGGCATCTGGTCCCATCAGCTCATGGTGAATAGATGGTGAAACAATGGAAACAGTGACAGACTTTATTTTCTTGGGCTCCAAAATCACTGAAGATGGTGACTGCAACCATGAAATTAAAAGATGCTTGCTCCTTGGAAGAAAAGCTATGACCTACCTAGACAGCATATTAAAAAGCAGAGACATTACTTTACCAACAAAGGTACATCTAGTCAAAGCTATGGTTCTTCCAGTAGGCATGTATGAATTTGAGAGTTGGACCATAAAGAAAGCTGAGCGCTGAAGAATTGATGCTTTTGAACTGTGGTGTTGGAGAAGACTTGAGAGTCCCTTGGACTGCAAGGAGATCAAAACAGTCAATCTTAAAGGAAATCAGTCCTGAATATTCATTGGAAGGACTGATGCTGAAGCTGAAACCAAAACTTTGGCCATCTGATAGGAAGAACTGACTCATTGGAAATGACCCTGATGCTGGGAAAGATTGAAGGCAGGAGGAGAAGGGGATGACAGAGCATGAGATGATTGGATAGCATCACTGATTCGATGGACATGAGTTTAAGCTCCGGGAGTTGGTAATGGACAGGGAAACCTGGCGTGTTGCAGTCCATGGGGTTGCAGAGAGTCAGACTGAGCGACTGAACTGAGCAACTAAACTGATTTAATGTTTCTGAGAGTTGAGAATCCTGAATATATAACTTCAATATAAGAATCTTCAATATAACTTTTCATAGTTACATTGAAGAAGGCAGTAGAATACAAAAGCTGGTAACTTACTCAAGATAAGTTGAGTCCTTGCTCTGGATCTAGACTATCTGCATATGAATATTGGACCCACAAATATTCATTTACTAGATTTATGATTTAGGCACATCACATAATCTTTCTGCTGCTAGTTTCCTCCTGTGTAATAGGACCTGCTCACTGGGCTGGTACAAGGCTTAAATGACTGCACACTTCAAAAACCCTTAGGATACTGTCCAACAGTGCTCAGTTTATGTTAACAGTAACTTATTGATCACCTTCCTATTCTTTGTCACTACTTGGGTCTTTATTGAGTGCTGATATAGTCATTAAGCAAAATTCTCCTACAGCACAGAAAACACACCATCTCTATCACTCTCTTAATTGTGGCAAGTCATAGCTAGTGGATATATGGTATCTGACTTAGGTCACAGTTCCTTCTAAAAGACATTACTGTAACAGTAATCTATTCTCACTTGTAGAAACAAGCTAAATAGTGAACTAAATTTGAGGCTTGAGGTTCCCAAGTGTGCCATGGCATATGAATTGGTAAGCCCTCTTATACCATACTTTAGACAAGTGAATTCCTATATTGGAACTTTTTAAATAGGATAACAAAGGCAATGTTTAAGTGATATTGTGGGTCCATTAGGTCATTGTATAAATACAAAATACCATTAACCATGTGTATAGCATTTTAGTTAACAAGGCACTTTTACACACCAGTGGAAACCAGCTTCCAAAATGGTCCTAATGATTTTTGCCTTTTGGTATTAATGCACTTGGGTAGTTTCCTCAATGAAATGGACTATTTTCTGTAACAGAATATAGCAGAAATGAATTTGTATAATGAGTGTAGATCAGAGGGATTGTTGTTTCTGCTTGTTCACTTAGATCACCTCCTCTGGGGATGTCAGCCATCATGTTGTGAATTCATTAGGGCAGCCCTGTGGAGAGGCCTAGGTAGAGAATCGAGACCTCCTACCAACAGCCAACATCAATCTGCCAGCAAAGTGAGTTAGCTATCTTGGAGCTAGATGGTCCACCCCCAGGTGGCACTGACTGCAGCTTTATGAGAAACACTGAGCAGAATTGCCCAGGCACACTCTTCCAGAATTCCTGATCCAGAGAAACCATGAGCTATGAAGTGATTATATTTTTAGCCACTAGGTTTTGGGGTGCTTTATTACAAAGTAATAGACTACATGAACCAAGCACTTCCAGATGTACAAGCTGGGTTTCGAAGAGGCAGAGGAACCAGAGATCAAATTGCCAACATTTGTTGAATCACAGAGAAAGCAAGGGAGTTCCAGAAAAACATCTACTTCTGCTCCATTGAGTACACTGAAGCCTCTGACTGTGCGGATCACAACAAATAGTGGAAAATTCTCAAAAAGAGAAGGGAGTACCAGACCACCTTACCTGTCTCCTGAGAAAGTCTATATAAGGGTCAAGAAGCAACAGTTAGAACCAGACATGGAACAACTGATTGGTTCCAAACTGGGAAAGGTGTATGACAAGGCTGTATATTGTCACCTTGCTTATTTAACTTATATGCAGAGTACATCATGTGAAACACTGGGCTGGATGACTCACAAGCTGGAATCAAGATTGCTGGGAGAAACATCAACAACCTCAGATATGTAGATGATACCACTCTAACGGTAGAAAGTGAAGAGGAACTAAAGAGCCTCTTGATGAAGGTGGGAGTGAAAAAGCTGGCTTAAAACTCAACATTCAAAAAACAAAGATCATGGCATCTGGTCTCATCACTTCATGGAAAATAAAAGGGGGAAAAGTAGAAGCAGTGACAGATTTTATTTTCTTGGGCTCCAAATATCACTGGGAACGGTGACTGCAGTCATGAAATTGAAAGATGCTTGCTCATTGGAAGAAAAGTTATGACACACCTAGACAGAGTATTAAAAAGCAGAGACATCACTCTGCCAACAGAGATCTGTATAGTCAAAGCTGTGGTTTTTCCAGTAGTCATATATGGATGTGAGAGTTGGACCATAAAGAAGGATAAGCACTGAAGAATTGATGCTTTTGAATTGTCATGCTCGAGAAGACCTGAGTGTTCCTTGGACAGCAAGGAGTTCACACAAGTCTATCCAAAAGAAAACCAACCCTGAATATCCATTGGAAGGACTGCTGCTGAAGCTGAAGCTCCAATACTTTGGCCACCTCATGTGAAGAACCAACTCATTGGAAAAGACTGTGATGCTGGGAAAGACTGAAGGCAAAAGGAGAAAGGGGTAACAGAAGGTGTTAGCATCACCAACTCAATGGACATGAACTTGAGCAAACTCTGGGAGATAGTGGAGGACAGAGGAGCCTGGCATGCTACATTTCATGAGGTCACAGAGTCGGACATAACTAAGGGACTGAACAACAACAGCAACAGTCAATACTCTAATTTGATCCTGCCTATCAAACTGTAAAGTACCGGAGAAAAAACTGCAAGTTGGACAAACTAAGCAACTCGCTAATGGTTATGGATACTTAAGTGTTTAACTCCTAAATGAATATACAAGCTATTAACGCTAAACCCAAATTCCTTCTATGACACTATCCTTTTTGGGAGCTCATCCTATGACAGCAGTTCCCACGAACATTCTTTTGTCATGCCTCTAGTCATGATTATATAAGTGATATGTTTTTTCATTGGAACTTTCATGGCAGCAGCTGCAGTAAAGGTGGCCCTCAGTTCCAGTACGGGGGTTTCTAACTGCTGGCCCACAGTTTTATTTGAGCCACTCTTCATCTCCTGAACCTACTGTTTCTGAAAGAAGAAAAAACTTGCCATGAGCTTCTTTTTACTGAAATAAGAAAGCTAAGGAGAAAAAAGAGAATAGTACAGGTTTTTAAGAAATTTTTCCAAATACATTTTTTTAAATAATAAAAAAGAAATCCTGAGTCATGTATTTCTCATGCATTACCAGAGTAGCTTATTGCTAGCACCAAATTCCTATCTTACATTGAGTTGGGCAACATTTATAATAGGCCACAATACAGAATTTACACAAAAAAGCAGATCAACTCTGAAACAGCAGAAAAAACTAAGTATAAAGATTAATCCATATGTAACTGGGCAAACACAAAAATGTACTCAACAATTCTACTCTATTACTCATGAATTACCCTATTAGGGATGACTTCTTTAAAACATATTCTAGAAATCATTAAAGGTATGGAAGAGAATTTATTTCACTTTGTGAGGCTTTACTTTCACAATTATACATACCCTTGGTACAGGAAGACCCTATCAAAATAGGTTGATTTTATGAGACTTTCAGACAATTAAGTTTGAGAAAGTTTATGATTATCAGGATTTGTATACATGATCACAATCAAAACAAAGAGATAAGCCAAAGAACAAGACTTTCTTAACCCCCCTGAAAACATAATAAATTACAATTTCTAGTCAAATGTTATTCCTATGCTATATTCATTTTGATCTCATTTTCCATTTTATACTCTGGCATTTTCTGAATACAGGTTACATATAATATTGTGTGTTAACTCCCTAGTCTTAATACCACAAAGTCAACTGTTTTACCATGGGTATATTTTTATCATTTAGAGTAGGATATGCTTGTTAATAAGCCAGTTATGCTCCAGTAACTTTGTGAATGCAAAAACACTGAGAAGTAAGAACGGATAATGGAGTTATTATTTCATGGATCCTCATTCAAGTTTAGGAAAATTACTTCCAGAAAGCTGCAATTCTGCCAAATATATTGTTTAAATGGAAACTGAAAGAAAAGTGAAATTACTGGAAGCCTTTGATGGTTCACTAGACATTGTGTGCTTTCAATAGTTCAACACTGTTATGCTTGATAATCAAAAGTAAATTAATAGGCTAACATTTTAAAATGTATACTTTAATTAAGGTATAAAGTATATAAACAATCAGGTAAGCTTCTAGAGAAGCTGACCAAGATACATAAATTAGGAGATATAAGTGTCCATCTAAATTTTCTATACTTTATCTTTTTTTTTCTTTTTACAGAGTATTTATTAAAGTTGTTTAATATACAATTTTTCATTTGTCATTCTGGAAGTCCTTTTTTAGAAAGACTCTTCTAAAAGAAGAGTCTCATTGTCTCTTCTCATTGCAGCCTCATTGTCAGTGATTATTCCGGACCTCCACGCTGAAAAGGAAGAAATAAAGCAATAAGATTAGGTGTTTCATTTACAAAGAAATTTTTCATGGGAACTATACAAATCTGAGACATTTTAAAGCAATGATCTTTAGGTCTTAAAACAAATTTCAGATTTTTCATAGCTTTTGGGCTCTCATATCTCATATCAATATTATAAAGAATTTCAGATCTGAAAGGGACTCAAGTTTGACCTAGGTCAATGGTCCTCGAATTTTCTTGGTCCTTTACACTATAAAAAAATTAATGAGGACCCTGGTCAGGAACTAGATCCCACATGCCACAATTTAAGAGTTTGCATGCTGGAACTAAAGAGCTCACATGCCTCAATGATCAAAGATCCAGAATGCCTACAATTAAAACAATAACAAAAAAACCAAACAGATGCAGCCAAATAAAGAATTTAAAATAACTAAATATTTAAATAAAATTATTCTTTCAAGCACATTTATTGAGGGCTCAAACATCATTTATTTCTCATAGTCCTGGCCTACCTGACCATCCCTGTCTTAGGTATGGACACACCTTGACAAGACAATTGGAAGAACATTTAAATCAGCAACTGAAACTCCAAAGCTAATAAGGTGTCTTCCACAGTATTGTGATAAAGAGCAATAACATACTTGGATAAATTCAATTTCTTCTTGAGACACAAGTTTCCTTCTGTATTTCTGAGGTAAAGTTTTTATTATCTCTGCAGTGTCTGGTGGACCCTGATGCATCAGCCAGTCTGGTGATTTACTTCCCTTAGAATGCTGCGAAATTGAGGAAGTATGAGATGGTAGTCCTGCTGATCGTAGAACTTCTGATACTGAAATTAAAAAAAACAACTTAGAAGGATTGTTCAGGGTCTTAAAATACTATTTTATTATTGAATAATCAAGTTATTCTTAAAATGATAAGTATTACAATTCCAAGAGGTAAGTCTTATAGAGTAACTTGGTTGGGTAGCTATATAGTTTTATAAGTTTGTTTTAAAGCAAATGAGGTAGTTTTAAGTCAGTGAACTACTAAATTGAGTAAGTTCATAAAATAATGAAATTTTTAGATAGTGGAGTTCAATCCATGTGGATAACTGACATTACTTAAGTTTTGCCCTATGGTAGAGATTACAGGTAGTATACAATGGAGAATAAAAAAGCTGGTAGATGGAAATGAGATTTGTTTTTTCCAGACTTGTTTGTCACCTATGTTCTTCAAGAGTTACAACAAGTTAAAAATATCTATATAAAATTTGTTAAAATTCTCCCTGAATTAAAGGTTGAGTATCTTATAATACAGTGACAGACGAGTAAAAGAAAAACAGAACTTGTTCAGAATCTTCAATTACTTTAATGGGTAATGACTACTAAGTTCTAAGGCAATCCAAGAAATATTTACTGATTGAATGAACAGATATATGAGTGAATGAAAAAGAGAAGGTTAACGATGAGGTACCATTACACACCAGTCAGGATGGCTGCTATCCAAAAGTCTACAAGCAATAAATGCTGGAGAGGGTGTGGAGAAAAGGGAACCCTCTTACACTGTTGGTGGGAATGCAAACTAGTACAGCCACTATGGAGAACAGTGTGGAGATTCCTTAAAAAACTGGAAATAGAACTGCCATATGACCCAGCAATCCCACTCCTGGGCATACACACCGAGGAAACCAGATCTTTAAGAGACACATGCACCCCAATGTTCATCGCAGCACTGTTTATCATAGCCAGGACATGGAAGCAACCTAGACGCCCAACAGCAGACGAATGGATAAGGAAGCTGTGGTACATATACACCATGGAATATTACTCAGCCATTAAAAAGAATACATTTGAATCAGTTCTAATGAGATGGATGAAACTGGAGCCCATTATACAGAGTGAAGTAAACCAGAAAGATAAAGAACATTACAGCATACTAACACATATATATGGGATTTAGAAAGATGGTAATGATACCCTATATGCAAAACAGAAAAAGAGACACAGATGTACAGAACAGACTTTTGGACTCTGTGGGAGAAGGTGAGGGTGGGATGTTTCTAGAGAACAGCATCGAAACATGTATATTATCTAGGGTGAAACAGATCACCAGCCCAGGTTGGATGCATGAGACAAGTGCTCGGGCCTGGTGCACTGGGAAGACCCAGAGGGATTGGGTAGAGAGGGAGGTGGGAGGGGGGATCGGGATGGGGAATACATGTAAATCCATCACTGATTCATGTCAATGTATGACAAAAACCACTGCAATATTGTAAAGTAATTAGCCTCCAACTAATAAAAATAAATGGAAAAAAAAAAAAGAAGGTTAGCTGGGAGAAAGATATAGGAATGGTGGTTACTCATCATAATCTTTGCATATATAAACATGGGAGATTCTTCTGAAGGACAGAAGAAAAGGTAGAACAAAAATTCCCATATATAAACTCAGTATCATTAAAAACCTAACATACCACTGTGACCTATACTACAATTGTCAACCTGATTTTAAAATGAAAAAGTCTATAATAAAATATTCATGTATAGATCTAATTGTACATATTTTTTTAGCCTAAATAAACTGCAGCTTACCATTTGGTTTAGGATTGTCTCTTCTGTCAGGGAACCTTATTAATGGAGTATGTGGCTTGACTACCTAAAAGAAAAAAAAAAGCATGAGAAAGAAATGAAGTACTAAGAGAACCTCATTAACTAACATAAGAAATAATCTACTGAATCCCACAAGCAGATAGATACCTTTGTTAAAATAACTTAGTAGTTGACAGCAACTTTAAATTTTCTATTTAAAAAAGTACTTTTAAATTTTCCTCTTGTATTTCCCTGGTGGCACAATGGACGAGAACCCACGTGCCAATTCAGGGACGCAGCTCGCTCTCTGGTCCAGGCAATTTCCACACGATGCGGAGCGGCTAAGCCTAAGCGCCAGAACTACTAAGCCTGTGCTCTAGAGCCCGCAGCCCAATGAGAAGCCCCGATCATAAGAAAGAGCAGCCCTGCTCGCCGCAACTAGAGAAAGCCTGCGCTGCAACGAAGACCCAGGGCAGCCACAGAGAAAGAAATTACTGTGCCTTCCCCAACAGGGACAGCCAGGCTATGAGCTACCGTTTATCTTATTTGATATTCATAATAAACTTGTGCTTTACACATCACAAAACACTGTACTGTACTGCCAACTGACCTCAAAACAACCCTATAAGGTGACATGGATTTCACGTTGCATGACTTCTAACTCACCCTGCTGACAGGTAAGAACTGGAAGTTTCCTTGACTTGTACTGACTATTGTTTCTGTACTATGTTTTAATACTTAGTTGTTTAGAATAGGATAAAAAGCGTACTGAAAATTAGGTAATCAAACAAATTTTTTCGGACAACAAAAGTAACACATGTTCTGTGTACAAAAAAACTGGTAAAAACACAGAAAAGCACAAAGAAAAAACATCATCTATAAGCTCAAAACACAATAAATAGATTTATAAGCTCATCTATAAGCTCAAAACAAAATAAAATAGATTTAAACATCTGATAACTCTTGACTTTATTCTTTTTCCTACACCCATAGGAATACATGTATTTAGATAACTTTTTAATAAGATATTTGAAGAGTATTAATTTTTTATCACTAAAATTCCAGATCATGCTACAGAGGAACTTAAGCAGAACTTTCAGTATGAAATCATCTGAATATATATAAAATGCTGAGACTAATAAAACAAAACCCTAAAAATAACTTCTCACTCTGTCTAGTAACTGTTGCTTTTCATAGCCAGGCTTCTTGAAAGAGTGTTCTGTCCATCTTCCAGGCTGATGTTTTTCCGGATAAACTTCAACCTGGCATTTGGCACCAACAGGTCCATCAGGATCTGGCCTCTCCCTACCTCTCCAGTCTCATTCCCCACCATGGTACCATTCACCCAGGTACTCTGAAGTACTTTTTATTTCCCTGACTCATCATACCATGTCCACCCTCCTTCAGCTGAGAGCTCCTGTGCTCTGCCAGGAAATCTCTCCCTGGTTCCACCCTACTTCCATGTCTTTGCTTTTACCTGACTATCTTGTAAAACAGCTCAACTGTCACTCTTCTCTTAAGAAGATTCCCCATCCCTAAATCCGATTTAAAAAGGACTCCTATGTTTCCACAGCAACCTGAACATCTCAAGAATACTGTGTAGAGGACAGATAAATGAGCCAGTGATTATAGGACAGCACAGCTCCGGGAAGGGCAGAGATGGAAAATGAACTACTTCTGCAGCAGTACTCAGTACCCAGCACATGCTCAGCAAACATCAGACAAAGGAGTGAACAGACCACTCGTCAGTCAGGGTTAACTGTACAGGCATGTGAATATGTATACACACACTTAACCATGTGTACATATACCAGAGAAAAAGAATCCAGTTCAATATAGTTTTTGTACACTTAAAAGTGTAGTAATATGTCCTTATAGATCAGTTGGCTATCCTTTTATTTGTACCTTTCTAAGTCTCTTTGTTTCAGCTGTGCCTTTTATATAATATACAACACTAAATATTCATTTGTTGGCCAACCTGAGAACACTTTTAAAAGGGAAGTGAGACCACTTACATTTGTAACTCATAAATTTGGTATATTTTCTGTCATATCATTATTTAACATTCTTTGTCCTATGATCTTTTTCTTTGCTTTCATTTGTGGGGTTGGTTGGTTAGTTGTTGGTTTTTTGGTATTTAGATCTGTACTTTGTATAATGTTTATGTTATGCTGTTACCTTTAGATAATACTCTTAACTGCCTGTTTCTGAGATACTATCTATTGGTTCACTATCACTAGAAAGAATGAAAGTAATTAACGGTAATCTCTTCTCTGCCACCCCTCCCCATCTTTTACTACCAGTTAATGAATGAATGAAAGAAGTTGCTCAGTCGTGTCCAACTCTTTGCGACCCCATGGACTGTAGCCTACCAGGCTCCTCCATCCATGGGATTTTCCAGGCAAGAGTACTGGAGTGGGCTGCCACTTCCTTCTCCAGGGGATCTTCCTGACCCAGGGATCGAACCCGGATCTACTGCGTTTCAGGCAGGCGCCTTACCCTCTGAGCCACTAGGGCTCAGTTAATAACCAGAGGCAATTACAAGTTTATTCTACTTTCTGTATACTCTTCCTCTTATTCCTTCATTTAAAAAGTCTTATTATGTAAAGTAATTAGCCTCCAACTAATAAAAATAAATGAAAAAAAAAGATTAATATATTGAAAAAAAAAGTCTTATTAGATAGATACTGTCAGAGCAAATATTACCAACAAGTCTTTCTCCCTTATCTGCATTATCTAGCCTTAATTCTACAGTTAAATACACTCAGTGATTATATCCAGTTCCTGTGTTAAAACAGCTACAAGTACAACTAAGTATTCCTTAGTTGTCTGATGCTCACTCCCTGGGAGAGCTAGTAGGAAGAGCTTTGGGGGCACAGTATTCCCTGAGTTACTAAAGGTTTAGAAGAGTTTGTGGCCTTTATACTTGAAGGTCAGTGCAGCTAGATAAAGCTTAGGTTTACATTTTCTTTCCTTAACTACCTTAAATATGCTATCCACATGTTTTCCTTTAAGAAGTTTGTTGTTGAAAACTTTGATAACTTAGTAAGTGCTTAGTCTTGTTGCTTGGATCACCAAATAATTCTTTTCTTTAAAAGTCAATGATTTTACTAGAATATACCCATTAGTCCACATACTAGGTCAAATCTCTCAACTACAAGGTATAACTTTAAGTCTCTTTTTGTATCAGGAAAGTTCTATTAAATTATAGGTATTGAGACTTGGTCAACTGTACTCTCACTTTTTCAGAGACTTATTATACAAAAGTTGCATCATCTTGTCTTTATCTACTTCTATGACATTCTCTGAATCCCCTTAATCTTTTTTCATTATCTTTGATTTTGGGGGGAAACTTATTTTATAAAGGAATCCACTTCTACGATTCATGAAGCCCAGGCTAAGTTAAAAGTGACGCGTTCTGGAGGAAACGACACTGTACTCTGGACCTTCTGGTTAGAACTACTGTCTTCTTTCTACCTCAACTGAAAACCCAGTCTCATGCTGCCTCAATCCCTGCCCTACGATTCTTGGAAGATGCCAAAGTCAACTATGTTAGAGGCTTTTTCAGAGGAGAAGACAACTCTTGCCTTCTCAGAAGACCATCCCTCTACTTACTTTGCTTTAAGGGGCAGATAGCAACTCCAAACCACGGACAGGTTGGGACCTGCGCAGGCCTCAATTGTTATCTGCGTTTTGTTTTTTTAATCCTTTTTCTCCTTTCCTCTACTATTTCCTTTAGGAAAACTTCTAAGTTGCCCATTGACCTTTGTGTTCTTTCCAGTTTAGTGTCTATTCCTGAAAGGTTCTTTTCTTTTATTCTTAACTCTTTACTGAGTTCAGAGCTGTACCATCCCTAAAACCTTAACCTAAAATCCAAATTCAACTACAACCTTTTAACTTTGTTATTTCCCACTATCAGTTTCAGCCAGCCTTTCATTTCCTATCTCTCCCTTTTCTCCCAGTCAAGTGGTTCCATCTTGACTTTACTTCCTTTCACATCTAGCCTAGACCCACAGTCCACTGAGCAACCTCTTAGCACTCTCAACTGCCTTGCTGTAAATCTCAAACCCTGAATTAACCCAACTACCTACCTTCTCCCCCTGTGTCTTATAGTTAAATGATTTCCTACATGATTATCTCCTCTCTACTACTGCATCATCTCAAACATATCAAATATATATTGCTTGACATTCAGCAGGCATCTATAACTTACTCTTCTAAAATTATTTTTAAATAGCCTGCGTCCAGCCGAATTCCTCTACTTAATGATGATACCATGCTTTGTGAATTCCTATCAGTTTGTGCCAGTCTGCTGAAATACTACTCTCTCTTCAAGATACTGACCAACAAGTTCTAAGCTCTGTGGAGGCACCATGTATTGTCCTGTTGGCCCTGTGGTCCCAGCCCTGAGTATAGGCCTGGCACAGAAGTACCCAACACATTTTGCTAACGTTAACATGTTGTCAGCATGTACTGCTTTGTTTTATGAATGTGAATATAAGTCTTTGAAGCTCTGTTAGAAGTAGACAGGCCATTCCTTATTCTGTATCTCACAGATCTTTTCTGTTGCATGTATTAATAGTTCTTTATTATTGCTGTGTGCTGTTCCATTTTAACAAGTCTACTACACTTTATATTGCTAATGGATATTTGGATATTTTCTGGTTTAGGTGTTATTATGAATAAAGCAACTATGAAGATTTTTATCTTGTTTTTTAAATAGGTATATGCACTCATTTCTCCTGGGTATAAACCTATGAGTAAGACTGCTGGGACATAGGGTAGGTATGTCTAACTAGTAGTAAAGGCCCACAAAACAGTTTTCCAAAGTGGCTGTACCTTTTTATATTCCCACCAGCAATGGATGAGAGTTTCAGGTGCTTCGTGTTCTCATAAAAACTTGTCAGTCTCAGTCTTTTTAATAATTTTGGTGGTTTCCTGGTTTTAATTTGCATTTCCCTGGCAAGTAATGATGTTGGAACATCTTTTCACTGGCTTAGTGCTCATTCAAATATCTTGCTTTGTGCATTATCAAGTTTTTTTACCCATTTAAAAAACTGGGCTATATATTACTGATACATATAATTATCTATTAAGGATATTGGTCCTTTGTTCGGTGTTTGCCTATCCTCACAAAATCTTTAATTAAGGCTTAATAATAACCCACTGAATGTACAAGTGAGGATCATTTGTTGCAATGGGAGCAAAGACTGGGATCTAAGATTATATTTCAGAGCGAAATAACTTTAAGAAAAAGTCTTTCAAGAGATGACTTGTGAAAAGGGAAATGCATATCTCATATCAAAGTTAAAAGTTAATTGTACTATACTGCAACTTGAGTTGGAAAAAAACTCGAGTAAAACAACCACAAAAGTGGAGGTTGTCGCCCTTTATAGACCAAGTTTAATTTTCCTACTTAAGCTAAAGACCACAGTTGGAGAAACAAAAACAAAAGCTGTCAGGAGTTAGTAGCTGATGAGTGGATTGATAAAGTCCCTCTAGCGCCAATCTAAACTAGGGAAAAAACATTACAGAAAAACTTAAATATATCTTTTTTCCATTCTCCCCCATCAGGCCTATAACCAGACTCTGGTTGGTGGAGGAGAGTATCCGGCGAGGACGCAGCCCGCGGGGGCCAGTTCTCTGGCCATTCCTAAGACCTTGAAGGGACACTGGGTCAGAGCGAAGGGTCGCTTCCTTTCACTGCCCTACCGCCTTCCTTCCGATTGGCCGATTCGCGACAAACCTAGACAACACCGGTCGCTGATTGGCCAGGATATTGCCAGGCAGCCAAGCCTGCAGCCTGCTAAGAGGATCTCTAAGAGGTCTCGGTGGAGGGCAGTCCAGGGACTTTGCAACAGCTAAGTGCCTACCTGCGGAGATGCACTCCCTCGGCCTGTCTCGAATCGTCAGCTCCGTCCCAGGCTTCACTGCCCGTCCCAACAAGCGCAAGGTCCAATTCTCACATACACCTGGGGAAGCAGCTGCTGGCCCTACACAGGGCGGCGGTCACCGCGTAGCCTCCACCACCGCCTTTCCTCCCCAGCGCGGGTGTTACAGTCAGCACCTTCCCTACCGTCCACGGCACAGAAAGGCGACCGAGTCTCCTTACCTGAACGACCCTGCTGGCAGACGCCATCTTGCTGCCCATCATGACCCCCGAGAAGGGGCAGCTTCCGGGGCGCTGGAGAGCCGCGGTTATAACAAGCGTCCCGCGCGGCTGGGGGCGGGCCCTGCCTGTGACGTCATGGAGGAGGAGCGGGCCCTCAGGCTGGACCCTCCTCCACTGTGGAGCTAGCCCCACCCCCTTGTGCCGGACACCGCCCCGCCTCTCTTCCCGACGGGGAGCTGACCCACGTGTTTCCCGTTGTTTTCGTTTTGCAGGTGAAGATTTGTGATGTTGGATTTATTTTGTTCATCAGCCTGTGAGTGACCTAGGACGATTTCTTCTCCGGATAGACAGTTTTTAATTTCAGCGTAGTCCAAGATGTAATATGAAACCAAATAAGTAATATAAATTCTTTTGGCTACCTAAAATGAACAATCTTGTTAAAATTTGGGAGGAAGAAGCAAACTCAGAAAGTGGTGGCCAATTCTGACTCTGTAGGTTCTATGGGTCTCATATTCCTTTGCTTTTTATTTATTTATTTTTCTTTTTTTGGACCCTCCCTTCCCACCCTTATCCTGGCCCACTAGGTCGTCACCTCCTTTGCTTTTTAGAAATTTGTTAATTTTTTTTTTTTACTGAAGTAGTTTTACAATGTGTTCATTCCCGTTGCTTGTTAACATTGCTTGATTTGGTTTTCTGATTCCTTGTGATTTGGTTTTCTGATTCCTTTCTCTACCATTACTCCTGATATTAAACTGCTGCCTGCTTCCGAGTTTAAGAAAACTCAGAAGTTCTAGTTTTTTTTTTTTTGAAGCATGAACCATCCATCATTCCCCCAAGTTGTATTAATGTTAAATTCTATGGTAAATATTAGTGTTTACAATGTTAAAAATTTAATACACAGTACAATATGTTGCAGCCACTTTATAGGTAATGTAACACCTTACATTATTGTAAATGTTTAGAGCAACAAATTTGTTTTGATGATCTAAGTCAATGTTTTTTAAATCTAGGAGAGTTATTTAACCTGAATATGGGCTCTTCTGATTCAGAAAGTCTGGAGGAGACCAGGAATCTGTTTGTTTTTAAAGCTTTCAAAGCTTGTTTTAGCAGCACATAGCAAAAAGAAAAACAAATTTCCCTTAAAAATATTAAAAGACATTCAACCTCCCTTATTCTAAAAAAAACTTAAACTACACTGAAACACTATTTTTAATTCATCAAGTTGGCCAACAGCCATAGTTTGGACAATCTGATCTGGGGAGGCTGTAGGGAAAGAGGCACTGATGTATATCATTTAGATTTTAGTTTAAGGCAGGACAAGAAAAATTAAACAAAATTCTCTCTGTGGTTCCCTTTGGGCCTCCTCCCTCCCTAATGTGCAGTTTGCATCTCCATTACGCATTAACCAGAGCTCCTCAAAGTTGGAAGCACCTGCTCAACCATAAAGATCCCTTTCTTTCTTCTGAGGCTGGCAATGTAACTTCTTCAAACAATAGGGTTCTTTTCTAGCTCTGTAAGGGGTCACAATGACTTGTCGCTCAATTTGTTCCTGCTTGCCTGGACTAAGTATGCCTTGTGGACTTTATGTGAAGTATCAGTACGTCATTTAGATATACAGTCCTTTGTCTCAAAAATGACTATGCCTTTGACTTCTAACAGGCAGAACAGTCCTCAGAGCTTTCTGAGAATCTGCTTCCTGGATTATAATCTTCAGTTTGGTTTGTATAAAATTCCTTCCCCCCACCCCTGCACCCCTTAACTATTCAGTAGTTCATTGAATTTTCATCAACAGTGGGAGTAAAAGATGGTACTCAAAAAAAAAAACAAAACCACTACATACTGAATGACTCCAATTATATGACATTCTGGAAAAGGCAAAACTATGAAAACAATAAAAATAACAGTGGTGGTCAGGGGTTGGGGGAAGGGAGGGACAAATAGGCAGAGCACAGGGAATTTTTAGGACAGCGCAACTGTTCTGTATGATAGTATCAATATAATGGTGGGTGTCTGAGCAGTAGGTATATGGGAACTCTGAACTTTCTGCTCCATTTTGCTGTGAACCTAAAACTGCTTTACAAAATAAAGTATCTTAAAATTTTTTTTAAAGTCACCATTGCTGAAACCAGAAAAACTAATGTGTTCTTAAAATTCAAAAATGGTGTCTAGCCTGGAGTCTACTATACAGAGTGAAGTAAGTCAGGAAGAGAAAGACAAATACTGTATATTAATGCATATATATGAAATTTAGAAAGACAGTACTGATGACCCTACATGCAGGGCAGCAAAGGAGACACAGATGTAAAGAACAGGCTTTCAAATTCAATGGGAGAAGGAGAGGGTGGGATGATTTGAGAATAGCATTGAAACATGCATATAACCAGGCATGAAATAAATGACCGGTGCAAGTTCAATTCGTGAAGCAGGGCACCTAAAGCCTCTGGGTTTTGACAACCCAGAGGGATCAGGTGGGAAGGGAGGTGGGAGGGAGGTTCAGGAGGGGGCACACATGTATACCTGTGGCTGATTCATGTTGATGTATGGCAGAAACCATCACAATATTGTAATTCTTCTCCAGTTAAATTAGTTGAAAAAAATAAAACTCCTATTAAAAAAAATGGTGACTATAGTTGATGACATTGCATTGTACGGTTGAAATTTACTAAGAGAATAGAACTTAGGTGTTCTCACCAAGAAAAGGAAAAGTAAATATGTGAGGTGCTGGGTATGTTAACTAGACTGTGGGAATCCTTTCACAGTGTACACATACATCAAGTCATCACATTGTAAACTTTAAATATTTTGCATTTTATTTGTCAGTGACAAATGGCAACCCACTCCAGTATTCTTGCCTGGAGAACCACTTGGTCAGAGGAGCCTGGCAGGCCACAGTCCATGAGGTCACAAAGAGTCTGCCACCCATATCTTCAGTAAAGCTGGCAGGGAAGGAAGCTCAAAAGCAACAACAGCTTAGATTTCTAGTACACAGATACTTCATTTACATTTAGGGAAACAGCAACTTTCTGTGTGAAAATCTACAATGCTAGATTCTCATTCTGAAGTCATTTGAGAGACACAGGTAGACTTTTTGCTACTTTTCTACTAATATTTTTCATTTTCCTTTTTGATTATATTTAAGAAAGAAATGAAGAAAATGGACAAAGAATTCCCATGGCTTAGGTTTTACTAAAATATAAACTTTCCAAGTCCTCTAATTCCAAGAAGTTTCCCCAGAATACCTGATGATAAGATTAGAAAATGTCAAATGCAGTATAAGTTACTGGTCATATTGGTATGAATTTTGTTTGGGGAGGAGTACCAGGAAAAGGCTTTGACTTTTTTCTACTTGGAATTTTTTTTATAAGTGTTGGCATTCATACTCCACAGAATTCTCATCCAGGCCCCTTTTTGATTAGTTCTCTCTAGGATGGAAATAATGAAAGGAGCTGAACCTGATACAGCAAACTGCCTCAATTCCCAAATTTTATCTTATTTTCCTGCTCAGTTTTAATCACCCTCCTGTCATCCTACCATTTGATTACTCATTCCATTCCTTTTTTTTTTTTTTTTTTGGACATGTATACACTGCTTTATTTTTGGCTGCACTGGGTCTTCCTGGCTGCGTGCAGGCTTCCTTTCTCTACTCGTGGCGAGAGGAGGGCTGCTCTCCAGCTCTGGTGCATGGGCTTCTCGGTGTGGTGGTTTCTCTTGCTGCAGGTCTCGGGCTCTGGTGCATAGGTTTCAGTAGCTGCAGCTGGCGGGCTCTGGGCACTTGGGCTTTGGTAATTGTGGCACAGAAGCTCATTAGTTGTGGCTCGTGGGCTCCAGAGCATGCAGGCTTCAGGAGGTGCGGTGCACGGGCTCAGTTGCTCTGTGGCATGTGGAATCTCCGATCAGGGATGGAACCAGTGTCCCCTGCATTGGCAGGCGGATTCTTACACACTAAGCCACCAGGAAGGCCCAGGTCCCATGAGTTTTGTCTTGTATTAATAAACAATGAGTGTTGTCTACCCTCCAGTTCTGCAAGGGTCAGGTCATTGATTGCTAACCTCTAGGACACTGTGTAAGAATTCAGGACAAAGGACAGGAGCACTCAGTGCTTGGGGAGAACAGGCAAGCAAAAATGGCCCTTAGATATACTTTAGGAAATGTTTTATGAATCTGGATTCTTGCATCCTCCCATACTTAGAAGCACTAAAATATCATTAACTGATGTATCTATTTGCCTTAACTAAAAGTAAACTTCTACTAAGATATATGCTGGATTGCACATACTTTGTAGCCAAAATCTCACATATACTGGCCTCTTCCTCCCTACCTCTTGAGAGCATTTCCTGGGAGCTATCTGAGCGCCTGTCTATCAGTACTCAGTAAGACACTGACTAAAACTCAAGTCTCAGCTGTTACACTGTACATCTTTCTCTAGTCAACAGTCTATATCCTGAATGCTATTGTTGGGCTGTTTTCATGGACCTGTGGAGCATAGCATCCAGTTCTACCTCATCTATTGTGTCTTCTTAATATCCTTATCTTACCGAGCCTCTGACTCCTTTCTTGTCCCATGTACCTTGCTCCTGACATTGGCTGTACTTTCCTGTGAGGCAGAACTCAGTATGCATGACAGCTTCCTGATGTGATGCAGTACAAAGTGCCCAGAACAACTTGTGGGTTTTTTGATTTAAAAAAAATCTGAAACTACATTTAATAAAGCACTTAGATCTAACTTCTGGTTTGCCGGAAAACAGGTGAAACAAGCTATGTGAACTACTAGGAAGCAATCCGACAAGTCAGAAGAGACCTTTCTACAGGGCAATTGCTTTTTTTTTGACAATGAATGTTAAGAAGAACTTGTGGGGGGTGGAGGGGTGGGAAGGAGGATATAATCTGTTGCGGGTACTCAGTTCAGTTCAACTACAGATCTTCCTTATGATGGGGTTACATCCCAATAAACTCATCCTAAGTTGAAAATATCCTAAGTCAAAGTGCCTTTAATATACCTAATCTTAAATGTGCTCAGAACATTTACATTAACCTACAGTTGGGCAAAATCAGCTAACACAGCCTATTTTGTAATATAATAAAGTATTGCATATGTCATGTAACTTACTGGCTACTGTACTGAAAGTGAAAAACAGAATGTTTTTAAGTATATGGGTGTTTGCCTCTGTGACTCTGTGGCTGACAGATGTGGCTTGCTGCTGCTGCCCAGCATTACTATAGATCATCAGAGAGATTGTTAGCCCAGGAAAAGATCAGTTTGAAGTATGGTCTCTACCGAATGCATATAGCTTTTACACCATCATAGAGTTGAAAAGTCCTAAGTTGTACCATCATAAGCAGGGGACCAACGTATGCTATTGTAGAAAGGCAGCCATAGATAATATGTAAACCTGTGGGTGTGGCTTTGTTCCAATAAAACTTTATTTACAAGTCCAGGCAGCTGGTAAATCAGTTTGATATGAGGAAATAGCCAACCAAAACAACCATCACTCCCACCACTCCCACCATTTTTTGAGAAAAAATGTATTAGCAAAGATACCACTAGCCTGAATTTTAAAAGACTGTGATTGTTTGGGATGTAAAATGATATTTGTGTCCCCAATTGAGAAAAATGTTCAGATGGGCATAATCTCTGATGCCCTCTTCAGATATGGCCAAAGTTAGCAATGGACAGGGAGAACCTCCCAAAGGGCAGAGGGAAGGACCACAGACAAAGAACTGCTTCCAGACAGCAGAACAAGAGCCAAATCCAAAGGTGTTCCCTGTCCCCTTAGAAGGGGCACTTCTGTTCATTTGCCAAGCAGTGTTTCAGAATTGCCCCAGTCCTTGTCACCATTATTTGCTGACTGTGTGAAGCAGTATCATTGGTCTTTTCAGGTCACAGGTCTCTAGATCAGGAAGAATCAAACTGGACTTAACTGGAGACTCTTTGAAACTGGTATGGCTGGGTGACATTATTAGCTTACGATCTTTGGGGAAAGGCACATCTTTTACATGCAGAAGGGAAATTAATATTTAAGACCAAAGTAGCAGGCTGTGGTAGACTGTATTCTTTTCAGCAAATATCCCTTTGCTTTTCCCTACTCTGAAACTCAGCACTTCTGCTGTGAGAGGTATATACTTTCCTGCCCCAGTGTTGAGCTTGGTCAATGAACCTGGGTGGATATAATGTACACTTGCTCTAAGTACAAACTGAATGTGCTTGCATAATTTGACTTGGCCTCATCAGTCATGGCTTCCCTGGTGGCTCAGAGGGTAAAGCGTCTGCCTGCAACGCTGGAGACGTGGGTTTGATCCCTGGGTTGGGAAGATCCCCTGGAGAAAGAAATGGCAACCCACTCCAGTATTCTTGCCTGGAGAATCCCATGGACGGAGGAGCCTGGTGAGCTATAGTCCACCGGGTGGCAAAGAGTCGGACACAACTGAGCGACTTCACTTTCACAAGCCATGAGCATGTGTTTCAGATAGTGACTGCTCCCTCAGCCTAGGTCCTAGGATAATCAGCCAAATCATGGATTCAACAGAGAATGTATTTCTTATAAGTCACTGAGATTTGAGGTTTTTATTCAGCATGATTTCCAAGAAACATAACTAATACAATTTCTCTCTCAGAGCTGGGCTTTAAGAGGGAGCACACAACAGGACAATAAAATTTTAGGAAAATGCAGGAAGTTTTTCTGAGGATGGTGATAATCCTTTGAGTTGGGATTCACTAATAAAGGGTGCATCTATGATAACATGTAATGCTCTATCTTTGGATCAGGAAAGTATTTTTCAGAAAGTATTTCTATGAGAAAAATATAACTTGTTTCCTAATTCACATGGACAATTTCCAAGAATACACTGTGGCAAAAAGAGTAACTACATATAAAATTTATGTAGTTATGATTTATCAAATCATAAATTATGATTTATCAAAAAATGAAGCCAAACTAGAAATATTCCAAAGAAAAGATTTCAGAATTCAAATTTAGGCAAATATCATTTTTGCTATTGATCTAAAGAACAGATTTCAAATACTATTGTCCATTGCAGTGCATCTTTTCAAGTTTAAAGTCTTTCTTAAAATAATGTTGAAAAGACTATTGTCTATAAAATTTATCAATAACTCCAAATTAATAAAGAGCTCAAAGCAGAGTTTTCAAAAAATGAAATTGGATACTATAAAATGCTTCAAGTTCTAATTTTTTAATAAGATAGAATAACATTTACTTTTTTAATAAAAGCGATACATAATAAACATAAAAATACAAAATAAAGTCACAATTTTTCTGTAATCAGAATGTTTTTCTTTTTCTTCTTTTTTCATGATTGAGGTGCTTTATTTGGGTATCTGTTTAAAAATGTGGATGGAGGGGTGAGAGAACTGAGAAAATGGTGGTCAAAAGGTACAAGCTTGCAGTTAGAAGATGAATAAATTTTGGAGATTTAACATACAACATTGTGATTCTAGTTAACAATACTACATTACACACTTCAAAGTCGCTAAGAGGATAATCTTACATATTCTCACCATGATAAAGAAATGATAATTATGTGATATGATGGAGATGTTAGCTAATGGTGGTCAGATCAACAGTGTTGTACATCTTAAACTTACACAGTGCTCTGTATCAATTATATCTCAATTTTTTGGAAATTAAAAAAAAAATCACTTCTTTGGCTGCACCTGGTCTCAGTTGCCATATGTGGGGTCTTCAGCTGTGGCATGCAGACTCTTCACTGCAACCATGTGGGATCCAGTTCCCTAACCAGGAACTGAACCTGGGCCCCCTTGCCCTGGGAACATGGACCCCCAGCCACTGGACCACCAGGGAAGTCCCCCAATTTTTTTAAAAAGGAAAAAAAAAAAGAAATCTGTAGTGAGTTGAACTAAAATGAGATTTATCTGAATAAAATATAATTGACAGTTGAAAAAAAAAAAAGATGTGTGTGGATATGCTTTTCCAACTTTCTAATATTTTGTTGACAAACAAATACACAGAAGTATTCCAAGTGAGAGCTGGGATTTCCAGGAATGTTGTAGAAAAAATGTCCATATTCAGTAGAAGGCTGGACTAGATGTCTTTTGGGGCCCTTCCAAGGCTAAGATTTTCATATTTAGACTATGCCAGTCACTTTATTATATTTAAAACAATAGATTCCATGTAACATGTAACTCAAGCTAAAAAAAAATAATTGCAGTATTAGAATCATTCCAAAAACACTGAAAAGCATTTCACTTGAAATTTCTATTTAAATGACATTAAAAACAGAAACAAAAAAAGTCAAACTAGAATTCCTATTAGATCATGGTGAGATTCTTCTCAAGCTGCAGAACAGTTTCCTTGAGGGCAGGATCCTCTGCCCAGTTGACTTTACTCCCCAAAATGAGGTTCTGTAATTTAAGAAAAAAACTGTTTTAAAATTAAAGTTCTCCGTAGTTTTAAAAATTTATCAAGATTTTTAAAAAATCTCTTTCACTTATCAAATATTTACAGAATTATGTGTGAACATTTACTCTGTGATGATGGGAAAAAATAGCAAATGCATTCTTTTGTCTTTATTTCTACTTTCAATAAGGCTTCAACCTTGATTGCCATAATGCTAGGGAATATTTACAATGTTTATAACAATTTTTCTGCTTTGCCAGTTTTTTTAGATAGTTTTTACCTCTTAAGGAAGGATATTTGCAGTGTTTCCTAAAGGAAAAAGATTACCGTTATGGTTCAGAGTTCATTTTGCATTTCTACACTGAAAAACAAATTGTAAGTAATAGGCATTATTTTGGCAAGAGGTAAAAGAGCTTAATTCTCAGCCCTTGCAAAGTTCCAAGACTTTGACAAAGGTGAAGATTATTTTTGTGGTAGGCAATGGAGGACTGATCAAGGTTATAATTAATGAAAATTCTAGTCATTATTCTTTGAAAAACTGCAGCTCAATGATACTGAATTAATTCAGTTATATATAAAAATATGAAGCCTAAAAATAATAGAATTAATTACTTTTAAAAAGTTCTTTACCACCCCCTTCCTATTTTATATAAATATTACCTGGAACACATTTTGAATAACTGTAGTAATCTGTATCTCTGTCTCCAGGTTTTGTTGTATGGTCTTTATTTTGTCTGAATTTTCCATACTATCCAAATCTTCTTTCTGTTTGTTCTTTTCAGTCTGTATTTCTAAAAGCTTTCTTTCTGAAGCTTGTTTTAATTCTATTGGTTAAAAATAAAACAATATACTATATATGACAACTCCTATAAACAAGAATCTTGAAAACATAAAGCAGAACAGTTCCTGACTACTTCAGTCAAGGGAAAATTTTTAATATGTATTTTAGGTTGCAGTTCCATTCTGACATGAAAATTATTTCTCTGGTGGAAAACACCAATATTTTAATTTGGTACTTAGCAATGCCCTCTGTGAGACCTTGAAGTGTGCATGCATGACAATGATACTGTTACAAATGTTTGCCATGGCAACATGTCAGAGGACTTCCTCTGGGTTGCCAAAAAAATAGGTGATATATGTAAGGAAATACTCCCCCTCCCTTAATTTACAAAAATTACATATCAATAAATTTTCAAGGAAAGGTAAGATTCCCTTCTTCAGAGATAAATATCATCAACCATTTTTGTTGTTGTTCCTGAAATATTCTGAGAATTACACTAGAGATCTTCCTTTCATCTTCAGTTGAAAATATCCTAAGTCAAAAATGTCCCTAATCCACCAAACATCACAGCTTAGTCTAGCCTGCCTTAAACATGCTCGGAACCCTTACATTAACCTGCAATTGGGCAAAACCATCTAAGCAAAGCCTGCTTTATAACAATATATTAAATATCTCATGTAATTTATTGAATACTGTACTGAAAGTGAAAAACAATAGTTCTAAGTGTATTGGCTGTTTACTGGTGTGATCATGTGGCTGCTGCTGCCTGGAATCACATGAGACTATAACAAGCTCAGGAAAAAAGCAAAATTCAAAATCTGAATTCAGTTTCTACTGAATGCATATCATCTCATCGTAAAGTAAAAAAATTGTAAGTCGAAACACCGTAAGTTGGGGACAGACAGTATTTATAAATGGGTATATCTCAGGAGCTCAGTTCCTTGACATGATGTATCAAAAGTAGGTTGGAATGCAATGGAAAAAGAAGCCAAAGGGTGATTAGACAGGTGACCAGGACCACTTCTGACCCTGAGATTACTTACGAGAGGCAAATCTAGGGGCTTCCCTGGTGGCTCAGTGGTAAAGAATCCACCTGCCAATGCAGGAGACAAGAGTTTGATCCCTGATCTGGGAAGATCCCACGTGCCGTGGAAGAAAGTAAGTCCACGTGACGCAAGTATTGAATCTGTGCTCTACAGCCCAGGTACCACAACTGCTGAGCCCATCTGCCAAAACTACGGAGGCCCCTGAGCCCTGGAGGCTCTGCTCCACAAAAGAGGCCACTGCAGTGAGAAGCCCTCGCTTGCCACAACTGGAGAAAAGTCTGTGCGGCAGTGAAGGCCCAGCACAGCCAAAAATAATAAAAATAAATGATTTGTTAAAAGGCAAATATACATAATGTTTAAAAATAATAAATCTTGCCTATAACTGTCAAATGAAAAAAAGAGTAATACAGAATAAAATTATGCCAATTTTATAAATAAAAAGCAATGAAGATCGATTATCTCTTGATAAAATAAAAAATTTAATTTTTCTTACGTATATTTTTGTTTTCAAATTCTTTATAGAGAATATGTAGAACTAGCCTTAGTTCTCTCTGAAATAGATTTCAATAAAACATTTCAATAATTTCAATGCAAAAAGCCATCTCATGTTAAGTTAAGCTATAGAACCATATGTTTCAAGTGGTCATTTAAAAATTATGTACCAAAAACATAAAATTATGTATGGACTTCCACAGGAATCTGCCTGCCATGCAGGGGACATGGGTTCGAGCCCTGGTCTGGGAGGATTCCACATGTTGTGGAGCAACTAAGCCCTAGTGCCCTGAGTACTGAGCCTGTGTGCTGCAGCTACTGAAGCGTTCACACCTAGAGCCTGTGTTCCACAACAAGAGAAGCCACCACAATACGAAGCAAAGTGCTGCAGCCAAGAACATAGCCTCTGCTCACCACCGTTAGGAAAAAGTCCTCGCAAAGCAGCAAAGACCCAGTGCAGCCAAAAAATAAAATAAATAAGTAATTTAAAAAATTATACATATAAATGTTTATGTGGGTGTGGAAAAAGGCCTGAAATGATGTATATCTAATTGTGGTCACACAAGAAAGAGGTATGGCTTTCACATTATACTATTCTGTATTACTTGATATTTTCCCCCCACTGAGAATGTATTAATTTTTGTGATTCAAAGTTCTGAAACAGTGGATCAAGCAAGATGCACTTTATATATTCATTCAATTGCCACGTCCAAAATTTTAAGAAAATTTGAAAAATTAAAAAATTTTTCACTGAATGGGAGAGCTTCATATTGAGTGAAAAATGTGTTCCCGAACAAAAGAGCCAAAAAGTGTTCTACATACGCAATCTCTTCTTTCTAACATCAAGCAATTTTTCCTCCAAATCCCAAGTTTCCTGTTATTAGAAATAAAAAGATTAAGGCACATAACCTAAGAACACACCTATAATATTTAAATCATTGAATTTTATCTATTCATATTTTCCAGAGCTTCAGTTTTCAAGTCCTCTATTTTTACACAAAAAAAGGGAAAGAAAGAGTAGCTTAAATGATTAAGTAGATAATTAGTCAGAAATAATGGAACTATGAAAAGAGGGAAAACTTAAGAATACTGAATTCCAACCATACCCGTCTTTGGGCAATCCTATTTAGTCACATAGAGTTACCAGCAAGAATGTGTTATTGAAATCATGAGAATGCATAAGCAGCTTTATGTTCAGAATTACCTGCTGTGATTTCATTATTAATTTATTCAGATTTAATATTTGTTTCATGTTATCCATGAGCACACTGAAAAGGAATAAAAAATATGATTTATTAAGTTTAAAAATTTCCATTAATTAATAAATCAGTTAGTATATATATACTTTCATTATATCCACTGTACACTTCAATATAGTCATTGTTTAACAAAATAAGTCTAGAAAAGTTTGGTGTAAACTGAATTTCTGATGCATTTCCGTAGAAAAATTTTTGCTCATAGACAACAAAGAATATCAAATTTAAGCATGCAGGATCTTAGTTCCCTAACCAAGGATCGAACCAGTGTCTTCTGCAGTGGAAACACAGGAGTCTTAACCACTGGACCGCAAAGGAAGTCCCCAGGAACATTTCTAAAAATCTCATACAATAACTTGCTAATACATAGTTTTTTTTGGAAATGGACTTTAGGATTTTTTAAAAATTAATTAATTTGGCTGTGCTGAGTCTTCGTTTCGGTACACAGGATCCTCCATCTTCATTGTAGCATGTGGGACCTTTAGTTGAGGCACGTGGGATCTAGGTCCCTGACTAAAGATCAAACACAGGCCCCCTGCATTGGGAGTGCAAATTCTTAGTCACTGTTCCACTACGGAAGTCCCCAGATGTTAGTTTTTAGACCAATTTTAGATTCAGGGCAACACCAAGTGGAAGGGAAGCCCATACACCCTCTGGCCCCATACTGGCACAGCCTCCCCCACCAGAGTGGCCCATCTGTTACAAATGATGAACCTACACTGACACATCATTACCATCCAAAGTCCAGAGTTTATATGAGGGTTCACTCTTGGTGTTGTACATTCTATGCATTTTGACAAATGTATAATGACATGTATCTATATCAGACAGAATAGTTTCACTGAATAAACTGCTTTTATTCCCCATTCCTTCAACAAGTATTTCTGAGAGACTAGCTCATGTCAAGATTGTACCAGGCACCAAGATTATAAAATAGAATAAAACACAGTACCTGTTTTCAAAGAGGAAAGAATCTTATGGGGAAAAAAATAAATCCACAACCATCGTTATGACTTCATTAGACTCAGTAATGAATATGAACCCTTGTAAGAGTTGTGGAAAGAACAGAACAAGGAAACCCTGAGTCTTAAAGGATGTAAAAGTACAGTTGATCCTTGAACAATGCAGCTAGAGTGGGTGGTTAGAGTTACCAACTGTCCACACAGTCCATAGCACTGCTCCCTCTGCCTCAAAAACAAAGGAATTAAATGACTCACCCAAGGACAGAAAGGTGAAACAGTCTGGATCAAACCCTAGTTCACTGATTCCACATACTGTGACCTCTAAATAAATACCAACTTTCCCCCATACTTAAAGATCTGTAAAATGAAAATATAGGTACTATATTTATTGAAAAAAAAACACACACAAAACACCTGCATAGAAGTGGACTCAAGCAGTTCAAACCCATGCTGTTCAAGGGTCAAGTGTAAGTATGAAGAATACCTAACAAGCAGTTTGGTACAGCCGGAGTAAAAGGGTAGAAATAAGACTGGGCAAGAAGAGTGGTTCTCTTATTTCCTAGTGCCACCTTCCTTTGGAAGGCTTGTTATATGTGGATTGCCAGCTTCCTGTCTTAGGATCGGATTATAGATGAACTTGAATGCCAGAGTCTTTATTTTATATCCCTTGGCAAATTATATAAGTTGCTCATTTCTGCCCATGAAAAATGAGGAGTATATTTCCTATTTCATTGGGTTATTGTTGGCTTAAATGAGATAGCATTGTTCCTGTCTTACAGTAAGTATCAAACAAAAGTTAACTTTCAAAAGCTTCCTTCAAAATTTGAGATCATCCGGGTAAACCTCCATTGATTCTCAGGGTCCCCATCCATTTGGAACAGGATGTCAGTGGGACTATAAAGTCTGTAATGATGAGAAGAGCCCACTCTTCTTATTTCCCAGATAAAGGTGGTCAACAGTGACAGATAATTTAAAAAAAAATTATGGAACTAATCATTATACCATCTCCCTTACTGCCATCCTTACCAAATCCAGAAAACATAAAATAAAACAAACAAAAAAAAGATACCTAGTCTTGATGTCAGTCTTCTCCAGGTGTTTTTTAAGTGCAGTTGAAAGTTGCATCCTATAGAGGGAAAAACTCCATTATAAAACATGGATAACATTTATGGTACAGTGAAAATTTAAAAATACAACAAAGATTGATTTCTGTTTAAATGTAACATAAACCAAAAGTAGGTTTTTAAATAGTATTATATGGGAAATAATTTGGTAAGTCAGTCATCGAAACACCAAGTAACACCAAGAGGGATGGGGCTGCTATATGTGGCTGTGCATGGCCAGGCCGAGGGGCCGAGCTGGCCTGACACCCTGCCTGAACTTGCTCTCCAGACCATCCACCTAGGTGCAGGGCTGGGAGGAAGCAGTAAGGCCTTACAAAATGTAATGTACAATATGATAAAATACAATTAACCTTGCTATAAGTTACATATGAAAGTTAAGAGAATAAATCTAAGAATTCTCACCACAAGAAAAACATTTTTTTTCCCTATTTTTAAAATTTTGTATCTATATGAGATGGTTGATGTTCACTAAACCTACTGTGATGATCATTTCAGGATGCATGTAAGTCAAAACACGCTCTACACCTTAAACTTATACAGTTATTGTTTAGCCATTAAGTTGTGTCCGACTCTTTTGTGACCCCATGGACTGTAGCCTGCCAGGCTCCTCTGTCCATGAGATTTTCCAGGCAAGAATACTGGAGTGGGTTACCATTTCCTTTCTCAGGGGATCTTCCTGACCCAGGGATCAAACCCATGTCTCCTGCATTTGCAGGCGGATTCTTTGCCACTGAGCTGCCAGGGAAGCCCAAACTTATACACTGCTGTATGTCAATTATATCTCAATAAAACTGAAGAAAAAAAGGCATACAGATCAGCAGGCTCAAATTAGGTAGAGTTAGGGAATACAAAGCCATACTCGACTATAAACTTAAAAATATGTCTATGTATAAGCAAGCACTGGAATTTGTTTTTAAATTCAATAGCTAGTAAATAAGTAATAATGAAAAGGCAATAAGCTCAGCAATATTAGTCATTTCATTAAAGGGGATATCTTAATAGCTCTGATCTTAGTAAAAAAATATCATCTATATAATGAGCCAGCACATTAGATGAGGGAAAAAAGCTCACTGCTAGAAGTAATTAAAAGGACTAACTATTTTCAATTAAATGTAAATAAATGTATCTGGGAAGGTTAGAAATACAAGGGAAAAACCATTAGAGTCATTCACTGAATTGAAATTATTAATTCAGATCATAAGTCTATAATAGAGACTACATTTGTCTTATTGACAGCTGTATACCAGCATCCAGCACAAAGAGCCAACAGAGTAAGCACTTAAATATTTGCTGAATGAAAAAATATACATGCAAAGTCTAAAATTAAAAATATATTTAAACTCAATGACAGTTCCTTTACTCCATTAAGAGTTACTGGGATAAATATGAGACTTCCCTGGTGGCCCAGTAGCTAAGACTCCCAATGCAGTGGCCTGGGTTCAATTCCTGTCTGGGGAAATAAATCCCATATGCTGCAACTAAGGATTCCTCTTGCCACAACTAAGACCCAGAACAACCAAAAATAAATTGTACAATCCTTTCAAACACCAAATGTGATTTAACCTCACACTTCTATTGTCTTGATTGACATTTCCTTATTAACCCTGTCTTATGTAACTTCTTCAAATGAAAACATTAATGATGTAACTTTTCTCTCAGGGCTCAAAATTTGTGGGACCATCAACTAATCACCATTTTGATTAATTCAGACTAGTGGTAAAGAACCCACCTGCCAAAGCAGGAGACATAAGAGACTCCGGTTCAACCCCTGGCTTGAGAAGATCCCCTGAGGTAGGCATGGCAACCTGCTCCAGTATTCTTGCCTGGAGAATCCCATGGACAGAGGAGCCTGGTGGACTACAGTCCATAGGGTTGCAAAGAGCTGGACATGACAGAAGCGACTTAGCACACACACACACCCCACCTTGAGGCATGCACATTTTGCATACTTAAAAGGTAATAATTACCTGTCTAATGCAAGCTTTTTCATTTCAAAAGCAATTTTTGCCTCTTCAACTTCATTTTCTAGTTCTTCAATTTTACTGCCAAAGAAGCATGAACCAAAGAATGTCAGCAATATCAGATAAAGTAACTGCTGGAATAAAGGTATAAAGTAAATCTCTGAAGAAAGTAAAATGCCTGTTATCTAAATAATAGTATTCTATAGGATCCCACACTGACACATTTACAGATTTGGTAACCTGATTCCCACTGAGTTACTTTGATAAATATCTTGTTAAAGTGGGATAGATGCCGAGAGTGCTAATGTGGTAGATCACTCATGTGCATGTAACTCTACATCCCACATCAATAACGTCTCAATATGTGCATGAAAAATTACTTGGAAAAACAAAGAAAGGAAAAAGAAAGACAATATTATAAGATGGATAATATTATTAAATCTGTAAAAAACACAGCTAAAATTTTAAATATGACATACGCTTCAATTTGCTTTTCCTGCATGATTTGTTCTGGAGTTTTTTCTTCATCTACAAATAAATAAATTTCTGAAGTTAGAAATATTTTGCAAAAGCATTGTCCAACAAAAATATAATGTGAGCCACAAATGCAAACCAAATACGTAATTTTAAATTTCTAGTTTCCACATTACAAAAGTAAAGAAACAGTGAAATTAATTTTAATAAAGCTTATTTAACCCAGTAGATCCGAAGTATTGCCACTTTGACATGTAAGCAATTTGGAATTACTGTTGAAATAGTTCACAATCTTTTCTTCTGTTCGTATTTTACATGTAGTCCTTCTCAATGAGGAATGACCATATTTCAAGTGTTCAATGGTCACCTGGAGCTAGTGACTATCATATTAGACAGCACAGATTAGAATGACAGAAAAAGAGAGTAAAAAAATCGAGATCAATGGAATAAAATAAAAAACTATGTCTATACATAAAAAATTTTAAATATATGTAAAATTACATCCAAAAACAAAATAATTAAGGATAAATTTAACAAAATACATGTATGTATGACCTCTCCACTAAACAGTACCAGATAGTAAAATGGAAAGATGCACTACCCACATGACCTGGGAGCATCATGGCCAATATAACAACTGCCAATATAATGAATTCACCTGCACTGATCTGTGTGCTCTGTCGTGCCTGGTTGCTCAGTTGGGTCTGACTCTTTGTGACCCCATGGACCGCAGCCCACCAGGCTCCTCCACAGGGATTCTCCAGGCAAAAATACGAGAGCATGTTGCCATGCCCTCCTCCAGGGGATCTTCCCAACCCAGGGATTTAACCCATGTCTCCTGCATTGCAGGCGGATTCTTTACCATCTGAGCTACCAGGGAAGCCCCAGAATACTGGAGCGGGTGGCCTGTCCCTTCTCCAGGGGATCTTCCCGATCCAGGGATCGAACGGGGGCCTTCTGCACTGCAGGTGGATTCTTTACCAGCTGAGCTACACAGTCCCACTCAAAATTCCAGAAACTGACAAGCTGATTTTAAAATGCATATAGAAAAATAAAGGACCATGAAAAGTCAAAACAATTTTGACAAAGAATGAACTTGAAGGACTTATAGCAGCTGATAATTAAGACTTACTATAAAGCTACAGTAATCCAAACAGTGTGGTACCATTGTAAAGAAAGACAAATTACTCAAAGGAACAGAAGAAAAAGTCCAGAAACAGACCTACATATATGCAATGGATAAAGAAGTCTTTTCAACAAATGTCAGAAAAACTGAATTTACACATGGAAGAAAAATGAACCTTGACCCTTACTTAGCTCACACTATACACAAAACTTAACCCAAAATGAATCACAGTACTGAATGTTAAACTTAAAACTTTAAGACTTCTAGAACAAACATAGGAGAAAATCTTTGCAACCTTGAAGTAGTTAGTTTCTTAGACAGAACTCATAAACCACAAACCACAAAAGAAAAACAGTGAAAAACAACACTTCATAAAAATTAATGCCTTCTGCTCCTGAAAAGACAGTTAAGAAAATAAAAAAGCAACAAACTAGGAGAATATTTCTGTCATATATATATGTATATACATATATATGTACACACACACACACACACACACACATTTATTCATCTGAAACAGGACTGTATTTATTTTTTAAAAGAAGTGAATGTTTAAGAGAATATATAATATATTAATTTTTAATTAAAACTCAAACTCAGTAAGACTAACAGTCTAACTAAAAATGGGCAAAGATTTGAAAAGACACTTCAAAAAAGTAAACTACCAATAAGGCATGAAAAGATGATCAACAACATTAGTTATTAGGGAAATATAAATTAAAACCACATAAAATATATCACTACATACTTACTAGGATGGCTAAAATTCTAAAAGACTGACAGTACAAAGTTTTGGAGAGGATATTGAGTAACTGGAAATCTCATACACTGCTGGGGAGGAATCTGCCATAATGGTATAATTATTTTAGCAGTTTGGTAGTTTCTTAAAAAGTTAAACATACACTTACCATATCACCTTGAAATTTCACTTTTGGGTATTTAACGCAGAGAAATGAAAGCAAATGTTCACAAAAAGATATACAAATGACAACTGTCCACGCAGCTTTATTTATGAGGGGCAAACACTGCAAACAATTCAGATGTTCATCAACAGGTAAATGGGTTAACGAACTGTGGTGCAGTCATCATAAAACGTACTTCACAATAAAAAGGAATGAATTACTGAAACAAAAGAGCATGGATGAATCACAAAAATGCTACCCTGTGCAAAAGTAGCCAGACACTTTGGGAGTGACTACTAACAGGTTTGGGGTTTCTTTATAGAGTAATGCAAATGTTCTGCAATTAGAGAGTGGTAATGGTTACACAACATTGTAAATAATACTAAAAGTTACTGAATTGTACATTTTAAAATGGTGAATTTTGTTGCATGAATTAAGTCACAAAAGAAGGATGTTGGGAAGAAAAACAAAACCACCATATAAATACATTTATATCAAATTCTACAGCAGTACTATCCAAAAGCACTGTTCTGTGATAAATGAAATGCTTAATATCTGCAGTGTCCAGTATGGTAACCACCAGTCACACTGTGCTGAAGCATTTGATATGTGAGTAGTACAACTAAAGAAAAACTAAAGTGAAACTAGTTAGTTGTACTCGGAGGAGGCAATGGCGACCCACTCCAGTACTCTTGCCTGGAGAATCCCATGGACAGAGGAGCCTGGTGGGCTACAGTCCATGGGGTCACGAACAGTCAGACACAACTGAGCGACTTCACTTTCACTTTTCACTTTCATGCATTGGAGAAGGAAATGGCAACCCACTCCAGTGTTCTTGCCTGGAGAATCCCAGGGACGGGGGAGCCTGGTGGGCTGCCGTCTATGGGGTCACGCAGAGTCGGACACGACTGAAGTGACACAGCAGCAGTTAGCTGTACTAGTCACATATCAAATAAGTTCATCTTCTAAGTCTGTGAGTCTCTTTCTGTAGAAATGTTTACATCTTTGATTTTAGTGGTGATCTTGATTAAAGAGATGTAATATTTGTCAAAACTCATCAAATTGGGCTTCCCTGGTGATCCAGTGGTTAAGAATCCACCTTGTAAGGCAAGGGATACTGGTCTGAACCCTGGTTCGAGAGGATCCCACATGTAGAGCAGCTAAACCTGTGTGCCACAATTATTGAGCCTATGCTCTAGAGCCCAGGAGCCACAACTACTGAGCCCATGTGCTGCAACTACTGGAGCCCGTGCGCCTAGAATCCATGCTCTGAAACCAGAAAAGCCACTGCAATGAGAAGCTTGCACACCACGACTAGAGACTAGCCCCCACTTGCCACAACTTGAGAAAGCCAGCGTGTAGCAACAAAGACTCACCACGGCCAAAAAATAAAATAAATACATCTTTAAAACAACATCAACAACAAAAAATTCATCAAACTATACCCTTAAAATAGATGCACTTATTATAAAGAAAAATCCTTCAAGCAATAAAGTTTCAGTATTTTTTAATGGTAAACACTAATCAATTTTAGATACATTATCTTCTCTTCAGAACTAAAACCTAACTTCTTATGTGTGTGTTAGTGGCTCAGTTATGTCCCATTCTTTTTGACCCCATGGACTGTAGCCCTCTGTCCATGGAATGCTCCAGTCAAGAATACTGGAGTGGGTTGCCATTCCCTTCTCCATGGGATCTTCCCAACCTAGGGTTCGAACCCAGGTCTCCTGCATTGCAGGCGAATTCTTTACCATCTGAGCCACCAGGAAGCCTAGGCTGTAACAATCGGTCCTCTCCTTTAGCTGTAGAAATTCTAGAGTGTAGACTATTCAATCGACTCAAGTTTTCAGATGTCACAACTCCTTTAAAATTAGCTATACAGGGCAAATAAGAACAGCATGAGGAGGAAGATTCTTATCACTTGGATTTTAGCTCTAAGGTCATCTTCTTGAAGAATCCATCTCTGATTACTGTATCTAAAGTCGCCCTTCCCTCTTATCATACCATTATCTCCTTCATCACATTTACCTCACCTCATAATTATCTCAAGTCTCTTTGCTTACCTGCTTTGCTACATAGAATTTAAGCTCCATGAGGATAAAGTCAGCCTTGTTCAACACTGTATCTCTATTCCTAGCATCCATTCATTCAACTATGATTGCATGATTACCTCTAGAGATAATTCCTCAATGGTTCAAATTTTGAATAGCTTTTCCCCTACAACTCATCGTCTAAGATCAGTTATACTTTTTTAATATATTATGTGGGCTCTCATGCCAGAAAAAGCATTAGACAAGTCTTACTTCTCATCTCTAAGATAAATATAATTTTTTTAATACAAGGAACACAGGCTTTGGAAAGAAGGACACCATTAATTCCTCCAGGGGAAGGACAGTGACCTACTGATCATCTTTGAGGTAAGCATTTTTTAATTGAATTATATTTGATTTACAATGTTTTGTTAGTTTCAGGTATATAGCAAAGTGAGTGTTATACATATATACTTACATATACATAAATATAAGTACTTTATAGATAATATATATTCTTACATAGGCATTATTGATGTTACAAAAGGGACATGACTTTAGAGGCAGTAAGGTCTGATTCATTTCCTAACTCCAATGGTTACTAACTATAATAAGCAGAAGAGAGGCTGGGGGCCCATTTTTTTTTAAGGTTTTGTTTTCTTTTGTTCTGTTTTGTGCATAAGATAACTTTAGACACCCTAGAATGGGGATGGAAAACACACCAGAAATGCCTTCTGATCTATGGCCTTAAAGTGAGCTTGAACAGAGCACAAAAATCATATAGGTTCAAACATGGACTCAGGGAAGTAACTAAAACATCTATGAGGTGCCTAGGCTTTTACACAATTCTTGATTCAACAGTGTACTATTTGGTTTTATTCAGTAAGTTTATTTCATAGAGAAAGAAAAAGTAACCAAAATCTATCTTTGTGACCCAAGGGCTTAAAATAAATCAGGTGGCATTAGGTGGTTATTACTTAAGAAGACTAAACCCATCATTTAACTACTCTCTTGGCCCTGAGATTTTTAGATTAACAATTGTAAAAGATAAATTAAAAATTTTTATATGGAATTGAAAATTGTCAATCATACTTTTATGTCTATCTCCTTTCTGCTTTCATGTCATTAATCTAGTATTTCTCAAAGTATAGGTCTCAGACCACTTGTTCAACAATCATCTAATCTCCTAACTTAATGTTCAAAGTGTTGATGGTAGCTAGGCCCACAGGAATTTCCAATCAATAGAACTTAATTTTCTTGAATTCCTAACACCCCCCCTTCCTTAGATAAATAATTGTAAAATTGATCTTTTCCCTGGAGTACTGTTCATCATCAAACTCACAAAACCTTATTTGAACATGAAAATCCTTACTTGCATCAACCATTGCCTTATATTCCAAGAGTTGTTGTTTGGTCTGTGCTCTTAGCCTGAAAACAGATAAAGAGAAGAGAGTTATATAATTATTGAGGTTTTATTCATTACTATATGATAAATCAACTCATCTTTGTTGGAATCTGATGCAACAAAATGAGTATAAATAAACAGCATTAAAATCTTCCAGGGACTTCCCTGGTGGTCCAGCAGTTAAGATTTAGTGCTCCTGATGCAGGGGGCCCAGGTTCAATCCCTGGTTGGGAAACTAGATCCCACATGCTGCAAAGAAAGCTCCCTCCCACACACGACAACTGAGACTTGGTACAGCTAAATAAGTAAATATATATTTTTAAAAAAATCTTCCAGCCAGTATCTGATCTTCATTTTTATTAGCATCATGAAATTTAGAATAAATCCTACTGGCTTCCTGTAAAAAAAAAAAAATAAATAAATAAAAATAAAAAAATCTTCCAGGTTGGCCTCATTTTATTTAAAATAGGCTTACAAGATGTTATGCCTCAGAAAAATACACAAAATGAAATACAGTAGGAAAACAGCATCTGTAAGAAAAAGTTAAAAATTTGATTTTTAAATTTATTTTTAATGGGCCACACTGAAATAAAGCTTAAAGACTACACGAAGAAATAGATCAAAGTGGTAAACCCCCAAACACAGTAATGAGTTACAAACAGATTGAAACATTCTTAAGAGATACAGAAAAATATCAAAGATACTAATCCTTGGATAAATAAGTAATTTATGTAGTTTCTTAGTCATCCTATGACTCTACTTACTTAAAAATCATACAAAAAAATGGGTAGAAGAGCTATGGGTAAAATGATAACTACTTATTAGATGTTTCACATTTACCTGGTGGCTCCCCAGTTCTGTTTGCTTTGTGACTCTGAGATCTAGTTAAGTAGCTAAGGAACATTAGACAAAATTTTAAAGCTTTGCAACGTTCAGTTCCCCGTTTTAAAATTCCAAATGAAAAGAGCAATTTCTTAAGAGTTTAGTAAGACAGCATTTTATGAACACACTGAAACAATCATTCATTTTTAGCTGAGACGGAAAAGGAGATGTTATATCTTTAAAATTTTATTATTTCATGTTGTAGGTAGAAAGGGATTTTTAATTTATTCATTTTTTAGAAGTGTTTCAAAGACTTTTACACAAAAGAATGTCTGTCTTTCCACATCAGTGAGTAGTAGTGTTCATCAGAATCTTCTGGGAACAAAAAGATGAAGGCAAGCCCATACACTTGGTCAGATGTCAAAGGAATGGGAAGTGGGCTATTATGTCACCCCTGGAGCTCCTGCTGCCTTTTTTACTAAATGCTGTTCACCAGTTGAGTCGGGTGGACTTTTGTGAGAGAATAGTGTTTGGTGGCCAGGACCTCTTTGGGGCATTTCTTCCTAAGTGTAATACACAACAGATGGGAATAGGGGAAAGTAATACAGGAAAGCTACTCGTATGCATTCCAGAAACCCATGGGATCTTCTAGCTGTGAACAGTCGCTACTACGGTCATCTGGAATGGACCCTGGACTATATGGGCACTTTCCTGTATAGCTCCGAGAACTCTGGATAGGAATTCACCAGATCCAATGGCCCACAGGAAAAATGAAAGGGAATAGTTAAAAGGAAAGAACTCCCGCTCGTGTCTTCTGAACTTCTTCCTGTATATATTGTAAGAGACGATCGATAACTAAATCCCCATCACTGCTGCTATCTCTGCCCACAGGTCCCACAGCTCACTCTCAGGGGGTTGGTTGTATGGCCCAAAGACTGGGGTGAGACTTTGAGAGAATACAAAGAAGTTCATCAGTCACGTGAGGATGGGTGGCAGCATGCCTCCACCCTTGAGAAAATTTTGAAGGAAAGGATGGTGAGTCTTGGTAAATATAACTCCATTTGACAGACTCTTTATGGTAAGTCAGCCAGATCAATTCCACTTGAACCCACAGAGCACACTATCTCCATAATCATGAGACAAAGGCTGATCCTGTGATTCTGGAGCTCCAGAGGCTGCCAAAATGCCTCCAAGAAGCTGACCTGCCCCAAAATGGAATAGTTTGGGCTCTGGTTGTCAGTGAAACCAAAGCCAAAGAAATTAACAGCAATCACTTGATGAAATCTGAGGGTAAGAACTATCCAAGTCTTGTACCAATCAGAGCTGGATGTTGGAAAGTCATGTAAAAGCATGATTATCTGGAGACTTCCAACCATACCCACAGAGTCTTTAATAGAAGATGTTCAGTCCCTTGTAGGTGAAAAATTTGCCTAGCAACTTTCACGAGTGAGGAGCAAGGGGAAAACTGTGGGAGTGGGGAAGAAAGGGTAAGACCTGGGCTATAAGATTCCACGTTTGGAGGAACCTGTTGTGCATTTGTAGGGGGCTAATTTTGAAGGTGGGGTTGTGAGGTTTGTAAGGTGAGGCCTTTCAAAGCAGTGATGAAGTTGAAATACATCCAGTTACAAAGCTTATTTTTTAAAAAATTCCCTTGTTATGATTTAGGTCTGCAAATTTTTTTCTGTAAAGGACTAGAAAGTAAATATTTTAGGCTTTGTGAGTCCTATAGTATCTACTGTGGGTTTCCCTGGTGACTCAGATGATAAAGAATCTGCCTGTCAAAGCAGGAGACCCAGGTTTGATCCCTGGGTTGTGAAGACTTCTGGAGAAGGGAATGGCTACTCATTCCAGTATTCTTCCCTGGAGAATTCCATGGACAGAGGAGCCTGGCAGACTACAGTCCATAGGGTTACAAAGAGTCAGACATAATTTAATGATTTTCACTCACTTTCACTCATGGTATCTGCTGTAACTACTCAACTCAGTATCAGTCCTTGCAAGTTGCGTTCCAATAAAATGTTACATAAGGAGACTGAAATTTAATTTCATATAATTTTCACCTGTTATTAACATTCTTGTAACTTTCCCCCCAACCATTTAAACACATGAAAACTAGTCTTATCTTGAGAGGTCACGCAGAAAGAAAAGAGTAGGATGGATATGGCCCAGGACCATAGTTGCCCACTGGAGTAGAAGGCTGATGTCCTTTCTCATTAAGTCTTTTCCTTAGCAACGTACAGACATTGCTTCCTGGTAGAAAATACAAAACACGCAGCTTCTGGATTGAAAAGGGTCATGGCTATAACAGAGAAGGGCAGAGAAACCTCCCTCCTGTATAAATCTGGGCTTGAATGCAACCCACAAAGGGCTTGAAAGTCAGGACGGCAGAGCATGAGTGGGTAAGAAAGGCGATGTTAATTATAGCTCCGTAGGCCCTTTGCTAAACGCTGACCCTATAATATCTTTTAATTCCCACAGCAACTTAGCTAGGAAGCTGTCATTTTTCCTCTCTTTTCCAAGACGAAGAAAGGGGCTTAAAGAGCTTAAGTGAATGCTCTAGTCACCAGCCATTAAGCGATCGACACTTAATTCGAACCCTAGACATTTTCGGCAGAAAGGGGAGCTCTTGGCCAAGACGCCCACTTGGTTCCCGCCGCGTCGGTCGGAGGGAACAACCTGAGCAGCAGGGTCATGCGGTCCTCCGGACGCGCCGCCTGGGCGCCGGCGACCTGCGGCGGCCCGCCTTCCCCTCCGGAGTCCGCAGGCTTGGTGACGGCTTGCTCCTCGGACTGCGTCTCCATTCCGGGCGCGAAGAGCTACCACGCAGGACCGGCGACCTCTGCCACAGAAAGGGCCGCTTTTCCCGCCACGAAATTGATACCCGGAACCAGCCGGAGGGTCTTCGCGCGCGGTCACACCCCTTCCGCCTCGTGGCCCCGCCCTCTGGTTGCCATGGTTGCTGCTGTCCCTTCTTTTATTCCGGCTCTAGTAATTAAAGTTGTTGTTCAGCCGTCCAGTCGTGTCCGACTCTTTGCGATCCCATGGACTGCAGAACCATGGACCTAGCAGCTAGGCCTTCCTGTTCCCCACCGTCTCCCAGAGTTTGCCCAAGCTCAAGTTCATTGCATGGGTAATGCCATCCAGCCTTCTCATCCTCTGGTGCCCTCTTCTTCTGCCCTCAGCCTTTCCCAGCATCTGGGACTTTTCCAATGAGTCGACGTTCGCATCGCATGGCTTTGGGCTTCCCTATGTCTCAGCCGGTAAAGAGTCCTCCTGCAATGCGGGATTCCCTGGATCTCTGGCTTGGGAAGATCCACTGGAGAAGGGAAAGGCTACCCACTCCAGTATTCTGGCCTGGAGAATTCCATGGACTGTATAGTCCGTGGGGTCGCAAAGAGTCGGACACGACTGAGCGACTTTCACTTTCCACTTTCAGCTTCACCATCAGTATTTCCAGTGCATATTCAGGGTTGATCTCCCTTAAAATTGACTGGTTTGATCTTCTTCCTGCCCAAGAGAATTTCATGAGTCTTCTCCAGCACCACAGTTTGAAGGCATCAATTACGACCACTAGTAAAAGTTCAAAGCACTTTAATTAAGCGTCAGCTCTGTCGAGCTGGGCTAAGCGCTATGCTGCAGCCATTTGGGGGCACTCAGGCTTGTGGCACCGCGACCTGGAGGGGAGAACCCCGACATCAACGCTCTTTCAGCCTTTGAGCTGGGATAGCGATTCTTGACCCATTTTAGCATTCTTCTTCCATCTGCTGCTTTGGAAGATGGGTGTGCAGGGCAAACAGAGATAATAAGCATTGGAGAGTTTTGTTCTGAGCTCATTAAGTCCAGGCTCCTCATTTGGCAGAGAAACCAGAGGCCCAAGTTCAGAGATACCCACTACCCTCTAGGAGGCAGTGTGCAGACTTTCAGTGTGAAATTCATCTTTTTGGAAATTGGAAGTTTTTATTTCACTTTTTTGCGAGGGGAGGCGGTTGATCCCTGGTTAGATAACTAAGATTCCACACGCTGCAACAGGTTTGCATGCCCCCGAGTGTCAGTTTTTTGATCTGACAGATTACAATCGAGCTTTCTCAGCTGAATTTCATGCTCCAGTGCTTAGCTGAGCAGTGATCAGGTAATGGAGTAAATGCAGGGCATAAATGCCTGATTGGTTTGTAGTTTTTCACTATGATCTGTCCCATAAGTGACACGATCTTTGTGGCACAAGCAGCTCGGGCCTCCTTGAACAGGAGAGTTTCTAGTTTCTCCTGAGTTTACTTGTTCACACAATAGTACCCTCTTTTTCCTTTTTTTTTTCCCCACCATGTCAAGTTTATTATTCCAATGGCACTAATACAGCTGGAGGTGCTCACTGACACTGTGTGGGAGGGGTTTCCTGCCTTCTAGCTTCTGTCCAAAGAGAATATCTACCCGCTTGTTTCTTCCCCCTTTCTGGAGGAAAATCCACTATGGGCCATTTACCCAAATAAACTTCTTAATGCATTTATTTTTAACTTTTTTTTTGACATTATGTTTCCCTCTCAAAAAAGTATTGGTTGTCCCATCCCCTCCCCCATCCCCACCGGCCAGATAAGTAATTCGGCTCCTGTTGAAAGATTCAAAAGGCACTCTAGGATGTAAAATGTTAAGTTCACCACTACTACTCCCAAATTCCTGGAAGAACATTTTGCTTCATTTTTTCTTTTACAAGAAAGTGACTGTTTTCTTTTTTCACTTACTTTGTCAGGGATGTCTTATAATGTTTCAGAACTACTTTATCTGGGATGTCTTCCCTTATCTCACATCAATCTCATCCTTTTAAGCAGCTGCCCATCAAGAGTCCACTGGTCAAATTTGGGCCAAAGGTTATGCAATGCTGTTCCTCATGAGCATGCATTAGGATCATGGAAAGGACTGGTTAAAACAGATAGCTAGGTGCCTCTCCAAGTTACTGATTCTGATTTGCTTTTCTTGACCCCAAGTGATATTGCTGTTGCTGGTTGAGGATGACACTACGAGCCACTGCAGTAGTGGATTATAACAATGAATTAAAAAAAAAATTGAAACAGGGAATTCCCTGGTGGTCCAGGGGTTAAGACTCTGCTCCCAATGCAAGGGGCCCGGAGTTGATCCCTGGTTAGGGAACTAAGAGCCCACATGCTGCAACTAAGACTGGGTGCAGCCCTCTCCCCCCCCCAAAAAGTCAAAAAGGGCATGTCTGTGGGCGGGGGGCCAAATTTTAGAGAATGTCCAATACAGAAGGGATAATAAAATTGAATAATTACAATCATCTCACTCCCAGTGTGACAAATTATTCAAAACAAGTATCTTTAATGTCAAAACTAGAAAGAGAATTCCCTAGTGCTCCAGTGGTTGAGACTCTGCTTTCACTGCCAAGGTTGCGGGTCAGAGAACTAATAGATCCTCACAAGCCACGCAACATGGCTAAATAAAGTAAAAGACAAAAAAGCTAGGTAAAAGACAAAAAAGCTAGGGACTCCCCTGTCGGTCCAGTAGCTAAGACTCCACACTTCTGATGTGGGGGCTCAAGTCCAATCCTTGGTCGGGAACTAGACCCCACAGGCTTTAACAGGAAGAGACTTACAGATTTAGACAACGAATTTTTCAGTAATGGGTGGTGGGGGGGAGTGGGGAGGGATAATTAAGGATGGTTAGGTACACACTGCTATATTTAAAATGGGTATTCAACAAGGACCTATTGTATAGTACATGTTATGTATTAGTTAGTCGGTCAGTCATGTCCAACTGTTTGAGACCCCATGAATCACAGCACACCAGGCCTCCCTGTCCATCACCAACTCCCATAGTTTACCCAAACTCATGTCCATTGAGTTGGTGATGCCATCCAACCATCTCATCCTCTGTCGTCCCCTTCTCCTCCTGCCCTCAATCTTTCCCAGCATCAGGGTCTTTTCAAATGAGTCAACTCTTCACATCGGGTGGCCAAAGGATTGGGGTTTCAGTTTCAACATCAGTCCTTCCAATGAACATCCAGGACAGATCTCCTTGCAGTCCAAGGGACTCTCAAGAGGCTTCTCCAACATCACAGTTCAAAAGCATCAATGCTTTGGTGCTCAGCTTTCTTTATAGTCCAACTCTCACATCCATACATGACTACTGGAAAAACCATAACCTTGACTAGATGGACCTTTGCTGACAAAGTAACATCTCTGCTTTTTAATATGCTAAGTTGGTCATAACTTTCCTTCTGAAGAGTAAGCGTCTTTTAAGTTCATGGCTGCAATCACCATCTGCAGTGATTTTAGAGCCCCAAAAAATAAAGCCAGCCACTGTTTCCCCATCTATTTGCCATGAAGTGATGGGACCAGATGCCATGATCTTAGTTTTCTGGATGTTGAGCTTTAAGCCAACTGTTTCACTCTCCTTTCACTTTCATCAAGAGGCTCTTTAGTTCTTCTTCGCTTTCTGCCATAAGAGCAGTGTCATCTGCATATCTGAGGTTATTGATATTTCTCCTGACAATCTGGATTCCAGCTTGTGCTTCTTTCAGCCCAGCGTTTCTCATGATGTACTCTGCATATAAGTTAAATAAGCAGGGTGACAATATACAGCCTTGACATACTCCTTTTCCTATTTGGAACTAGTCTGTTGTTCCATGTCCAGTTCTAACTGTTGCTTCCTGACCTGCATACAGGTTTCTCAAGAGCACATGCTTAATTTTACGTGGCAGCCTGGGTGCGAGCGGGCTTTGGGGAGAATGGACACGTGTGTATGTATGGCTGAGTCACTCCCTGCTCACCTGAAACTGATAATCGGTCATATCCCAGTACAAAACAAAAAATTCAAAGTGTTGGAAAAAAATGCTTCTGCATTAAGGAAAAAAAGCTCACGTGCTTTATTTGCAACTAAAGATCCCACATGCTGCAACTAAGACCAGGTACAGCCAAATAAACTTTTTTATTGTTACAAAAAGATTGCAGCTATGAAAGATCCTAATTCGTAGGACATTAGACACATGATGGAAGTATTTTAAGGGAATATTATCCTCAATCACTAAAACTTTGTCTATTAGGAAATAAAACCCTTTCTTTTGTCCATGGACTATCTACATAAGTCAATCATATACTTAATCCACATAGAAGTTTCAAAAGGCTTTTTACAGACCATCTCTGGGTGGCTCAACGGTAAAGACTCTGCCTGCAATGCAGGAGACACAGGAAACAGGTTCAGATACCTGGGTCAGGCAGATCCCCTGGAGAAGGGCAGTGCAATCCACTCCAGTATTCTTGCCTGGAGAATCCCATGGACAGAGGAATCTGGCGGGGTACAGTCCATGGGGTCACAAAGAGCTGGACACGACTGAATACACAGACTTCTCCAATGAAATAAGAAAACACCAACATATAGGTGGTCTGACAAAAAACAATAAACTTAAGAAAATAAGCAGTAAAATAATCTCCAGATCAAAAAGGATTACAAAAGAAATTGTAACAACCAGATTGATGAAAAAGAGAACTTTAGAAATGAGTTATCTCAGAGGAAAATGTATATACAAAGGCTTTTATTACTAAAAATACATTAAGCATTTAACTAGAAAATAACTGAGAAAAGCAGATGGCGAGAATTAACATAAAAGCTAAAACTACCAAACCGACGTGGTAGAAATGGTAACACCAAAAACTGATTCTTTCAAAACACCAATAATATCCTCTAGGCAAGCATGATTAGAAAACACAAGTATTCAACATCAGGAATAAGAAGATATAATAGAGAAGAGGTTAACTAATATCCTATACCTCTACAGTTATAATTAAGAAAATCTAGA